GACTTAATTATTTACATTTGATTGTCATTTAGCTCAAATATTGTTGACTAAAAACACACAAAGTTGATAATCGCTGCCAATGTGGGAATGACGACACACTGGTAACACGTCTCCACATATACAACAGGTGCTCTTCATGGTATCAGCAAAATAAAAACAAGATACTCTCTCCTTAGAATGATTGATTTATTAAATAAAATCAACATGAATGAATGATTCAGTGAATTATAAAAACAGTCTACAAGACTGTGTTCTTCCAGTAGTGATGAGCATCCTATCAGTGTGCCACCAGAATTCTTCATTGGCTGGAATCACAAGTGTATGAGACAGCAGCTAACAGTTCAGACAGTCAACATTGCACCTCACATACAGGTAACATAATAAACCACTATTGAATGTTGCTGCACAAAACAGGTAACATAATAAACCACTATTGAATGTTGCTGCACAAAACAGGTAACATAATAAACCACTATTGAATGTTGCTGCACAAAACTAATCACTAATATATAACGCATATTACACAAAGTTACATTTGTTCCCTTTTCAAACTTTTAAATCTTGAAATAATCACAACAAACCTGTTTTCACATTGATTATGTAAGTTATTTCATGTAATTCATAATCTCTTTTTATGTATAATATGTAATAATGGGGACATGATTTTTAACTGCATGGAGTCTGTATCTCCATTCCATTAAGATGCATACCCTGAAGCCTTCACTACCATAGCTTCATCATGAGCCCAATTCAAATGACAACACTTAAAATAGCCATCAACCCTATTTCACTGTGTGCAAGAGAAATTCTATGCTGAGACCGCCATTGGACAGGTGGAGGTGAAATGCCACATTCAAAACAAGGCTTTGGTACAGGGTACTCATCAGAATACAATTGAGATACAATACCCTGGTTGACAGAGGTGACAATGCCTTCAGAGACTGACTACCTGTAAGTTGGGGGGTGGGGGTTGAGAGGGGAAGTCAGTTTACATATTAACCACATAGTACTTATCATCAGGTAAGTAGTTGCGAACATAGTCATTTCATGAAGTGACATTATGTTGTCAAACTCACTGTTACATTTGGCAAGAGCACAAATACCAAAATAGCAGACAACAGGCAAACACCAAGCATTTCATATGTGACAGATCATCCAAGTAAAACTGACTTGGGTCCAGCCAATCGCCAGTACTAGCAGATTTGATTCAAATAATAACTTAAAACTCATGAGGTTTATCTGCAAACTGAAAAAATAATCACAATGCGTATCAAACAGCAGCCCAGTAAAAAACGACAACATCTCAGTCTCACACATACCATTGCTGCAACGTCTGCACAACCAAGCACTGAGCAGCAGTCACCAAATCGTTATCTGCTCCAAACAATGTCGGTGTGGGAGCATACATCTGTAACCAAATATCTCCCAGCGATACTGAAAGAACTGCATCTGTCCTCGTGCAAGATGCACACAGCACTGAAACCTGTTGAAACAAATGCTGTCAGTATCCCTGACGCTCTCCTTGTTGACATGCTCTCACTTCCCTCCGACAGTCAGACACCAGACACACCTGTACGCGAGGGGAGTTAAATGCCGAGTACAGAATGCCAAGGAATGTTAGTATGAGTTTCTTCACAATACGTTTGACTTAAAAACATTGCTCTCTTGAAATGAAACAAGACTTTAATGTCTAGAACATTTGTCTGACATAGGCACATAATTCTTGTAGAATAGAAAACAGACTTGCACCCATTACATGCTCTGTGTTTCCGTGGTGATGTGTAGCACCATGGTAAACGACGTCATACAGTTTTGGGGATGGGGTTCAAGGCCCACTCAAGTTTCTATTTTCATATTCAATTCACAGCTTGCAAACACTGGTCATGACCGTGATATCATCCCAAAACTACCCATGACCATAGTCAACTGCGAGTGGCATACCAATGTTGAGTGGAATGGCGATGGTGTCTTGTGTATATACTGATACAAGTTTCAGATGTTCTAGTAGAGGGAAATGTTGGATTTCTTCATCACACCAGACAAGCTGAGGTCATTTTTTTTTTTTGGATTGGTTAAAAAAAAAATTCACCATCAGAAGACCACCAACCAGCATCTATGGCCTCGATTTCTTGTTTTGAAGACAAATAGACAGGTATAAAACATAATGATGGAAAAATGCCATCTTCATAATCTTTAATACAGGACCTTTTTGAAAATTATGCCATCAAGATATGACATATTCATGGGCAACTAAAAATGGATTGAAATGGGTTATCAATATTACACCAACTTTTCCCTGTAAATATTTATGCTGAATTGAATTGAATTCTGCTGAAAAGTGGCATAACTCATAAATCAAAATATAGACTGGTCAAACATAATGACTTCTTCATGGCTAAATCCAACTGAAGCTCAATGAACAATGTAAATATTGCTGTAAACAATAAACAGTTACATGTTTCAAAACAATTCCACACAAACTAGGAACATTCGCCATTTGGTTATGTAAACAAGCTGCAGAACTCTCTTGTGAAAGTTCATCTACAACGACTTCAAATGATAACAGTAAAGTGTGATAATATCCAGAATGCCTGTTAAGAATTCTGTAAAGTGGCAGTTCTTGACACAACCTCATTTCAGTACTGAATGAATATGAAAGACTGACAATTAATTTTGTTTTGCGTTCCCACCAACTCCATTGAGCTAGGAATCCAGGGACTGCTCATTATTCTTGACCGATGTAGATTCTAGGGATGTCACGATACATAAGTTTCATGAATCGATACGTATCACGATACCTATTTTCGAGGCATTATTGCATAAATTTAGATTTTTTTTAACATTAATATTTCATATTTCATAATTGTCCATGAAAAGATCAACATTTTTTATTCTCAGAGATTAAAAAGTTCTAATTTCCCATCTTTGTGCATGAAAAATAATCATTTATAACTTTCATAACATCAAAAAACATGATACAATTGCAAAATGTAAACAATACATGAACATATTTAAACCGATACTTTCACAACTAAATATCGATAGTTTTGAATGTATCGATAATTGTATTGTCTTAGAAAAACTATGGATGCATCAATGTATCATGGCATCCCTAGTAGATTCTGCATTATGTGACAACAAAGATTTTGATATTCCTGCAAAGGTTCAACAACAAAAAGAAGTACATGCCCACATGGAAACATGAATCCTGATAGTCAATATTTAACTTACTATACTAAAAATATACATGTATATGATCTAGACACACACCAGACCTTTGTCGTTTCAGCATGTCGTAATTTCACATTGTCAAAATGAAATGAACATATTTCTGGAAGAATACACAAGTTCATTATGTAAGCATCAATAAACACATGTTAAATGAACACTGCATATTTTTAGCATCTTCAAACCTCTCATAAACAGTGAACAAGTAGTAGTTGTGTGTACAGAATTAGTTGGGTTTAACTTCATTTTGAAGAGTACTAGTATTTCAAGAATGTCATGGCATGACAGCTTCACGTGGGAGGAGATCCCCAAGTGATTAATTTTTACCATTTTGGAGAATCCAACCAATACAAAGTTTCAAGCCTAACAATGTCAGGGGGACACAACTCTGCTGAGTGAATAGTGACACCTCACACATCTCGACCTCCAATGCCAAAACAGTTAACAAGGAATCAAGGCAATATTGCATAATGAAACAAACCCTCAACTACACCTATAATATAACTGATACCAAACTGATACTAATAATTTCTAAGTGCAATTTGACTTTGTTTTGCAGCAGTGAACCTTGGAGTACTTACAGTCTTTAATGCCCCAATCTAACCTTAATCCTGGCTTGAACCTAGTTTCCCCATGTACCGGAGAGCATACCCACTCTCAGTAAAAACACAGCAGTGGTTGTACCTCTCATTAGGTTCTGATATTAGTTAGACTGGCCACGTAACTGTGGACTGAGTGAGCTGGTGTCCAGTGATTGTTGTCATGTTCTGATTCAGGACTTTCTGTATCACGGCATCTTGACAGAACAAGGACCACACTTGTTTCAAAGCAATCATATGTCATACCAGCAGTATTCAAATTCCTATTCAGCAATTGCTCTATCAGAGCTCCCACCATCTCTGTGGCAAAATATATGACATACTCTTTCTGTAAATTCTGTTTCTCAGATCATTGAACAAATTTCAAACTTAACTTATTGCCATGTGCGTACATCAAGCCAGCTTCAGCAGCCATGCAGCTTGACATGCAGCTTGACATGAAGTGTGCAGGGTCTATTGAAGTTAAGATGTTAGTTTGTAATCAGTGTTATAAAAAAACCAATCACACTTGTTTCCCTGTTACCAAGAAAGGTACAATTACTCCAACACATATCAACCATCAGTTATACTGTTATTACGTCTTGACATGTGGTTACATTCCAAACCAGTAAAATGAAGAAGTCTCTGAAACACATTACAAACATTTTTTGAGATGCATTGACTAGATTTGTAAACATGATACGGAACTGGATGATTAGAAACACTGACATGGTCCTGATCATCCATTACCAAAATAAAATAATTGAAATATACAGGCAAGATGTTTGCTTAATCAGATATAAACACTTTACCTTTGGGAAAAGGAGGAAGTGCTGGAGTGTTTTTAAATATTTCGCCCTATTTTGCAAATCTAATATGGATTTTTGTCCTGAAACAATTCTGTAGATCAAAACCCTCTTTCTACTCCAAAGATAAAAATATGTATTTGGTCCTTATATTCACCATTGAAGTGTCTTTTAATAAGATCCTTTATAACTGTACCTTCTATATCTAAATTCCTGAAAGAAAGTGATACAGTTGGCAGACATTATCCCTGACCAAAAGGATACATCTTGATCAACTATAGGTGAATTACAGAACATGGGTTTACACCATTTTCAGCATTCTCTTCCCACAGAGGTTACTCCTGTCATATCTTCCCTACGTAACCTCTGTGGGAAGAGAATGCATTTTCAGTTAAACAATATAATTGAAGTGCAGTGCAAAGCCCTGTAACATAGCCACTGTGATATGTATGTCTCAGCTGGCCTCTGATTGTCACTCATTTCTATACCATATTCAGTGGCCACCTTGGCCATCCAATCAACATACTCTTACAACAGTGAACACATAACACTGGGTGTTTTCTGTGAAGTGATTATTGTGATTATAGATTATATTTGTGAATTTACAACTTCAGTTGTTTGCTGTTCTCACACTGTCAGCAGAGAGAGAGTGATTTTCCTCCAACCGATTTGGTTTACAAACACAGTTTTCAGAAAATAAAGAAACAACTGAAAATAGAATCAAAATAAAGACAAAACAACACTTGTGATGGCAAGCATAGTATGTTCTGAAATAGTATGTTGACTGTGTCTGAGTACACAGGGGAAAGATATGATGTTGTCCAGTCAAGTGAAAATAAGGCCACAATAAATTAATTATCAGATTTTAATCCTTTCTTGAAATATGAGATGTGAGGAAGTTGATGTCTTGTTACAGCTGAAGATATCAGTTGAATGCATCAGCTGATGATTGTTACACACATAAAGCATGAATATTTGGCACAACTATGCATATGGTGTATTTCATCAACTGACAAAACGAGGTGACACACGTAGGAAACATACATAGGATTTCCTAAGTAGGAAACATACGTAGGAAACACCATCTCAAAGTACTTGTAATAACAAAATGATGAGAGGCGAGCTGTGTGGCCTAGAGGTGAGTGTGAATACAATATTATTATGGGGTAATATGTTATGGGTTTCTGCAGTTGTTACTGAAAAAAATTATTTATATCCACTTCAATAATTGTTCTAATTTTGAAAGTAAATGAAATGTGTCACTGTGTAGACCTATTCCTTGTTCAGTTATGTTTCTAGAACAAGCCAAGCTGATTGTGTCTTGTTCTTATCGTATATGTCACAATGAAAGTTGGTAAAAAGAAATTATAAGTATCATCACATTTCTTCAAATCTTCAAAATGAGTGAAACTAACTAGCAAACAAAGCTTTTTTTCAATCATTTAGCCCCACAAACTTAATACATGAATTCATGATGAAGTGCTACCATTACTGTAAGTCATATCTTCCATCACAAAGTCGAAAACCTGAAATGCCAATCAGTGAGGACAGCTTGAGCACTTTCACCAACATGGATCACAGTCGAAAACTGGACACAAGACATGAGAATGCTTCCTTATCGCAATGTACACAGATTGAAATGGGAAATCTTTCAGAACAGAGTTATCAGTTCTTTTATATCTTAAAGGATGACCATATTTATCACAATTAGATAAAGTCACACCAAAATCTTTGTTGATATGGATGCCCAGAATTTTGAATTCTAACGAAAAGAAAAATGCCTCCCTTTAAAAACCCACTCATATATAATGTTTGGTTGAAAGCTTAAACCAGAGATTTGATTTTGGGTAGTCGCAACAATGACTGACCATGTTGACCAGCAGGCATACAGCACTCCTTAATGATTACTGAATCACTGAATTTCCCCAAAGAACATGGGAATGAAGCATATCTATTGTCTATTATATTTCTTGAATTTTAAAAACTATTTCAGAAATCATTTGAGACACCTTAAAAGGTGCTGTCACTATTGGTGATAAAATTTCACAAGTAAATTGAAATAATGAAAAGACAAATGACAACATTGACTACTTCACTTTGTCTTCCACTGGTATCGCTTGTCGACTTTCTTCTGTGGGGGTATTCAACTTCAATAAAATAGTCAAAACTTTCTTCACACCCAAACACATCTTGTAAAACCAGAAAATATTCATCACATCAAGAATAACACAGGTGACAATAAGCACTCCTTGTATATGACCAATACGGGCAAAATCTTCAGTGCCATATACACTGTAAACTTTTGACCAGTAAGACGGCATGACTGCTATACGTGCCAAGAAAAAGGCTGCTGTCATAGCTAAACCATTTCCTATAAAGAGGGGACTGCTCTTTGGGTACCGCAACACATCGAAGAACCACCTGAAAGAGCAAGGATAAAGAGTGAGATAGGATGGCCTAATAGGTTTCTTGTGTAGACAGGTGTATGGTGAGTCAAGGTACACCCAGGTGTATGGTGAGTCAAGGTACACCCTGGTGTATGGTGTGTCAAGGTGCACCCTGGTGTATGGGGTGTCAAGGTGCACCCTGGTGTATGGTGAGTCAAGGTACACCCTGGTGTATGGTGTGTCAAGGTGCACCCTGGTGTATGGTGAGTCAAGGTACACCCTGGTGTATGGTGAGTCAAGGTACACCCTGGTGTATGGTGTGTCAAGGTACACCCTGGTGTATGGTGTCAAGGTACACCCTGGTGTATGGTGAGTCAAGGTGCACCCTGGTGTATGATGTGTCAAGGTGCACCCTGGTGTATGGTGAGTCAAGGTACACCCTGGTGTATGGTGTGTCAAGGTGAACCCTGGTGTATGGTGTGTCAAGGTGAACCCTGGTGTATGGTGTGTCAAGGTGCACCCAGGTGTATGGTGAGTCAAGGTGCACCCTGGTGTATGGTGAGTCAAGGTACACCCTGGTGTATGGTGAGTCAAGATGCACCCAGGTGTATGGTGAGTCAAGGTGCACCCAGGTGTATGGTGAGTCAAGGTACACCCTGGTGTATGGTGTGTCAAGATGCACCCTGGTGTATGGTGTGTCAAGGTGCACCCTGGTGTATGGTGTGTCAAGGTACACCCTGGTGTGGTGTGTCAAGGTGCAGTGTATGGTGTGTCCTGGTGCACCCTGGTGTATGGTGTGTCAAGGTGCACCCTGGTGTACATGGTGTGTCAAGGTGCACCCTGGTGTATGGTGTGTCAAGGTGGGTGTATGGTGTGTCAAGGTGCACCCTGGTGTATGGTGCAAGGTGCACCCTGGTGTATGGTGTGTCAAGGTGCACCCTGGTGTATGGTGTGCCAAGATGCACCCTGGTGTATGGTGTCAAGGTGCACCCTGGTGTATGGTGTGTCAAGGTACACCCTGGTGTATGTGAGTCAAGGTGCACCCTGGTGTATGGTGTGTCAAGGTGCACCCTGGTGTATGGTGTGTCAAGGTGCACCCTGGTGTATGGTGTGTCAAGGTGCACCCTGGTGTATGGTGCCAAGGTGCACCCTGGTGTATGGTGTGTCAAGGTGCACCCTGGTGTATGGTGTGTCAAGGTGCACCCTGGTGTATGGTGTGTCAAGGTGCACCCTGGTGTATGGTGTGTCAAGGTACACCCTGGTGTATGGTGTGTCAAGGTGAACCCTGGTGTATGGTGTGTCAAGGTGCACCCTGGTGTATGGTGTGTCAAGGTGCACCCTGGTGTATGGTGTGTCAAGGTGCACCCTGGTGTATGGTGTGTCAAGGTACACCCTGGTGTATGGTGTGTCAAGGTACACCCTGAAGTACATTGTGTTCAAGGTGCACCCTGGTGTATGGTGTGGTAAGGTGCACCCTGGTTTATGGTGTGTCAAGGTACACCCTGGTGTATGGTGTGTCAAGGCACCCATGGAGAGTATTTAAAGCTTCCGTCACGCCGAAGACCCAGGTTCGAATTCCCACATGGGTACAATGTGTGAAGCCCATTTCTGGTGTCCCCCGCCATGATATTGCTGGAATATTGCTAAAGCAGCGTAGAAACCAAACTCAGTCAGTCATTCATTTAAAGCTTCACTTCAGTTGTGGGTTCCTCATATGTATCTTGTATGTATACTGGCTGGAATGTCTGTGCTTGTTAATACAAATCAATAAGCTGGTTTCCTATTGAAACAGGCTGCATCTCAGTACAGTAGACACAACCATTTGGAAGAGAAAGCAGTGTCGGTACAATATCAAACATGCATGGTACTTTAAATATTTAATGTTCCAGAAGGCCTGGATATATTGTGTCTTTCAAGTTTTACTTCTTACACTTCAGTTGAGAGGGTGGGTAGATGTGCAACTTCAAACAAAGATTCTTTCTTGGATTTATTTATACAGCCCGAAAACTCCCCAAAACATAAAAAACTCAAACCTCTGGTTGACAAATGCTGTGGAAAACTCTGCCATGAGACGATAATTCGCGAAGTAGGACAGCACTCCGTATGTCTGAAACAAAACAACATGGTGGTGACAGCACACCCAACACAACAGGGAGACATGGATAACATATGAGGGCTGTCCACTGTCGCCATGTCATGGTGATCTGGTCATGGTAGCCTACAGCATGAAGTCACTTTGTCATGGTAGCCTACAGCATGAAGTCACTTTGTCATGGTAGCCTACAGCATGAAGTCACTTTGTCACAGCAGCCTACAGCATGAAGTCACTTTGTCATGGCAGCCTATAGCATGAAGTCACTTTGTCACAGCAGCCTACAGCATGAAGTCACTTTGTCATGGTAGTCTACAGCATGAAGTCACTTTGTCATGGCAGTCTACAGCATGAAGTCACTTTGTCATGGTAGCCTACAGCATGAAGTCACTTTGTCATGGCAGTCTACAGCATGAAGTCACTTTGTCATGGTAGCCTACAGCATGAAGTCACTTTGTCATGACAGCCTACAGCATGTAGTGACTTTGTCATGACAGCCTACAGCATGTAGTGACTTTGACATGCTAGTCTACAGCATGTAGTGACTTTGTCATGACAGCCTACAGCATGTAGTCACTTTGTCATGGCAGCCTACAGCATGTAGTGACTTTGTCATGGGAGCCTACAGCATGTAGTCACTTTGACATGGCAGCCTACAGCATGTAGTCACTTTGACATGGTGTCCTACATAGGGGTGGGTTTTGCAGAGAATTTTCATTTTTGCGATATATTGTGATTCGAAAACATATATTGTGATATGTATTGCAATACATTGCATGAAGTATTTTTAAACAAAAAACTACTTATAATCGATTTAATGCTTGATTTATAGAGCAAAAACACAACAAAATCACTATGCTTGAATAAAGCTTTAATAAGAACTTTTAATCATGATAAAACAAAAATGTGAATAATATTTGGAACAAATGAAACAAGGAAATATCCGAGGATTTACGAGTGCTATGAAGTTTTCGAATGCAAGTCAAAATACCGGTTTTCAATCAGCGTATCGCAATATGTTTTGTTTTCATGTCTGAACCGGTAAAAACCGGTACACCGGTTATATTGTGCAGCCCTAGTCCTACAGCATGAAGTCACTTTGTCATGGCAGCCTACAGCATGTAGTGACTTTGTCATGGCAGCCTACAGCATGTAGTGACTTTGTCATGGTAGCCTACAGCATGTAGTGACTTTGTCATGGCAGCCTACAGCATGTAGTGACTTTGTCATGGCAGCCTACAGCATGTAGTGACTTTGTCATGGCAGCCTACAGCATGTAGTCACATTGTCATGGTAGCCTACAGCACGTAGTGACTTTGTCATAGCAGCCTACAGCATGTACTGACTTTGTCACGGTAGCCTACAGCACGTAGTGACTTTGTCACAGCAGCCTACAGCATGTACTGACTTTGTCATGGTAGCCTACAGCATCGTAGTCACATTGTCATGGTAGCCTACAGCATGTAGTGACTTTGTCATGGGAGCCTACAGCACGTAGTCACATTGTCATGGTAGCCTACAGCATGTAGTGACTTTGTCATGGTAGCCTACAGCATGTAGTGACTTTGTGACTAGGGCAGCCTACAGCATGTAGTCACTTTGTCACGGGAGCCTACAGCATGTAGTCACTTTGTCATGGGAGCTTACAGCATGTAGTCACTTTGTCATGGGAGCCTACAGCATGTAGTCACTTTGTCATGGGAGCCTACAGCATGTAGTCACTTTGTTATGGCAGCCTACAGCATGTAGTCACTTTGTCATGGGAGCCTACAGCATGTAGTCACTTTGCTATGGCAACAGAGCCTGAAGTGACTTTGTTATTGTAAATAGTGATGACAGACAAACCAGTGGTTGATGGTATGAGTACTTACTGTGACATAGTAGTAAGCATACATGGACGCCCCATGATGAAAAAAGTAAAATGTTTCGCCTATGTGCTTGTAATGAACTGTCATCACAACCAAATCTGCAAAGAACAATATATCTTTAATTTACATAGCAAAACACTTGACAAAATGGCACAGAGGTGTGAAAGAAACGGATTCAGTTTTTTGGTAGTGGTGGGGAGGGGGTGGGATACATATGCCAAGTGGGCTGAATAACACAAGGTGTTTTACATAGCACAGTCCTGTCTTTTGTACATAAGAAAGATATCACAAACATTCTCACATCTGATTTCGAACTAAACAAAAACCGTAATTAGTTATGGTGAGATCTTACATTCTGCTGAAATGTAACATAACTCATAACTCTCCCATTTGACATATCTATTGGATAGATGTGACGTCTCACAGGAGATATGCTTTACAAACCATATCATCAGCTACCATGAAATGACAAACACTGGTACTAGTATTTTAGGGGCAAAATTGAAGAATGATTCAGGATGATAAACTGAATACAAGCATTATCACATACCAGAAGCCATGTATCCAAACAATATTGCACAGCTAGTTCTAACCATGGGGGCATCACACCTGCAATGATGACATGGATAAGTCACAGGGTTAGAGAGCTGATTAATAAACATAAACAAACAGCAATTCACATGCATAAATATTGAAACATGATTATAGATGTAAACTCACACAGGTACAGCAATCTGAGTGAAATCAACACTATAAGGACAATTAAAATCACTATTTCAGAAAATTAACATCTTGCATAAATTTATGTTCTTATATTCATGCACTAGTTTTTAAAATGACAATTCACTCCTGTCACAAACAAACATCAATTAAGTTGACAACCACAACTTGCTACCATTAGTAATACCATATTTGTAGCTGTCGATGGTCTGGTCAAGAACACATTGTTGTACTTTTTGACCCTGCATCCTTTATTGACTTAATCCATGGCATTACATCTCCATTAAAACTGTGGACCATAGCTAGCATGGCTTTATATCTCCATACTATTGTCATAAAAACTGTGGACCATAGCTAGCATGGCAATATATCTCCATACTATTATCATAAAAACTGTGGACCATAGCTAGCATGGCTTTATATATATCTCCATACTATTATCATAAATATCTCCATACTATTATCATAGCTAGCATGGCTATATATCTCCATACTATTATCATATCATGTGGAAAGCTGTGGACCATAGCTAGCTATTATCATAATATATCTCCATACTATTGTCATAAAAACTGTGGACCATAGCTAGCATGGCAATATATCTCCATACTATTATCATAAAAACTGTGGACCATAGCTAGCATGGCAATATATCTCCATACTATTATCATAAAAACTGTGGACCATAGCTAGCATGGCAATATTGTCATCCATCCATACTAGCTAGCATGTCATAAAAAAGCTGTGGACCATAGCTAGCATGGCAATATATCTCCCATACTATTATCATAAAAACTGTGGACCATAGCTAGCATGGCAATATATCTCCATACTATTATCATAAAACTGTGGACCATAGCTAGCATGGCAATATATCTCCATACTATAAAACTGTGGATCATAGCTAGCATGGCAAATATCTCCATACTGTCATAAAAACTGTGACCATAGCTAGCATGGCAATATATCTCCATACTATTGTCATAAAACTGTGGACCATATAGCTAGCATGGCAATATATCTCCATACTATTGTCATAAAACTGTGGACCATAGCTAGCATGGCAATATATCTCCATACTATTATCATTGTGGACCATAGCTAGCATGGCTTTATATCTCCATACTATTATCATAAAAACTGTGGACCATAGCTAGCATGGCAATATATCTCCATACTATTATCATAAAAACTGTGGACCATAGCTAGCATGGCTTTATATCTCCATACTATTATCATAAAAACTGTGGACCATAGCTAGCATGGCAATATATCTCCATACTATTATCATAAAAACTGTGGACCATAGCTAGCATGGCTTTATATCTCCATACTATTATCATAAAAAACCATAGCTAGTGGACCATAGCTAGCATGGCTTTATATCTCCATACTGTTATCATAATATCTCCATAAATCTCCATACTATTATCATAAAAACTGTGGACCATAGCTAGCATGGCAATATATCTCCATACTATTATCATAAAAACTGTGGACCATAGCTAGCATGGCAATATATCTCCATACTATTATCATAAAACTGTGGACCATAGCTAGCATGGCAATATATATCTCCATACTATTATCATAAAAACTGTGGACCATAGCTAGCATGGCAATATATCTCCATACTATTATCATAAAAACTGTGGACCATAGCTAGCATGGCAATATATCTCCATACTATTGTCATAAAAACTGTGGACCATAGCTAGCATGGCAATATATCTCCATACTATTATCATAAAAACTGTGGACCATAGCTAGCATGGCTTTATATCTCCATACTATTATCATAAAAACTGTGGACCATAGCTAGCATGGCAATATATCTCCATACTATTATCATAAAAACTGTGGACCATAGCTAGCATGGCAATATATCTCCATACTATTGTCATAAAAACTGTGGACCATAGCTAGCATGGCAATATATCTCCATACTTGTTATCATAAAACTGTGGACCATAGCTAGCATGGCAATATATCTCCATACTATTATCATAAAACTGTGGACCATAGCTAGCATGGCAATATATCTCCATACTATTGTCATAAAACTGTGGACCATAGCTAGCATGGCAATATATCTCCATACTATTATCATAAAAACTGTGGACCATAGCTAGCATGGCAATATATCTATATCTCCATACTGGCATTATCATAAAAAGCTAGCTGTGGACCATAGCTAGCATGGCAATATATCTCCATACTATTATCATAAAAACTGTGGACCATAGCTAGCATGGCTTTATATCTCCATACTATTATCATAAAAACTGTGGACCATAGCTAGCATGGCAATATATCTCCATACTATTATCATAAAAACTGTGGACCATAGCTAGCATGGCAATATATCTCCATACTATTATCATAAAAACTGTGGACCATAGCTAGCATGGCAATATATCTCCATACTATTATCATAAAAACTGTGGACCATAGCTAGCATGGCAATATATCTCCATACTATTATCATAAAACTGTGGACCATAGCTAGCATGGCAATATATCTCCATACTATTATCATAAAACTGTGGACCATAGCTAGCATGGCAATATATCTCCATACTATTATCATAAAAACTGTGGACCATAGCTAGCATGGCAATATATCTCCATACTATTGTCATAAAAACTGTGGACCATAGCTAGCATGGCAATATATCTCCATACTATTGTCATAAAAACTGTGGACCATAGCTAGCATGGCAATATATCTCCATACTATTGTCATAAAAACTGTGGACCATAGCTAGCATGGCTTTATATCTCCATACTATTGTCATAAAAACTGTGGACGATAGCTAGCATGGCAATATATCTCCATACTGTTATCATAAAAACTGTGGACCATAGCTAGCATGGCAATATATCTCCATACTATTATCATAAAAACTGTGGACCATAGCTAGCTTGGCTTTATATCTCCATACTATTGTCATAAAAACTGTGGACCATAGCTAGCATGGCAATATATCTGGATGGTCAAACATCTCACTGCTCCTAGTTTTGATGGACTACTTACCAAATAGGATCCTCACTGATTTCATTGTCGTAAACTAGTGAGTACACACACATACAGCTCACAATGGCAGAGTGGAGGGTTGAGTTTACTCTGGAATCAAACCATTTCAAAATACAGTGTCATAAAGTTAACAGAACCTGTAGGAGTCGACAAATGCTGGAACTTAGTGGAAGAGGACACAGAAATGTGAACAACCACTATCTCACAGAAATGTCTATTGTGCCAAAAATAAAACCCAAAGACATGTGTTTCTTGAAACATCTTGAGTTATGTTTTCTATTATCTAAAGTACCAATAGGGATCATTTCCCAGGATGGATGTAATGATTGCTGCATTCTATGAAAGACTTCTAAGCACATGTTACTGGGTTTTTCTACAGTAAATACTTGTCATGTCATTTATGTCTCTGTGTCGAGAGGAGGCATCATAACGCTGTCATTGTAATATTCAAACTAAATTACAGTCCGTTTGAGTCAGAAACGGACCGATGAATTGCAAATGTTATCATTGTACAAAATTGCCACATAAATATAAATAGTACACATGTTTATCATTTACTAATACCCAACAGCTTTCTTATATTTGAAAATTTTCCGGACTCCACCAAAAAAGTTCTTTCAGAAACTATCATCATTGAGAACGCATCTGTCGCGGCGGGGTGAAACCGCAGAAACGGAACAGCCACTATCTCGTCGTGCACGGGATACACACGCCTGATGAAAAATGAAGTTGAATGCTGACGTGAAACAGTTGATGATTAAAGTGTACGATTTTTTCTGTGCTGAAGCCTAAAGGGGCAAACCATTTTATGCCATTAATAAATTCCGTAAGCGGGCAGCAAAAGCTTTAGGAGCATCAGCAAGGGTACTGACAAATGTTCTGGAACACAAACATTGTGAGGGTGATGCGAAGCAGGTAGGGGTCGAGTCAAAATCACACAAATTAAAACATTTGGACAACTTTCAAAAGAACCTTGTAAGGCAGTCTATCAACAAGCTCTATTCTGAAAACAAATACATGTCGCTGAAATTTTAAAAAAGCATTTGAAGCAAGAACACAACCTCAGAGTATCAAAGTACACACTCTGGCGACTCTTACACTCTTTCGGGTATCGTTATAAGAAAATTTCGGGGGAGAATAGGTCAGTACTCTGTGAACGCCCTGATATCGTTTGCTTGAGATATAATTTTCTCAGGGTTATAAAGAAGAAGCGCGAGGAAGGGTTCGAGCCAGTGTACTTGGACGAGACCTGGGTCAATGCCTCGCACACTGCCAGCAGTCAGTGGGTACCTGATGGGGGTGATAAGGGGTCACGTAGAAAGCTGCCTCTAGGGAAAGGAGAGAGACTAATCATTCTCCATGCTGGTTGCTCCAGCAAAGGCTTTCTCCAAGGCTGTGACTTGGTATTCAGAGCAAAGTCCACAGATAACAGAGACTACCATTCCGAGATGAATGGTGCGGTTTTCCTCGATTGGGTTAAAAACAAGTTGGTACCAGCTCTACCAGAGCAGTCTTTTATCGTAATGGACAATGCCCCATACCACAGCATGCAGGACCCCGACATCGAACAGTCGAAAAGGTGATATGATATCATGGCTCGACAAATTTCAGATCGCACGGCCTTCAAAGGCAACGAAGCCTCAGCTATATGAGATCATAAAAACCAACAAAGGTGAACCTTTCTACAAAGTTGACAGTTACATAAAAAGTAAGGGTCACGATATTCTGTGACTTCCACCCTCTCACTGTGACCTTAACCCCATTGAAATGATATGGGGTATTGTCAAAGGAGATGTTGCCAGATCAAACACAACTTTTAGATTACATGACGTAGAGATTTTGGTTAAGGAATCCCTTAACAAAATCATGACTGAAACTTGGCAAAACTGTGTCAACAAGGTAGCTAACATCATTGAACAAGGTTACTGGTCTCGGGATGGCTTACAACAGGCAACTGTGGCACCACTTGTCATCCCTTTAAGTCGTGACTATGACACTACGACAGACGAGGAACCAACAGGTCTCCCGGAATAGATTTTGAGATGTCCCCTGCCATGACTGGCTGTTCCGTTTCTGCGGTTTCACCCCGCCACGACAGATAACAACTTTTGCGTTTTCAATGATGATAGTTTCTGAAAGAACTTTTTGGTGGAGTCCGAAAATTTTTCAAATATAAGAAAGCTGTTGGGTATTAGTAAATGATAAACATGTACTATTTATATTTACGTGGCAATTTTGTACAATGATAACATTTGCAATTCATCGGTCCGTTTCTGACTCAAACAGACTGTACATACTATGTATCTATTGTTGCCATAACAACATGTGTAAACTAAAGTATGAATACATCAATATTAACAATACTAAATACAGGTTTGTACTGACAGGAATCATTTTGAGAGGAATTAGAGAATTATTCAACAACCAGTAACACTCTTGTTTACATTGCATGTATAGTCACTAATAACTCATCTTTAGAAAACCTATTTACAAATGTAACAGTTGGAAATCTACTGACTCAATCAAACAGATAAAGATATTAACTAAAGTACAGGGTATGTCCACATTCTAGTCCTGAGTAGTTATTCACTCGATAATGCAAAGATATCACATCTCACTGTACACACCACTTATCATCTCAACTATTGTTGCTGAAACTGTACAGGTGTGCCACTTATCATGCCAATGTCCCCCACATCTCTGTCTGATAGCATCATTATCATATTGTGTACAACACATGATGACAACTATTGGATAAAGAAATCACACAAGAACACTAATCAACATACCAGAATACATTATTTCAAAGGGAACTAACAGTATACTCTGTGCATGGTTTTTATTTTGCCAACCGTGCACAGAATTTGTAAACAAACTGTTAGATTTTTGTAAGGACATCAGCATGTTGAGATTTCCTTTTTGCACCAACCTAATTAATCCAATTAGGAAAAGAGGACAAAAATCTAAAAAATTGTTATCCCACTTGTCAAAGAATTTCATTAACTCATAAAAAATCACATGGTGAGATTTGTATCAACCAGTATTATGCAACACCTTTCTGAGTCACTAGTTATCAATAATTATAAACATGTTAAAACAAACAGACGATCATACCACCTGACCTGTTCATAAACAATCGGCAAAGAGTAAAAGATCTACAAGAAAGATGAAAACTGATATGATAATAACCATGCAAAGTGTTATACTGAAGTATCGTTAACTCACCTAGTATTCCAGTCAATTTGTTTCGCCAGTGGCATATTCCTGTAACCTTCACACATTCGTAGTGACAGTGATGGGGAGACATACTTATAGATACACAGGAAAAATGCACAGCTTGCAAAAGCAAATGGGTAATAGGTTGTGTCAAATGCGATCACTTCAATCCTGCGACTCATCATTTGTTCGAGGTTAGCATTGCAGATCTGAAATTGAAAACAGTGCTCATGACAAAGTGATCATTTAGAAATCACATATGAAAGGCTAAATCTATCACATAAGCTTGTTAATTATTTCACTCACTCTATATTAATTAATGTCCAGTGATAATATTGAAGTTCAACTTGGCAATGCCATGGTCATATTGCAAATTTCATTCTATTACTGAACTTGTGACCTTTGCATTAAACAGAAATAGCTAATAGCCCCAAGGGATAGGCACAACACAGCCAGCAACTAACAATCCCAAATATCACATAAAGGAATTACATATAACCGAAACAACTTTTTCGCAAATATTACCTCTTAAAAACTAGTACTGAAGAACGTGGGCGCTACTGAACCACCTCTTGTTCTGCACTGGTTCAACCAGATTGAGTGACAACAGCCAGGTAAGGTCTTATAGAGTAAAGCTACTGAAGTCGTGTAATACAGAGATAAGATAATAGGTGCTACGTTGATGGTCCTACATCGAGTTTTATCAGCTGACTCCAGCTCGGACCTTTGCCCTAAATATCTTGTCATGAATGATTATGTCATTTCCTTAGACGTTTGTCAACCTCAAGTGCTCAGATCACATGCCTAATTTATGAATTAATGCGCACAAAGACAACATCGTAATTGTGTTTCTGCATTTCAACCTCTGTTTAATTCAAAATCCATATCAAAAGGACCTACAGAATCACAAGTGCATTATTCCACATTTTGACAGGTGCTCTTCTGTGAAGCCACGTTAGTTCCCGGAAGTCACATTAAAAGGAAGTAAACGACGCATGACGCGGTACGTATGAACCGAAATATGCCTCATATTGACTTTAGTTACAATTTGGGCTGTGCATTATCGACGGAGGAGCAATATTCTTACATTCTTTGTGCGTATATCACCATAGATTCAAACAGCACATTACAATTGGTGCCTGAACTCTTTGTTTTGGACTAAGCCAATACACGATTGTCTCCCTTGTGGAAACCGAATTGTCTGCCCTTACTGCGATAGCTATGGGATTTTTGGAAAGATCATAAGCATGGACGTGCTGGTATTTCTCATTCTAGTTCCAGTGTGTATTCTGACATATCTTCTGTATAGAATTGTATTTGTCACGGTAAATGGAAAACACAATCCATCAAATGCAGACAAAAGGAAAGATCCAGCCTCCTTGATGGTAGTAGTTGGTTCAGGTAAATATTTATAAGTTACATCACCCTATATAGAAGTTGGGGGCCTGTTTCTCATCTGTGTTAATGTTATTGATTAAAATAGATAATCATATAAATGTTACGTTGGCAAAGAAATCCTATCCCACCAGCCACTGTTTTTATTTTGTGAGGACATGGTAAGGGTTGGTGGTTTCCTAACCCTGATATATTCATAGCTAATTCACTTACATATTGATTTTAGATGTATGTTTTTGATTAATGAAAATACCATTTATGTTATTAATGTAAGTGGCTGGAAGGATCGGAAATCTTACCGTATATTGTTTTGTGCTCTGTGATGATCTGCCTGTATAATTTCAAATTAAGAGACATTGATCAACTCCTATGATTAAATCTGAAGATTTCCGTAATCGTTGTAACCTAACACTGGATACTGTATTTGTATTATAGGAGGTCACACAAGAGAAGTCCTGTGTCTGGTGCGGCAGCTGGGGAGCCACTACTCACCCAGGTACTATATTATTGCAGATACAGACAAGATGAGTGAACATAAAGTCCATGCCTTAGAAGAGAGTAGGAAAGAAGAGCAAGAAGAGTCTCAGGTATTATCCTCAAAATATCCTTTTAGTTGCATTTTCTGTACTTACACAACTGGTAAGCCTAATTATTTCACAGAATAATCAATTATAGTTTATTTTAGGCAGTCATATTTGCTGTGAGTGTATTGTTTACCTCACTGGCTATATGTATCCTAAATTTGTAAGACCCGTGAAACAAGATGGATTTTTTTAGTCATGTACAGCCTCTTTTGCTCTCCTGGACGAAGGTGTATCACTTCATGCATTGTCAGTCATAGACCCTCATTCTCTCCATTAATGTTTTGACTCATTCAGGGGTGAAACATTCAGTACTGGAAAACAGGTAGCCCCATAGTGTGACATAATGGAATAACAATGTGTGGTTGTGATGATGTGTACAAATGTTTGTGTGTTTCTTATCAGACTATGTTAGTATTTACTATTACTATTTATCAAAAGTTACTATGAATAATAGTTGGCAAAGAGTGTCAGAAATGCATGTTTGCTGTGCAAGGGTCTCTCTCATATACTGTTCCGATAACACATTCATGTACTGTTATGGACATGTAAAAGCTTTACTCACCAATGTTATTCCCTGATTTTTCAGAGTCAAAGCATAATGCCATTGTTTACATGAACATTTGACAAAGAGGCTAATGTATAGAGACAGGATCCTTTTATTTCAGTATTTTGTGATAAGAATTCCTCGGAGCCGTAATGTGAAGCAGTCGTGGGTCACCACAGTGCTATCAACTCTCTATGCTGCCGTCTACACTTTTCCTGTTGTCTTCCGACGCAAACCAGAAATAGTATGTACTGTTATAAGTTGATTATCTGAGTTACTTGTAGCTGTCACAATAGATTTTCCTTGGAATGTGACTTCTCAAGTAGGGAGTTGTTCACATCAATAGCTAGATCCAAGTATGGAAGCAGCTCCTTCCCCCACCTTTCTTCATGACTACTGCCAGAAACATGTATGTACCAAATAAGGTAACAGCTAAGTCTTGAGCTGACCTCACCTGTCCATCTTTCACCATGTTTCCATGCCATGCCAGGGCTCCAGATAAGGGCTGTATCGGCGTTTGTACGGATATAAAATAAACACGATATGGTAGGAAGGAAACAATTTTAAAAACGTAGCAGATACGGACCACAGCAATGGTGTACGGTTTCAGAATCATTTTTAGATGTAATTATCTGAAAAAGTATTGTTTTATTGTTTACTGACCTATTTACACAAGAGTAGCAATGTTGTGGTGCATATATGAAACGAAACACAAGATTACTGATACGCCATTAAATTCCATTCAGTACTCTAAATGTACTCTTATTGTTTTCCAGTACTCCTATATTGAAAAAATAAGGAGTACGTACTCCTGATCATGAAAAATTATCTGGAGCCCTGCCATGCTACTGATACTTTATGAATGACATTATTCGAAAGTCATTTCATGACCCTCAATGTGACCTTGACATTTGATGCAACCATTACATCTGATATACGTTATTTAAAGATCATGTTTACCTGACTGGGAGATGCTTGATTTAGACAAACATTTCCTGAGTCATGCTTCATAGTGTGACCCACTGAACTTGACCTGATGCACAATAGAGACCAGCAAATATTGTCAAATTTCAGCTTTTTAGGTGCCTAGTTCATTCTTAGTGATGTTAACCTTTGGCAGTTCTGATTTATGGGAGGTGTTTGAATTACACAGGGGCCTTCATTACATATCAGTCAAAAGTCTGTGAAAAAGAGTGTCCACACATCTTTGCTGTTGCAGATTTTGTGTAATGGCCCTGGAACATGTATTCCTGTTTGTCTTGCTGGACTTATACTCAAGGTATGTACAAATATATAATACATTCAGTCTTTCAGTGGATTGTAATATTCTTTCCAAAGCAACCATTAACACTGTGATATCACAAGAATACATACTGCAAATAACCATTGAATGTCAAATGATTTCTCTTCCAGTGGCTCAACTTCCAGCGTACCATGATAGTATATGTGGAGAGTATATGTCGGGTGACATCCTTGTCTCTCTCTGCCAAGATACTTTACCGCTTTGCAGACCACATGTTTGTCCAGTGGCCGACCCTACAGCAGCAGTATCCCAAGTGTCAGTACATTGGAAGAATTGCATAGTGATATGTTACCATGTTTTTGTTTGTTAATAAAACTTTTGTTTTGTTCTAGTGCATAGTCTTTTGTTCGATTGAAATTACAGGGAGAAACTGGCACCTGAAACTGGTCAGGAACTGCATACTGTTTAGTTTACACTAGGTGGAGTTAGCTCTAGGTCAACCAAGTATGTCTCTCACTCTAACCATTCTAACTATGTAGACTTTGTCCAAGATGTCAATATACAGTCTGTCTTAAAGAAACATGGATGCACATTTGTTCAAAGTTTATATTTATATAACAGAGATCTGTGTGTATTTGAATTTGGACAAGACAATCCAGTGATTGACACTTTAAGCTTTGATCTAGGTATTTTAGATATGATGACACGCAATCTACCAAGTCAGTTAGTTGCCTCTCATGACAACCTCTGGTTACTGAAAATGACTCTAACAAGCATTTTCAAATCTAAATTACATTACCTAACATGCCTAATCTTTCATCAGTTGATCAAGACAATTAACCTTGAGATCCAGTATAGGTCTGAGTTGGGTAGTGCTGCTCAGACTCTCGTCTGTTGTCACAAATAGTGAGTGGCATGCACCAATAGCATGTCCAGGAATATCAAGAACAGTACACATTTGCATAGCAGACAATCTGCTTGAAATTAGCATTCTTTTATTTCCAGTCAGTGGCAAATGTATCAAGGCAAGTTCCACATGAAACAATGACACAGGTTAACATATATTTCTCGGACTTTGTACACTATGTACATGGTGTATTGCACTGTGAGATAACATGGAATGCATTTCCACACAAGTGTGAGATAACATTGAACATCCATGAACAAACATCACAAATTGACACAGTCAAGGTAAAATAATGGGATGGCCTCTGCATTTACATTACCAGTCACACTTATCAGCTGGGCTGATGAAAGAATTAAATGTTTTGAACAGTATGGCAGTTTATCAGATTCTATCTGTATGAGTGACATTGATGTTGGAGTGGAATGGAGCAGAGCGTTGTGGATGGGATCTGTCGTTCTCTCAGCATTGTTTGGAAGACAGACTGTGGAAGGATGAGATTGGATATTTTTACACTTGTTTTTTCACACTTTGTCTTTGTGTGAACCAGAGTAGGCCTGCCACAAATAATGTTGATCCCACCATTCCAGCAGTAAACACTGTTGTGGGAAATGTGCCCTGCAACATAAAGGAAAGAGCTGAGCCAATGAGCGAGCTGGGTCTGTTTGCTTCTTTAAGAAACATCCCTAACCATCGCTGAGACACCAAATATGGGCATCACACAGTGCACAAAATGAAAACCAGGTCGTTCCTTTGACAAGCTGCCCTGCTGGTGCAACACAACAGATATTAGGATTCATATAATAATGTAAGAGGTCTTCTTAAGTGTTATTGAGTGTGAATATTCCAGCAATATCACTGTGGGGGACACCAGAAATGGGCTTCACACATTGTACCCATCTGGGTAATCGAACCTGGGTCTTCGGCATGCGATCAATTAACCCCTAAGGCTACCCCACCACCCTTTAAGTCTTGTTAGTTTGTGTCGTTCGAGATGAGCAAAATAATGAATATCTATAAATAGCATTTAATAATTTTACAAGTAATAACTACCTTTCTGAGACACTTGTATCCATGGTAGCCTGGTAAACATAGGCACTCAGTTATCCCTGGACCTGTATTAGCACAGTAGGAATTGGAGGGGCAAGACACTGAAATGAAGAGAAAATCTCCATGACATTACATGTACATTAGATTGTCAGATTAGCTTTTGAAATGTCCAAAATGGTACCCGAATGATATTTTAGACAAGAAGTAAGGAGCAGTCCTCTTCATGATATCAGTGAACGTGTAATCAGGAAATGTACCTACAACCTTGTTCAAGCAGACATAACATAAAGGTATGAAAGGTAGAATACTAACATATAGATCAATTGGGTTTGTTTACGTAAGTAGATAAAGTTTGCACTTAAATTTTCATTCACATAAATAGTGTCACCATCCAACTATGTCAAATGGTCCAGATATGACCAAGTCATGCACAGACATGACACACCTACCATTATGTACGAGACAGAAGTCCAGCTCCTGTAGACACAGTGTTTCATTAGCTGTTGTATTGGTCATCTCCCACGCACCCATGCCCCCTGGACAGTCACTGTCCATAGGAAGAGCCCTGACCAGAATGTAAAGTTTTAGTCAAGTGATGCAGATAAAATATTTTCAAAACACCACATTAAAACCCTGTTCAATGGATGAGTGTGCACTCAGTTTACTTTCTCATATTCTTGGGGCCAAAATAACCAAGCTGTCTGTGAAGTGCTAGAATGTTAAGATCGATATGACCATGTACTGGAATATTGCTGAGTGTGGTGTTATACGACAACACAAACAGAAGTCATGTCATCCTGGTGGTTACCCATTAACTGGTGGGCAAACAGAGGCATATTACTGACACTGTTATCTGCCTAGGAAGACCACACATACAAGATACTTTCAAAAGAGGAGTTGCTGGATGCAGTCACTCATCAAATCCTGTAACTACCATGTTAACTTCACCTGATTTGCAACCTGTATACTCTTTAAGAAACAAAGCTGCCATATAGCTGGAATATTGCTGAGTGCTGTGTAAAACTAAACTCACTCACTTAAGAAACAAGGATCAGCAGCTTCTGAAACAACTAAGGGGCATAACTCTACATGGCTGTACTACCTGGTGCACTCAGTAGAAGCAAACAACTTCAACATTCTAAGGATTGTTATTCTCTTTCATATGTCTTTGATTGAAGATACTGAAGTTTAATGGAGGCATTCACATTATTTTTTATTGCATTAGAACCTCCGGATGTCTGATGAATTGGTTATAACCTGGGAAAGCCACATTTAGGAACAGAGTTGAAAATGGTGGGGCACAACCGGCAATGGGCATGGTTGAGTGATCATGTGAATGTGGCTCTCCCGGCAATGTGCTTTTAGCTAATCCATGTTACCCTAAATAATGTGAAATATTCATTATGTAAAATCTAGAAGTCCAGTTGAATTGTTCGTGGAGAAAAGTCCAGATCACGCAAACTAGGTACTCAAACAACTATTACAAATTATTTATGATTATACAACCAATTATTTCTTTGAAGCATTTTAACTTTTGGGAGGGTCAATTCAATGTTTTATTTATCCTTTTCTGATAACTGTTTGAGATAAGACTGACTGACTGAGTTTGGTTTTACGCCGCTTTTAGCAATATTCCGGCAACATCACGGCGGGGGACACCAGAAATGGGCTTCACACATTGTACCCATGTGGGGATTCGAACCGAACCGCTTTAACCATTAGGCTAACTTGTTTGAGATAAGAGCTATTGTTGTCTCAGTTATTAATATATGTTTACATTCACGCCAAAAATAAGAAGAAAAATAAAAAATTCAGAAGAATGACCATTAGGCTAACCCAATATACTTATAAACAGCCACATATGTGATGCCTTACTCTTTTCATTTCATAGCTGTTTTGAAGCAAAATTTATGACTAGATTTTCCAAAATCATTTTTTTGCCGCCGTTGCAGTAATGGCATTTTGATTTAAAGCTGAAACATCACAGTACATTTGAAGGAAACCTCTTGTCCAAACTTCTCTGCTGATGCAATATACCAATCATACAAACCAAACTAGTTTACATGAAGACATAAAAATACAAAAAAATACAAATAAAATTTTCTCAAGAGCAAAAGCTGAAATTGCCCTTTTCCATAGCATGTATCATTTAATCTCAGAACATATCTTATCATATGTTAACTATAAACTTCAATGAGAATGAAGAAGCCACCTATCATATGTTAACTAAACAAACAAAGGACAAGTCACTAAAACAATTTTAATCCATTGTGATCAGTGGGTGACACATATTTGAAAAACACGGTATTGATTCCCTTACTCATTGTGGCTTTCATGGCACCAAGGTTTGTACCTGAAATGTGGCTTTAGCTGCAATTGGTATTTTTCAAATGTGGCTATCCCGGGCAGACACTGATAAATTTGATTCAGTGATACTCACAAATATTTCAATTCTAAGAGGCCTTTGAAATCTGTAGTTGAAGTATTCATCAGTGGGTTGTCCTGGAGTAGACTGAAAAAGTGACATCAAGACGATTCACCCTAAGAGTACTAACAATCCAATGCACGACCATCTTACACTGTCAGCTTTACAGGAACAAAAGATGTTTCATGTTTTTCCATAATGGCAAAACATGAAACACTAATTCATGAATATGTGACTCATAAGCAAGGAAAGATAGAATATTCATTATCAAAGCCCAAACAACAGATGTCATTGAAGACATAAAACATGTTTTGTATTATACATGAAACATACTCTGTCTCAATAAAACTTACAGGACTTGAAGAGATGCTCCATGTGTGAACAAGCCAGTCAGCTGTGACAGTCCACATCCCTGAAGGTCAAGGCTGCAATCAATGTTCAGGTTTATCAATATTGGTTAGCCAGTGAAAATATTAACAACAAAAATGGCACAGAGTGGACACTTCAGCAAAGATGTTAAATCTTTTTAGGTAGTCATGTTTGGTGTGATCACTGCCTTGAGCTGCAGTTAAGTTAAGTCACTATGAAAATCCAAAAATAAGAATGTTTAGTCAAACCATTAGAATAGGTGTGATGATGTCAGAGGGTTCTTGCCAGTTAGAGTTGTTGAACAATTATATGTTCTTGTTATAAATAATTCTGCATTAACAAAAACTACAGTATACTATATTTGATAAAATTATATTTACATTCTTCAAAAACTGAATGGGAAAAAGAAAATGTATGACAAAATCATCTGATCTTGCCTACCCTAAAATTTGTTGTGAGCCTGTGACATTGACACAACATCTGCCTTGAAGCTGGAGATCTTGTTCATGGCAGAAGTCGTAGACATAGCTGCCGTTCATTGAACTACTGCATGTCTTAGAACAGACACTGTTCTGAAATATCAAAACACAGTTAAGTACCCCTGTGATGGATGACTTTCAATGCTTTATCAAATGTATTAATAATTTAGTATTCACTTGATTATTGACAATTAAGGGTAGGACCAGCAACTAAATTACATCCAAATTCCTGAAGTTCCTCCAGAAGTTTTTCGGCATCAGATCAGACAGATCAAAGCAATAGAGAGGTTATCTTAACATCCATGACTATACCAATAATTTCAAGTCAGTGGAGAGAAATTAACACTTTTTTTCAGTAATATAAGGAAGGAAGGAAGGTCTTTCTGAATATAACCTGTTTCAGAAGTTTCTTTGAACATATTTCCCAAATTATGTTATGGGATATTGTTATTGGTATTTGAACTCTGGTACTGAATTGCAGTGCATGTTTTGTTTACTTGTGACTGTTTCCAATATGTCTGATAGATCAGATGCATATGCTGAAGAAAAAATGAACTAAAATTCCTAGTGGTGCCTTAATTGGAGTGTTCCAACCATAGTTTACCGTACACTGGAACTCGAACACTGGGAACTAATGTGAACATATAATAATGTGACTGGCAAGATTAGAAAATATACCCTGCAAACTGCCATTTTTAACAAACTTGGGAGTTATTTTAACAACTAACAATCTAATTTTTGGACTTGGCAAACGTTGAAGTTTTCCACCCCTAAAGGAGTCATGTTTTTTCAGTGTCCCTGTGTTCTGTTATGGTTTATTAGTACTTTTCTAACGACCAGTTTCACCCTCACACGATACATTTTGTTTCTTAACATGCTGTAGCAGGTGTTTGTGCCATTATAGTATACCGGTGGACTAAGCAAACTGATAACAGAACATCACGAAAACATAAACACCCATTTCACGCGAAAATAAAACACAGAATGAAAAATATTTTTATCGAGAACAGGCACTAGTCAACTATTCAATTGCTTTTACCTGTGTATCACTACAAAAGACGATGTAAACTAGGAATGTGTTGATAAGAAGCCAATTGCGTAAGGGAGTCATATTTTCTTTTCCGAGATGGAATCAACGAGCGGCCATTTTTACGTCATGTGACCCCATCTTCCTGTTTCGTCGCTTAAGCTGGTTCTGACTCTTTTTGCGCGTCGTAAACTTGCACCAAAGTATGTTCCGATATCATAGACGGGGCCCAGTTTATGTCGTCTCCTAGCGGTGACCTCCGCGGGGTTGTTACGTTAGCAACGTAAACAAACCAAACTGGCGTATGTTATCGGGTGTTTAATTGGCCCGGAGACAAGCCTTTGACCAATTACAAGATTGTTGACATCAATAGCCTGACGTTTTGTGTTTCGTTAGCAACGAGGCCTACAAGTAGAGTGTGGTGGCTATTTACTCAGTCCCCATTTGTAACGTTTCCATCAGTTTACTTCAGGCAACTACAGAGGATACCGACTTCGACACCTTTTGTTGGGTTTGTACAACCAGATTACCGCACCATACTGTCTTTCAGTCCGATTAATAATTTTACTGTTATACACTAACCAAATTTCACATCATATCGTGACTTATGTACTTGGCTCATGCTTCAGTGTCACAGATTGTCATCGAGATATCATCTACTGCAAATCTTTGCTATATATGCTTGTCATTAAGGACGTTACTTTTACCGTTAGTCAACAGTTCTGTCCTTCATTACGTTTTAGGATCATCAACGATAATGGAAAGAAATATTGCCAGTTTGAATTATGAATGTTTTGACTTCACCCGATTTGTTTCTTTATTTTTCGGCCATTATCCATCTTTGCAAACTCACGTTTATGTGGTTTACATGCTTTATTAATTTTGATGATAATGATGATAAAGAACCCATAGTATTTTTATACACAAGTTCTGAACAAGGAATTGATCCATATTTAATAGCTGATGCTTGAGCGCTGGTAGTCGGCAGAAACAGTGGTAATCCCTCTTTGTCATTGGAATTTTTTTTAACATTGTAGCAGTGCTTTGCAAGGAATGTTATGTCACACATATTGGTTGCTTACCAATATTAATATCTTTGATTTTACAGACTCCAGAGTTAATTTTGGAGTAGCTGTCAAAATGGCCACCCAACTTCGCCCTACAACTCGCTTCCAGCCTCCAGACTGGTTCACTAGCAACTACACCATCTCTACCAATGCTGAGCGACAGAGGGATGCTTCACACCAAGTCAGACAAGAAGGCAGATTCTTAAGAAATGAAACAGACAATCAAACAAAATGGGATCAGCATTCAAATAATGTCCGTCTAGCAGATAGAGTAGATAATATCAGGAAATGGAAAGAAATTCTGGAGAAGACTCTAGCTGACATAGACAAAGAAATAGCTGACCTCACTGAATCCAAGGAACAGACCGAGCAAGCACTTGAGGCCAAGAACTTGCCGTTGGATGTAGCCATTGAGTGTCTGACTCTGAGGGAGGGCAGGCAATCCATTGATGTGGTTCAGGATGATCCAGAGGGTCAGCTGCACAAGGTGATGACATACACTGATCCCACTGTACATCTGTTGCCATGAGGACAAATTCCTCTGTATTAATGTATCAGTAGGTAACCTTATGATGTATTACAAGTATTGTGACACAAAGCCTGGAGCATCAGTACCATGGGGAATTATTACCACTCAAATATTGTCCTTCTGTATCCTCTTAATTTTAAAGATATTCTCCTTACTTGTATATCATGTTGCATTAGGTAAATTGATGAGAACAACCTCATGTTAGATTGTCAGGTCAGCTGAACTGACTAAAATACTAACACAATAAATACATATGTTGGCAATTTGTTAATTTGACCAGCTAACAATGAAACTTGATTTTTTGCTTCACAGGAAGTTGAAGTGATTGAGGGAATCAAGAAACAGCTGCAGCAGCGTGTGAATGAGTCTTTTGAGCAGCTGTGTCTGCTGCAGGAAGCTCGTCAACAGCTGCAGGCTGACCTCCAGGACAAGAACATTGCTCTGGGTATTGACATTGACCAATACAACCTCACTGACCGCTCCCCAAACATCAGCTTCAAGCCAGATTCACTCAGAGTCCCCAAGGGGTAGGCAACTTACTTCATCTTGCTACAGGATGAAATCAAATGTCATCTATCTTATTCAGATCACACTTCTGTAATACCCTCATTTAGTGTATAATTTATCTACTGTTTTGTGGATATACTGTGATTTGCTGCAAAGATACCAATAACAAAGTAAAACACCATTAGAAAAGAGGGTGATTGTTTTGCTATAATGTGTCCATTCCACCTGCCTGACCCCATGTTCTCTGTAACAGGAGTACCACCCCTCAGCAATGGGAAGACTTTAGTCGCTACAACAAAGAACGTGCTGAGGCTGAGATGAAGGCATCCACCAGACTACGAGAGGCAATCCATCACACTCTCCAGCAGACTGCCAATGACTTAGAGGCTCAAAGAATTGCTACGGAATACGCCTTCAGGAAGAGGATCCACGAGTTTGAGAGAGCAAAGGATGAACTGGAGTGGCAGAAGAAGAATGTAAGTTTACTCAGTGTGATGTCAAATGCAGCAGTTGTACTGTCCTCTGACACCCTCTTCGCTATTCATGGCCGTGGGAACTCATCTGTTAGTTAGCTACATCCAATATCAATCTTTATTTTCAGACTGAGGAGGAAATTGCTGATATGGAGAATGACATTCGTGGCCTGGAAGAATCCATCCGTGCGAAGATCAATCCAATGAAACTGGCCCAAACTCGTCTTGAGAACCGTACATACCGACCAAATGTGGAGCTGTGCCGGGATGCTCCCCAGTATGGGTTGACTGATGAGGTCAAGCAGCTTGAGGCCACCAAGCGGGCACTAGAAGAAAAGTGCAACCAGGCAAAGTGAGTAAACAGTTAGGCAGGGATGGATGGATATTTGAAAATTAGCTGATTTTGCATTGAGATAATATTAAGTTTTCAGCTGAAAATAGATTTTGCTGTTGCCATCCCTGTGAAGTATAATTCTGATATTTTTAAGCACCATTGTGTGATTGTAATGTTTGTAACAATTTATTTTACAGACATGCTCTGGATGGCCTTGAGAAGAACCTCCATCGCATCAATGATGACCTCGCTCTTAAGAACAACTCGCTGATGCTGGACAACCGCTGCATGAACGTACGTCAGAAGCTCCAGGCCCGCCCACAGAGCACCATCGAGAGGAATCTCACACTCACTGGCATGGAGCGACAGAGGTCAACCGTTCTTGCCTAACCAGGAACATCACAAATAAATCATTTAACTAAGATTCTCATGTCAGCTGTGCAAATATCAATTTTATGTCAACACGTTGAATATAGATCTCAAATCAAGTCCAATATTTTATCACAACACATGTAAAATTGTCCTGAGCAAATGTACATTTTTATTACTGTTATGAATATTTTCTATGCAGTTGATGCATTGAAGTTTAAACTGTTCTACAATTTCATTTATAACAAAATTGGAAACTTGTATATAAGCATGCAGGTTTATATACTGGAGTCTGTGGACAATTGAATCATGTGAATGGAATATATATGTGTTATAGGATTACAGCATCAGTATTCAACTGCTTTCTTCCTGTTGTTGTGTTTCTCACAAATATCTACCTTGTTGTAAATACTTTCTGACTGCAATGTGTGTTTCAGTTACAGTATCATGTAGAATGACAATAACTTGGGTTACTGCTACTGCAAGATCCTCTGTTTCAGATGACTTGTACTGGCCATACATACAAAAGAACAACCGCTTACTTAATTTGTCATGAATGTGTAAATATGAAAAGAAAAGTGTACAAAAAGATAATAAATGTGCTCCAGATGTGTCTCCACTTCTGTCTTGTGATCTACAGAGAGTTGACAACGTGTAATCTAGGAATGGTTTCAGTGGAGGTCATAGTGTGATGCAGTAGACTCAGACCATGACAAACCTGACATAGTTGGGACGGTGCTGCAAGATTGGGTTGGATGAATCAAATCACAACTAATCCACAGCTTCAACTAATCCAATAGTATTCTTTTGGGGTTCTATTGTATTTATTCAAAGAAAGCACAACATATAGAGAATCTCACCTGGGTGGCCACTGATATCAAGTACATGTACATCAGTACCCGATAACGTTTCTTGCCCAGCCAATTTTAGATGAAAAATGTTAAAATATCAAGCTCAGCAAGCACAAACATCCTGATTTGACAACAAAACAACATCTGATTATACAATAGCCATGTTTATTTGATGATTTCTTGCAAATATTATTTGATAATATATCAGACAAGGGTTTGTCACATAACCGGTTCTTAAACAAAATGATTTCACCAACATATATGATTTGACATGTGTAGCATTAAATGCTGGGCTGAAGTGCAGGAAAGTGAAATTCTCATGTTCGTCTGGACATTGATGAAATGCTGGAGTCTCATAATACAACATGATAAAACTAGTAGTTTTATGGCAGTATCTAATATGTACATATTTACACATGTTTTACAGAGACCAAATATGTTTTGACCATTACAAAACACTTACAATGAAAGGTAATTAACCTTTAGAAGTAACTAATGGAATTGTACAGACATGGTTGCCCATAGTTCCATAGTGATGCTGGCTCCATGATGCACAGTAATACACAACCTACAACTGCACAATATATACCCTTGTCATTTAAACATTTGCTGATGTACATTCAACTGAAGAACAAACTAGAGCGTTTCGTCTTTTCTTTTGAACTGATCAAACTGCAGCATCCATGGGTGTGCATCATTGAGCAGAATTATCCAAAAAGTCTGTCAGTTCTAGTGATGTGCTGAATACACTAAAACTGTGGGGACCTATAGTTTCCTCTCATTGGTCGGCCCCTCCAGTGCCCTGTCCCCCGCATGTTCCTCATGTTGACCCCACCCCTCCGGGGGCCCCGAGGCCGGGGTTGGTAGCCCCCAGGTCGGCGCTGAACAGGGTGTCCACGTACAGGCTGGGTCGTGGGTGGTGTTGGCTGAGGCTGGGGGGTGGAGGTGACAGGTTGGGGAGCATTGGCTGCACCCTCGCCCTCCCACACTATACGCTGAATCCGGGGCTTTGGACCACCTGATCAGAGAAACGTTGTGTTCAATAATGACACTGTCATGATATACCACAATGGTGTCTATTAACAGCTGCATACAGTTCACGTTATTATTTAATCATCTCCATAGAAACCTTGAAAGAGTTCGCACATTTAAAGCTTAAAAGATGCAGACCACCTCCCAGTCCATTTCAAAAACACAAAAAGAAACTACATGAAATAACAACAAACAAAACAGTAACTGACACAAATCATACACTCCAAAGTGAGTAATAAATATTCCAACAATATAATGGAATGGACTTCACATATTGTAAATTGAGAAAATCATACAAAACATTGGATTTATGAACATTTTTTACTTAATAGGTTACACACATATATTTTCTCAAGAACATTTGGCCTGTGATTCAAACAAAATATACTGAGAGAAACAAATAAAGGATCGCAGGAGATTTCAAGCATTCCTTTATTATTTTCCAGTTTTCATCACCACAGCGCTATTCAAATCTGGTGATGAAAACTGGAAAATATTAAAGGAATGCTTGAACTTTCCTGTGATCCTTTATTTGTTTTTCTCAGTATATATACAGACCCCTCAATCGCTTTTGTAAAACTATTTATAGAGTAAAAACAAAATACTTGAATTCTCAGACTTTGAAGACAACAGATAAATGATAGAAAAGCATTACACTAACTTCTTGGGGGTATAAGAGTTTGTTTACCAATACTATGTCACCATCACAGGCGATATGCATTATCAACATCAGGCTCACATACCTGAAGGGTCGGCTGCTCCCTGTGATGTTGAACTCCCATCATCCTCTGCTGCTTCCTTCTGTCCTGTTGTCTCTGGCCTGGTATCACCTAGACAGCAGGGTGAGTGAGTGAGTGAGCGAGCAAGTTTGGTTCTACACTGCTTTCATGATAAGAAAGAACTACTGCAGTGTCTCATCATTATTCTGGTTATATCCCAGGTTTTGGCATGTTTCAGTAACCACTTGGCTTGCGCACCCCAGGAAAGGGAGAACATGTGGACCATTAGCAATATTCCTGACATGAACAATGGCTTTACAGAGGGTACATTGAAAGCACAGAGATACATTAATACATACTTAGTCTCAGGAATTGTACAACATAAGATGCAGATTGAAATGTCTTCCAAGTTACATTATCAATTTCAAACTTTGTTGTTGATAAACGTGTTTCAAGATCAGGAATAAAACTGCACCCATGTTTGACTCAACATAGCCTAACTTCAGACAACAGATCCTGTTACTAGAAGATGTTGCCATGTTAAACAAATCTTTGTATTTGAAGCAGACATTTATTGATAAACACAGAACACATGGCCTCAGCCCTACAGCACAACACAGTTGTGATCATTTGATTGGCATTCTAAATGTGGGTGAATCAAAAGTGAAACATACAACGTCTTAGCTTGATAACGGTGTAAGAATCTACATCGAAATGTCACTCTATGCAATAAACAAGAAGTTGTCATCCATTAAGTTGTATGTTTCATTTTTAACACATTTGTGTACACACATCTACATAAACACATCACATGGTGGGAAACGTCTCCTATAATGATACCCAACTGTGGCCTTACCTGTATCAGGTGTGCTGGGTGTGGAGTCCTGGGGTGGGTCTCCCTCCAACAAGGCAGATTCCTCAATGTCCTCACTACAACACAAACATCCTCATGTTAAAACAAGTCCCAATAGTCTACACTTTCGATTTCTTTACAGGAAAGATGAAGCAAAATTTGACCAAATTTTTTACAAAATCTTTGGTGAATACATTGTGTACAAGAGTAGTCCTATATCAGGAACCTACAAAACAATCTGAACAAGAACATGTTGATCCATGTCTTGGTGGTAAAAGCATCTCAGATTAGCAAAGTCACATACTGACCTCCGTGGAAGTCAGCTTTCATGATAAGAAAGAACTACTGCAGTGCTTTCTGATTAAACTGCATTAACTATAACTACATGGACCAAAGGTTTTGTATGATGTCCTCCAGGACTTCCAGATCCTTCATAACAGGGCGTCCTAAATGCTGTCCTCACCGGTCCTGCTCTGCTCTAGTGGCCTCCTGTGTTTGCTGAGCTGTTTCCACGTCCTCTCCTCCAGGCTGCCCAACCTCGGCCACTGGGGCGGTCAGCGTTGCCTCCACATGTGCCTCAGGGAGGGCTACTGTGAACAGATAGACAAATGAGCACACACAGTTCAACCTTGCCTTACATCAACACCATATAGGACTGGCATGTTCCCCTGTTCTCTTCTACACTATACAAAGAAGATCCATGTCAACTAGAAACATGTTCTGTGGAAGTAGGCATCTGTGACCTGTCATTCACACACACACACACACACACACACACATACAGAGACAAAGACACAGAGAGAGAGAGACACACACACACACAGAGACACAGAGAGAGAGACACACACACACAGAGACAGACAGACACACACAGACAGACACACACACACATTATACAAATATCAACTATTGCATAAGAAAATTTACAAAGATATCTGCAGCAATAGGAATTTCTATGTGACTTTGACCTCACACGTGTGACATTCATCTTTTGTTATTCGAGACCCGACCTGAGGGTGACATGTATTTTATTCCTTGAAGTTAATAGAAGCATAACACATTTTTAGTGTACGACCAATTTGACCTTCATTATCACTGACAATTATTTCAAGAACATTCCAAAGAAAGCCATGACTGTAGGTTTCTGGTGCGCCAGAGGAATGCAACTGCATACAGAGAACTGTAGCATCTTAGATGACTGTGCCACATGTACCAACCTTGAAATATAGAGCTAGTTTCTGTAAGCTGTTTGACCTGGCCTGACCAACAAACCAACAGAGTAGCACCCTACAACTGGCACCTAGTTGTCAATGACGGAATAATGGAATGAATACTTCAGACCCATCGCCACCATTTTGTACTTGAACCCAATCAAGAGGGGTAACTCTGCATGTCAGCTCATGGCATCAATGAAAATTGGCCAGTTTGTCAATATTTGATCTAGTCCCTGGGTAATAGTCTCTACCATGAGTGAAACACTGCTTCCTCCCTGCTGTCAGTGAACCTACCTGGGGCAGATGTCTGTAACGGTGTTGTTGGGACACTGCGGCCGCCACCGCCATCATCAAACTGAGACAGATCCATGCGAGTGTCGTCCATCCCTAATGCTATCAGGTTAAAAAAACACAATGTGGTGATGATTAATGTCGTAAATATTGGTTTTGAAAGTCTACATGGCATTAGCCTGTGGTAAAATCACAAGGGACAGAATTCTCTTTACTATGTAGCTTCTTTATTCAAGAGTCAGGTGCAGCTGATGAAATGTCAAACTCATCATGTTAGTTTTTCAACCCCAAAATGTTTGTGCCAACATAACAAATGAGTGAGTGAGCGAGTGAGTTTAGTTTTACGCCGCACTCAGCAATATTCCAGCTATATGGCAGCGGTCTGTACATAATTGAGTCTGGACCACACAATCCAGTGATCAACAGCATGAACATCGATCTGCGCAATGGGGAACCAATGACATGTGTCAACCAAGTCAGCGAGCCTGACCACCTGATCCTGTTAGTCGTGTGATGTCAGTACAGTTACTTACCTCGCTGTGACTCCAGCTGGGCCAGTTCTGGCTGGCTCAAACTGCCCTCGGCACCAAACACAAACCTCTGTGATACCTGGGGGGAACTGAACGCAAAAGACACCTGACACACTTGTCACTTATAGTCAAAAACCGAACATAGATAGATCAAGACACACTTGTCACTTATAGTCAAAAACCGAACATAGATAGATCAAGACACACTTGTCACAGAACATAGACCAACACACACTTGTCACTTATCGGCAAACAGAGAACACTCATTACAACACATTTGTCACTTATAGCCAGGGAACACATATTATGACACACTTGTCACTTATAGCCAGGGAACACATATCATAACACATCTGTCACTTATAGCCAGGGAACACATATTATGACACACTTGTCACTTATAGCCAGGGAACACATATTATGACACATTTGTCACTTATAGCCAGGGAACACATATTACAACACATTTGTCACTTATAGCCAGGGAACACATATTATGACACACTTGTCACTTATAGCCATGGAACACATATTATAAAACATTTGTCACTTATAGCCAGGGAACACATATTATGAGACACTTGTCACTTATAGTCAGAGAATATAGAACACACATCATGACACTCTAAGGAGATTAACTTGGCACCCAGGGGGTTAAAATGAAAGATTTATCCACAATCTGGAATCAGAATAATTTGTCTGCTCACTTCAGGGCCTCTGCAAAGCCATCAGCTCGTCTCGGCACAGAGAGCGTGGGCGTGCTCGGCACCGTACAGTCCTCCTCTTCAAATGGTCCTGGCTGACCCTGGTCACACGCAAAAGTAAATACAGATTAAACATTCTGGGATGATTCATTCATGAATTGCAATATTAACAATGACACCGTTTAATGTGTGTAGTCGCAAGGAGTGAAAGCTGGTATTATGTCATGTACAGAAAAGTGACTTTGTGATTTAATAATATTATTGGCATGATCTAAGAGGGTGTTAGTCCTGTTGAAGCATGAGGTGAAATCATGACATGAGTTAGTCTGATGAAGATACTTTGTCACAAGAACTGGTGCCTACTGCAAAGCAATCTAGTTTAACATAGTCAGTAGGAGGGAAGCAGCTCAGAGCAGTAAGCAGCCTTGACTTGGATTACCGTGGGAGCAACTGCTAAATCTACAAACATATCATTTTTCAAGTAAAATTTATATTTTTATACTTATCCTGACTCATGATCTTTTGCTTATCTCCCTTTCCTTTTCGAATGGTAATGGAACACTTGAATCCGTTGAAGTTCCATAGCGGACTTAAAAATACACTCACCCACGAGTTACCTCCCTTTTGCCCTTTTCCCGCGTAAACAGTCATGTGACCAGCCTTACTTGTCACTCTCTCCTGATTTTCTGCCCATGCACTTGGATCTGCTGTGAAATCCAAAGTGTCTTCAGCGGGGAGGTTGGGAGGGCTTCTCGTCATGAGTCAGGATAAGTATAAAAATATCAATTTTACTTGAAAAATTACATATTTTTTCTTATCCTGACTCATGATCTTTTGCTTATAGAATCCGACGGATTGGTGGTGGGTCAAGCCACTTCGTGGATTCATCAGCTGTCCTTAGATACATCCTGTATCCCCCTCATGGGAACTGCGAAACAGCATTTCCGTGATCCTATTCTTCCAACTTCTGTTACTACTCAGTGGGACCACTTTCTTGTCTTACTTCAGTCTCAGACAGGTTGAATCATGTTGATTCATGTGGCTACAGATAAACTAGTATCTTCTTATTACTAGATATCTTATAACAACCCATAGATTATGATAAGATCTTTATCATAAATGAGTTGCGACCCCTTGATGTACAGGTAAGATCTTTACCCGTACAGGATCTTTAATCACTCATGCTAGCCTGTCCTAGACTGTGCGCATGGACTTTCAAACTAATACTTTTCCTTAGTAAAAGTTATCAACAAGTCAACGTGATAAAGGGTGAGATTTTCCCACTCAGTGCCTTTGAGGAACCGTTAGTTGCTATGCTACAACGAGAGGCCCAAATTGGTGAATGCCTGAGACGTCTTCAGTGGCTATGTCTCGGAGGTAGTGGTTGGCAAACACTGTGTCCGATTTCCAAAAGCAGCCCTCCATAATTGCTGGTATAGAGCAATTACCGTGCAGAGCCAGTGTTGATGCCAGGGGTGCTCTAACTTCGTGTGGGTTGGAAGCTCTAGGAGGTTCTAGTCCTGCTGCTTTATAGGCTCTCAATATGACGGCTCTCATCCAGAACGATATCGTCGTTCTTGAGACTTCTGCTGATGTCTCTGTTGATAATGGGATGAACAGGCACTTGAATTTTCGTCTCCTTGTCTAAGTCTTTTGAAGATATATCTTCAGGGCTCTGAACGGACACAAGGATAGGTCTTCTATATCCTCTGGGCCTAGGATTGTAGATAGCGCTGGTACGTAGAACTTTCTAACCAGGTAGTTTGTTCTTGGCAATGAAGTCCCATCTAAGTCCTAGATGTACTGCAGCATGTTGCCCCGTATTGAATCTGGTTTGACCAAAGTCCAGCGCATGTATCTCTGATATTCGAGCTGCCGTGGCTAGCGCAAGCAGGTACAGAGTCTTTTGTGTCAGCAGCTTGAGTGTAGTCTGGTCTAGAGGTTCGTAGGCATCACTGGTAAAATGACGTAGAATTACATTCAGATCCCAGGCCGGAGCTCTGAACTTCTTTTGCTGGTCCTCCAGTTTAAAAGACCTAAGCAGGGCAAGTAATTCTGGTACTTTCGTCAACTTGATGCCTGTTTTCATGGTAATGCCTGTACTGATGGCAGCGAGGTATGTAGATAATATCAAATCTTTCAGATGTCTAGTCTGTCTCAAATGACACAGGTATTCCGCCACTTGTGGATGAGTAGCTTTCATTGCAATGAAGCCTTTCCGCCTTGCATAAGTCTCAAACTTCAGCCACTTGTCATCATACATGTTACAAGTAGATCTGCGTAACGCTAGCGTTACTGCCTTGGCTGCCCTGGCGGAGGATCCTCTTTTCTTCAAACATGTTTTGATACGGTCCACACGTGTAGCTGGAACAGTGTCGGGTTCCTGTGGACTTGCTTGGTGTGCGGATGTATGAGCAGGTTCGGCTGGTCTGGTAACTTGATTGTTGGGCATCCGAAATCTTCTATTAGGTCTAATCATACTCTGGCTGGCCAGTATGGCGCAACCAAAGTCAGTTGTAGCGCCTGTGTCTGTTTGATCTTCAGCAGAACCTTCGGTAGTAATATCGGGGGGGAAACGCGTAATCGTTTAGTCCTTCCCATGATATGCTCAGTACATCTGTTGCCCAGGCTTGAGGAATTGGAACTGGTGAGACAAACGTCTGTAGTTGCTTGTTGGAACCTCGTGGCAAACAGGTCTATGCAAGGGGACCCTATTTCCCTTATGATGAGCAGGAATGCTTCTGGATGGAGCATCCATTCCGTAGGTGAGGGGTGCAGTGGTCGGAGAGAGCGTCTGCAAGCACGTTCTTGGCTCCGGGTATGTGACACCCCTTTATCCAGATGTTTGCTTCCTCCGTTATGTAGAACAACTGGAATATGAGCTATAGAAGGCTTGGAGACCTTGTGGTTCCTTGCCAATTTATGGAGAATGCCACTGTAGAGTTGTCCGTGTGGACCATCAGCATTTTGTTGATCAGCGAGCTCGACCAAAGTTGTAAGGCGTTGATCACGGCTTTTTTTTTCATCTCCAGCAGATTGATGTGAAGATGCTGCTCTATTTTGGACCAACTCCCTGATGCAACTTGATTGCTGAGATGTGCACCCCAGCCTTGTATTGAAGCGTCTACGTAGAGATGTGTGTCGAAGGATGGCTCTTGTAAATAGGTCCCTCCGCAAACGTTCGACCTGTGTCCACTAGTGTTGGGAATTGGTTGAAATCTCACAATTGATGATTGCTTCATTACCAACGAACAATCATCGAAAAAGATTGGTTATCGTCATTTTTCAGATTTTCCTATCCAGGTTGTTATTGCAGATATGTATAACATGATGCAACTTGCTACTTTAAAGTGATGACTGATATATCATGAACATAAACTTCCCGGAGTCTTCGAGAAACATTCAGTCATGGCTTTTCAGTTAGTGAAGTGAGTTTTCTAAGAATTAAACACATTTTCAGGCCCTGACAACTTCTAAGATATGTTCCATTGTCAAGTTTTTCAAAGACTAAAACAGAAGTTCCAAAATTGTTTATGTTTGATTATGAGAATTGTGATCGATTGCTTGGTCGTTTGGTCACTGTGACCAATCTTCGATTATTTCAATTAATCGGAACACCACTAGTGTCCACCACATTAGATACCTCTTGAGGTTGTCTGGCAGCAAGATTGGGTCGACGTTGTCTAGATGTTTTGTCAGGAACCGTTGCAGCGGTCTTAGTTGTAACCTTCCTGTGAGAGTCAAGTCCTGTGCCGAGGTTATTAGACCGAGTAGAACTTGCCATGATCGTAGTGTTAACTGAGAGATGACTGCTAGTAGAATCATGGCTTGTATCTTGACTCAACGATCTTCTGGGACGACAATATGATTCTGTGTTGTGATAAACCTTATCCCCAGAAATTGTAGATCTGGTTTTGGTTCCAACTCTGACTTCATAAGGTTCACCAGCAATCCTAGTTGACTGAGCAACTTGATCGTAAAGTTCAGCTGTAGTCTGAGAATTTCGGTAAACCTGAATTCCGTCGTCCAAGTAGAAGGCATTGCGTAGACCTCGATGATGTAGATATGCGACTATAGGCTTGGTTACTCGCGTGAATAGCCACGGAACCGAAGATATTCTAAACGGTAGGACGTTCCACTGGAAGTGCTGCCCTCTGAATAGGAATCGTAGATACTTTCTTGATTGCGGATGTATGGGGATGTGTAGGTACGCATCCTGCAGGTCTATGCTGGCCATGTAATCTGCTGGACGGACGAGTAGTCTGAGTTGAGGTAGGTGGATCATTCTGAACTTCTCTGGTTTCAGTAGATAGTCTTTGTTGAATTTGTGCATGTTGTAAATCAGTCTGAACTTCTCCTTGGAGTTCTTCTTAGGTACTAGAAAAATTGGGGAGTAGAAACCTGGAGTGAGATGATGCTGATCTATTATCTCTACCGCCTCCTTCATAAGTAGTGAGTTGATGGCTTCTTGTAGTTTGTCTGTCTGCTCCTCTGCAGTCGAAGACCATCGGGCTGAGGGTTAGTGGAGGTGAGGCCTTGAGTTGTACTCTGTATCCTTCTCGTAGTACTTGGGAGATGTAGTCGACCTCTAGTATTCCCCAATTTTTCCAGTACCTTTGTAGACGTCCACCCACTGTCGATGGTTTTACAGGAACGGCTGGGGATGGAAGACTCCAGTCGTTCCGAATCCTGATATCAATTTTGTAAATGGATCTATATGATGTAGAAGGAATCTCTTCACATTAAATGATGGCAGATGCTGACTCTGGTACTTGGATGCTTTCGCGAAAGCTGTGCAAAGGTTGGAGGGTACCCTGGATATAGGTTCAATTGGAGGGATAGTGACGTCAAAGTCGTCGTTACGCATCATATGAGTGTAGACTTCATCTTTATCCTTAGAAGGTGACTCGAAGTTCAACTCGTTGGCAATCCAAGCTGTAACCTCTGTGTCTTGGAAGACGAAGTCCGCTTGCTCATCCAGTGTCTCCTGATTATTAGAGCTAGGCCTCCGCGTATCATCCATCTATGAACCTGTATCCCTTGACGAACCTTCATCATCCTTTCGCGAACCTCTGTCTGAAGATTCCTCCCTACGCGAACCTCTATCTGTAGATTCATCTCTTCACGAACCTCTGTGATGTGAGCTTTCTCTTTACGAACGTCTGTCTCGTGATGAGTGACTTCGCGAACGTCTGTGAGATCTTGATCTAGAGCGGCTAGGTGTAGGAGATGGATCCTTCGATGTTCTCTAACGTTGAGGGTTCGCAGATGTAGAATGATGAGTAGGCATCTCATGTCTTCTATCCTCCTCCAAGATGACAGAGTCGTCCGACTCTGGAGACCTTCGTAAAGGTGTACGTTCGCCAACGTAGTCTTGAGATGAAGTTCTCTGAGGAGTAGGTTCGCGCAGGTCAGTAGGTTCGCGCAGGTCTGTAGGTCTGCGCATGGTGTCGGTAGATGAGAGGCTGTGCCGAGCCTTTACTTCTTCCTCGAACCTGCGTTCCATCATGGTCATTATCTGGTTGGTGAATTGTCTCATAAATTGACCCGGGTCAAAGTTCTGCGTTGGTTGAAGCTGCTGCGGTGTAGAAGAAGCGTTCGCGAACGAACGCTGATGAGTTGTGTGCCTCAACAAACAGCTGTCCTGCTGTGACCGTTGTTGTAGTTGTAGACGTCGATTGAGTTGCTGATCTCATAGGCACTTAGGGTAGAAGTAGTGGGGGATCATCAAAAACGTCTACTTAATGTGAAGGTAATATCTCTTCGTTGAAGCATTTCTGATGCATTGACTTACTAGCCCGCGTAGATTTACCCTCCGATATGGTAACAGATGCTTTCTTCTGCGATGTAGAAGAGGATGACGTCTTTTTCTTAGCTTGAGTCGGAGTCAACTGCATTGTAGCCAATCTCTTCTTGGCCCCCATACCAGACGACTGCCCCTGCAACGTACTCAACATAGCACCAGTATTATGAATCTTCGCAGTAGCAATCAACATACGGGTTTGCAGGCTGATTTATCAGCCGTGACTTGAGATGACTTCCTCACCCGATTCATGGCATGTATATAGATATAAGACAAATATTGATTAAATTGTAGATTTGATCAATCAACACAATAAGTACAGCGCAAGCTGGAAGAACATGGCTTTATGCACAAGGGGCATTGGGGGTGAAGATCAGCCACAGATAACCTGTGCCTGCAAACACTGCAAGATTTCATGAAATGTAAACAAAGTTACATAACGATGAAATTATGACACAAATACAAATAATTATTACATATAATACAAAGTAGTTATTGCCAAATCCATACACAGCATAATTTTGAAGAATAGGATCTAAATAAAAAGGATAAAATGCCGTATATGGGACTCCAGTGCTCGCCAAACCATCCACTTGGGCGAAAAGGGAGAGAGTGACAAGTAAGGCTGGTCACATGACTGTTTGCGCGGGAAAGGGCCAAAAGGAAGGTAACTCGTGGGTGAGTGTATTTTTACGTCTGCTTCGGGAACTTCAAGGGATTCAAGTGTTCCACTATCATTCGCAAGGGAAAAGGAGATAAACAAAAGATCATGAGTCAGGATAAGAAAAAATAATGACTACACTGGATGCTTCATATTTCCATATCTACTCTTAAGCAAGAAGATACTCTTAAGCACATGAAGACAAAATGCCACTATAGATCCAGTATGTGAGACAAGTTTTCATACAAGAGTGCTGCTTGGTGACATGTTCTTGAATAACACCATGCGTTGTTGTAGCAAAGGGACACAGAGTATATTCTGTTGACTGGCATTAATGGATTTTAGTAGTAGCTGAGATAACGACTTCTGAAGTTTAATGCTCACAACATGAGATGGATAATGTCAAAATAAGAAAACGATGAGCATGATGAATAAATGCTGTGTCATTGGTCACCATATTGGACAGATTACAGGTTAGAGTGAGTGAGTGATGTTAGGTAATCATGCCTTCTATCACCATGGATACCTACAGGCAGCACCAGCAAGCAGTGGGACAAGCATCAGCCACCTGGTGACCTGATACAACAGTTACCTACCCCTAACATAAATGGCGGAAGATGGGCCCTGATGCTGACAGATGGCAATCGCTCGCCATGCACGATTGGCTGAAGGGCAGGGGTTGGGCGTGGACTTACTACAGGATGCTGTGCTATGATTGGTTGCTGAATCACGGGTCCTGGGCCTGCAGGCTGCTGTTGGGAAGGCATGGATTGTTCATTGTCTTCAATGTCTGAAAAAAACAACAGTCGGATATGTCACCAACCAGGGCTGTGAATCAGCTGAGACATTTTACTCAATCAACGTCATTAATCAGTCAGTTCACGATCAGTAATAATGGGTCACCAACATTTATTAAGAATTACATGCTGAAGTATGTTTTTCATGAGAAAGCTGGCACATCACAAATCTTATCTGAGAAACTGCTGCATTAGTGAAACATAAAACACTGAATCTGGGTAATATTAATGTCAGAAATACCTTTGAGCAAAGACCAGTGTTTATCTTACCAATGATAACAACGTCATTGTCATCCTCCTCATCTCCCTGTTCTGCCATTGCCTCTTCATCCTCATCTTCGTCTTCATCCTCATCGTATTCCCCTTCATCATACTCCTCCTCTTCATCCGAGTCCTGCCAACAAACACACATCTCTCAACACAGACACGAGTGAGTGGGAGCGTTTAATGCTGTTTTACACATTATTCCAGTTATAACATGGTGCGTCAGTTTACCACTTACAGGTAAGCCATGAGCTGACAAACACGACAGGGCTGAACCAGGATTCAACACAACCATAGGTTTCTGGCATGCCCAAAGGTTTGGCTCTAACACCTGGCTGTCCCTTTCTCTGCACTCCTCCCTCGTAACAAATGGTGAACTATGTCAAAATTTTAATGATAGTTTGTTAAACAACTTTTTTTAATTTTAGAACATAAATTCTGCAAACAAATCACAGGGTAGGTCTGATATTTTGATTATGATCAGCGTTTCATTGAGTATTATATGTTTATTAGTTTTCGAGTTAGATTGCAATTCATCGGTCTGCTTTTGAGCCAAACGGACTATAATTGCTGTGCCTTTAGTGACTTGGCCCTCTACATAGACATGAAGAAAGCTCTCCTGTGTTAACAACTGTCTTACCTACAGAACTACCTAAAGGCCTTACATGGACCATTGGAAGACAGCTTGTTGTGCTGTGTGAAATACCAGCGTAAGTAAGAGGAAAGCTCTTAAAGTCATTGAAATATTTTTTAAGCTGACATCTTTACTTTGAAAACAACAAATACATCATTTCCAATCAAATTAGTTGATTTACTTTAGTTTAACACATTTATCCAATGTTTCATGGACTTCGGCAATCTGAAAAAAGAGCTGTTTTAGCTGTGACTGATGGTAGAGTAAATATTCTCTCTTGGGGCAGCTACCGACTGACACAGATCTGTCAGTTGCAGTGTCCCCCTTACCTCCATCTCATCTCCACAACCCTCCTCCTCCTCACTGTTCAGGATGATCACATCCCCACTGTCTTCATCAGCATGCACTACCTCTGCCCCGGCATCGACTGTCTGCTCGGGTCCTGCAAACAGCTCCTGTGGGGGATGCTGAAGTCACACAGTGGACACAATGACACGCTCAGCCTCACACACATTGTCGTCATGTAACACACTCACTCGGCTCCAATCGCATTGTCAGGTAAACATGAATGTATTACAAGATCATGCATGAAAAACCACAGTCTTTGTTTCAGTGGCATGCACCAACAAGGAATCAGATACTGGGCAAGGTGTATGCATGTTGTGTGATCTTAGCTATCAAATACCATACAATGTATCTGTATCTATTAATGACCCCAGTATCAGACACTTATGATAACTGGTCAGTCTTAAGATGTCTTATATCCATGTCTCACAGCTGAACCTCCTCACTACTCATACAAGTTTCTGATATGTTAACAGAATACAGATAATATGGTAGCAGACATACCTGTGGCACGTCCTCCAGCTGTGTCAGGCTGGCGGGTTCGGACTGGGAACCTCCTACTATCTGGGGGGACACGCTTTCAACTGCAACTTCAGCAGGTGTCTGGAGACGTGGAATATTGAACATTTACAAGCTATAAATACAGGGGATAAATATACTATGTTTTTGAGTTAGAAGTTTGGAACATATATCATATTTAGTTGTTGGTGGCCAAGTCATAAAACCTGGCAAGGTCCAACATACATTTATTACAACAAGGGCATCAGGTTGCAAGTTATTCATGGTAGGGTTACCTCCTCTTGTTCCACGGTCTGTGCTTGGTGGAGGTGATGGACTTCCTGTGACTCTAGGTGGACTGTCTGGGCGTTTTCATCAGTGAGCGTGATGGTTGGGAGAGGGGAGCCCTGCTGAAACCGGGAATAATACTGACAGTGTGATTTGTTTCAAACAGAGCTGTGGCAAAATGAAGGATTTGATATGACAAGCTGAAGGTAACCATGGCAGCAACAAGAAGTGAGCAACCATTCCTCTACAGGTCCAGTCAGGTGGTCCATCACTGCTGGACTGATCAGCCTTAATAAGGTGTCTACAAGTAGGTCAGTAGGTCCTGATATGCCACTATGCTGTCTATTTCCTCACTCACTTCATAAACATCTCTATTGTCTGTTAGAAGGAAACAGTTTCAGAAGTTAAAGCAATGAGAAGAGAAGAAATACTGATACAAATGAGAAAGCTGAAAAGGGTAACCATACATTCTATTACATACAGTTGCATGGGTCTGGCTGTAGAGGAGATCTCTAGTCTAAATCAAGTCAAAGACAGACAGAAATCAAAAACTGTTAGAAGAATTCATGTGTATATCATTTGTGAAATTTGTCTCAAGTTCACAAACCTGTGTTCTTGTTCTTTTGGCCTGTGTTTCTGCTTCCTCTTGACTGCAACAAAACAATACATTAAGTCAGTACCCATTGAAGCTCAGGTCTGCACTAGTCAGTAGTGGGTCCAAGAACAACCATGTACCTACCTCATCAGTAGTCTTACATAAGATACGTCGGGTCCAAGAACAGTGATCAACCTACCTCATCAGTAGTCTTACATAAGATACACAGGGGTCCAAGAGCAACGATCAACCTACTTGTCACCAACAGAATTCGTGAGAATTGTCACCAACAGATCAACCCATTCAGTAGTCTTGACGCTGGTCCGGAAGGGAAACATAACAGGATCAACCTTACTTCATGGGAAATACCTGTTACCACTCAAAACCAGAAAACATTCATACAATATGCTTGAACACATAGTCTTCTGTTGTATTTGTTGACTGGATTACTAATCCTGTTAAATCTCAATGACTGAATGTCTGGGCAAAACAATCAGCCATGATGTAGATATCATGGGCCTCATCCCCAACAACCAGGCCACTCAGTCCGAGCAGTGGATGTACTTCAAGCAGCATGGTTTACTTGGGACTTATTGTAATGTATGTCCCCTTATGGACAACTATTGAGGTTGACAGTCATGAACCTGTACAAGCATGAAGTATGTGAAGTCTGCTGCCCACCTATCTGTGTCCTCCCTCTGTCGCTTCCCTAGCGACTGACTAGCTGCACTGTCTGCCACTGTCCCTGATGACGTGGATGGCAGGTGGGGAGACACTGGCGTCACCTGTGTCTGCTGCTGTGGCTGCTGCTGCTGCTGTATCTGTGACTGCATCAACTCCAAAGCGGCAGCTGGTGATGACTCTTCCACAAGGTCTGTGGACATGTCTACTACAGAAGATGAAATCTTTCAGACATATTGGAAAGAAGGGAAAGGGAAAGAAGGGAAAGTGTCATGGCAGAACTGAGCAAATAGTTCAGAAAAATACATGAGCATCACATCATCTTAATCAAACAGAAACATCATCAGTCCATAAGTCAGACTGATATTGTTCATCATCTACTGTCGAGACAGACAGACAAGGCCAAGCCATGTCATAAAAACCAAACCTTGTAGCCCTGATGTGAGCATCAAACTATGCACAGCAATATAATGACATGTATGAATCTAATCACTGAACTTAGGCACCCAATCATGATAGTAATAAATCTAATGACAAGCATGGGTTTCTGAAGACCAATGTCTACTATGATCTTTACAGGGGTCAATCTTGCAGTAAGAGATTACCGTAATCACAGAGAGACATGTCTTAACGTGACTCCTTGCAACAAACAAAATCTAGTCCTTCAATGGAAATGGGCCCCACACTGTGGCCATCAATCTGCATGCATGTCCTCACCAGGCTGGGTCTGCTCGATCTGTGGTGCAACTATCTGGACCTGCTGGGGTCGTCCTGGGACACTGACAGACGGGATGGGCGTGACTGCTGGTCCGGAGGAAGATGTAGACGGAAGGTCATCTGCAAGGATAGGATGTCATGAACTTGATCTCAGTCTCAATATTATTGTCCTTGTTCTGAAGACAATGATGTGATCATAAACTTTGTCTCATCAAGCATATTTGAAACAAACTTTCATAACAACAAATGAAATATTTTGATTTTGGTGAAAATCCTGATCACTGAGATTCGAACATTGCTACTCACCATCCACATCCTGTGATGTGAGTGTTGTGGGCATGACTGTAGCAGTAGGTGTTGCAGTGGATGTAGAGGCCACAGACGTTGCTGCGATGGCCATAGGTCGGATGCTAGCTGTGGCTTTCGCTGCAGCTGAGCTGTGAGGGATGGGTGTGGCCTGACCCACACTGGTAGTGCCTGTAGCCATCGGCTTGATGTTGGCCATCTTGGGAGCCTGGTCAGACGTGGATGTGCTGGACAGAGAGGAGATCATGTGATGAGAACACGAAGCACACACATCAGTATCATAATAGTTGGTACAACTGCTTTTCAACAAAGAAAACTTTCACTGGAAAATGCAATGTTTGTTCTTCCAAACTGGGGAACAGTAACCGATGAGATAACTGTGTGTCGACTGTCGTTGGAATGGTGTTGCTACTCACCTGGGTGGGGTGGTAGCGGCAGGTCGTGTGACGATGGAGGCAGGCTGGCTGATGTGTTTTTGCTGGGACTCAAGCTGTTTCTGCAGAGCAGCGATCTGTACAATAAAATAAGTGAAAAACATTTGTAAATGGGATATCTTGATTCTTGTTTTATTGATAGAATATAAGTGGAACAAGTCTCGCCTTAGCCTGTAGTGTACAGCAGTTTATTACCCATGTGGTACTATGTAAACAGGTTTTATCACGAACTGTGTCATGTGATCAAGACCTGCCAACAGATCGTGTATACCAACTCCACGATATTCCATTCAGAAACAATCTGAATCCTATTCATATACTGAGAGGTTATCTCTCACCTTGGCCTGGAGTTCTGTGTTCTCCCGCTGGACTCGGTCCAGCTGCTGCTGCAGGTCGGCCAGGCCCGGCCCCTGTCCCCCCCGGGCATCCTGCAGCTCCTTCTCCAGCCGGCTGATGCGGCCCTCGAACTGAGACTTCAGCATACCCTGACGCAGGTCCTGTTCTTCTGTGGATAAAGACAGTACTTCAGCTCTGAATTTGATTCTCAGATCCTTACATTTTTAACCACTTTTGTCAACCCTTGTGAAAATTTGCATGAATAGATATGGTAAGTCACTTCAGTGACGCCAGCTAACTAAGGCCCGGGTTAATTCATGACAAACTACTGCCTAGATTAACATGTATAGTGATGACGCAAATCAGACTTGTACTCTTATTTCAATATTAACATAAGAAGTTCATTTATAAGGCTGACTGAGTTTAGTGTTACGCCGCTTTTAGCAATATTCCAGCAATATCACGGCGGGGGACACCAGAAATGGGCTTCAAACATTGTGCCCATGTGGGGACTCGAACCCGGGTCTTCGGCGTGACGAGCCAACGCTTTAACCACTAGGCTACCCCACCGCCCCCCATTTATAAGGGGATTGATTCCATTCACCAACTGAATGCTCATGGTGGTACAAACATTTCTACCCCAGTCAATGGATCGGTGTGCACTCATTCTCAGCTCCCTGAGAACCATACAACTGAAGCTGCCTCAGAGGCTTTAGAATGAAAATAGTCACATTACCATCACATCCTCCCAAGGTACTCATTCACTGAAGGGGGGAAAAGAGGCATATTTTGAACAGAGTCACTTGCCTAATGAGACACCGCATGTATCATGTGTAGAGCAGGACCAAAGCCCTTCAAACTATCTGGGTTGAAGCTGCCTAACATCGTCACCGAGTCCATCTTAACTTCATAAACTTTGGCTGATTTACAACCTGTACATTTTATACATGACCTTGTACGACCCAAAATTAGAAACCCTGCCTTCCTTAGCAGCGAGACAAGTGTATGATGACCTCATAATGTCTCAGTTGGAACTGAGAGTAAATATCATCTATCAGTATCCCCTTCCAGCAGTCACTACCTTTATTACTTGTCTCCACTGTGGATAGCCTCTTTTTCAGCTCAGCAGTCTCACTCGTCAGTCTTTCCACCTGCTCTCTCTGATTGGTCAGTTTGTTCTTGGCGGTCTGGAGCACGCTTCGTGAGTGCGTCTGCTTCTTCTCGTACTCTGAGTTCTCCTCCTTCAGCTTGTTGCAGGCCTCTTGAAGCTGGCTGTGTTCCTGGAGGGAGGGACATTCAAGTCTTTCAGACAGCGATATCAGACAGTAAAGCTTACAATCACTGGCTTGATGACAGTTTCTACACAACACACTGATTTAACTCCATAAAATGTTGTTTCATAAGATCCCTTCATTCTGATCAAATGTCGTCAGTGCTGTTCAGCCATGACCGTATTACAAGTGTGACATCACTCTTGACTTTACTTCACAAGATTGGAATGTCAACAATACTGTCCACATAATGTAAATCCTGAAGCTAAACATGCCCTAGAAGATAAATGATTTTATTAATTTCGCCATTTCTAAAGGATTACAGATATGATAACAAACCTTATACAAACCTGTAGAGGTTATGAATTCTTTGAATTCCAAGTCCTCCTTGGGGTACATATAAGCATTAAAATGTCCATTTTAAAACCTACGACAGTTGTAACTATATTTTAATAAAAATATTTACAAAACAAAAAAACATGTTTTTGTGTTGTGAGACCACCCCTACAGGGCCCTTCAGGGCCCCCCTACAGGCAAGAGCAGGTAACTCTAGCCGTCAATCTCGCTCCTCACTTTTCATGCTGAACGGATCAGACAGAATGAGGGGAAGCGGGTGGCTGTACCACAAGGAGGTGAGTGAGTGAGTTCAGTTTTATGCCGCTTTTAACCATATTCCAGCTATATCACGGCGGGGGACACCAGAAATGGGCTTCACACATTGTACCCATGTGGGGAATCGAACCCAGGTCTTCGGCATGACGAGCGAACACTTTAACCACTAGGCTACCCCACCGCCCCATACCACGGTTTTCCGAACAAAGCCTCCTCTCCCATCAAGTAGCGACGGTTGACCGGCTTCCCGATGAGAGGATTGATTACCTCGCTAACGCGCAAAGGCAAAATGCGCAAATGGGTCTCAGCGACCTGACACGGAGCAAAGGCCTCCCCGAGGCCGAACCTAGTCGCAGAGGGCCCAGGGAAGTGCCTGCCAAAACAGGATTCCCCGGAAAACTGGAAGGCACCAATGTAACCGGCAGCAACGGCGCTCAAGTACCCACAGCTTGGGTGCCGGTTGCCAACGGTATAAGACTCGAAGGACCGGCACCAGTGAGCTGGACTGTACCGGAGCCGAGGCTCGGGTTAGACACAACTGCGCCGGCAGATAGGCCGTCACCGGAGCCGAAGCTCGGATTAGGCACACCCCTGGAGGCAAAACCCATCCCAGAGCCTAAGCCCGAGGTAGGGGTGCCTCCGGCAGACGACCCCAGACCGCCACTAACCCCTGAACGGATACCGATCTCCTGCCGGAGACTCGACATCACGTCTGAGATAAGTGAGCGAACAGAAGTCATCTGCTGCTGCAATATGGAGGACAAATCTGTTAACGTTAAAGGTGCAGATGCAGAATTGGATTGTGCAGATGTAGAGGGGGATAGGGGAAGAAGGGTTTTTTCCCACTGTCTTGGCCCGCTTACACCACTTGAAAAAATCAATCTATAAATTCCATCTAGCGCTCGTGCGAAAGAAAAGGAACCATACATACAGCAGTTGACTCTTTACCACTCATTTCTGTAGGTAGAAGTAACAAAACTTCGATGAACACACACGTCTTTCGCAATGAACGACAGCATGAAAAGTGAGGAGCAAAGTTGACGGCTAGAGTTACCTGCTCTTACCTGTAGGGGGCCCTGAGGGGCCCTGTACAAAAAACATGTTTTTTGTTTTGTAAATATTTTTATTAAAATATAGTTACAACTGTTGTAGGTTTTAAAATGGACATTTTAATGCTTATATGTACCCCAAGGATGACTTCTAAAAAAGAATGAATGAAATGCAGTTTGGCTAAGCAGATGATGTACCTGTGTTTGTTTCTGCAGCTGCTCCTTCACTTCACCGACTTGTGTGTCCCGTTGCTGCATCTGCACCTTCAGCTCGTCCCTTTCCTTCTCCATGTTGGCCAGCTTCTGTCGCAGCTCTGCAGACGCCTGTTCTATGGCAGCAATATTGGGCTGGGCTGCTTCCTGGTTGGCTGACTTGGCTCGGGAGCTCAGTCAGATCCTTCTGTGCCTGTTCCAGTTCCTTGCCAACATTCTCAGCCTGCTCCTTATATTTACGACCGATCTTCTTCAGCTGAAGGCAAATATTTGTCATTACTATTATGGTATTACTTCCAATGCAAAAATATTTTCTTCAGAATGGTGTCAGCCAGTTAAGCTTTTCCTTAAATTTTGAGTAGCATAGAACATGTAGGACATTGCTGTTTGCAAATCATTAGAAACATATCAAGTTAGAACCAACCAGCTTGTTGATTTGCCTCCACATGTTCTACTCCCCACATCTTGACAACTATCCCCACTCACCTGGCTGATTGTCGCGATCATCTCTCCCAACACCTGGATAATTATCCCCACTCACCTGGTTGATTGTCTCGATCATCTCTCTCTCCACCTGGATAATTATCCCCACTCACCTGGTTGATTGTCTTCATTTTCTCTTCAGCATCCTGCAGCTTTTCTTCGTTCTGTTTCTTCAAGGTAACAATCTGTGCACTGGAAGAAAGATCACTCCCATCAACATAAGAGGTGAGGTGAGGTGAAATTGGATATATTTCGCTCATATGACGACGTGCATGCGTGTGTGTGTGTATGTGCGGCTGCTGGTACTAGCCCAGACTTAAGCTGGTTTTATAGTGCTAGCCCACTGAGATACCATGCTGCAGTGAAGCATGAATACCCCACTCAGACACATTATACTGACTCCGAGCCGACCAGTCCTTGTTGTACCCATTAATGCCGAGCGCCAGGGACCAACAAGTACCATATTTTACCGTCTTTTGGTATGACGCGGTTGGGGATCGAACCCGCGACCTTCCGCTCTCCGGGCGGACGCTCTAACCACTACACCACGGAGGCGGTACTCCATCAACATAAGAAATGAAAGCAGTTCAATATAATGTACAACACACTACCTATGGACACTAGGCCCAAAGGATGTCACAGAGCAAGTGAAAGAACATGTGTAATTCACTTCAATCATTTATAAATTGGAAATATATTGAACAAACTTTATGGATAACAACAAATTATTTCGTGATTGTGATGTTTCAATACGATTCTTGTACTGTTGTCAAGCATGAATGTCAATATTGTACTTCCCAACTTATAAAACGCCACTTAAACTAATTATCATTTCAAGATCATAAAGATAACGAATCAATTTCTTACTTCAGCTGTGTCATCTGTGTTTTGGCACTGTTTGCCTCAGTCCTGCAAGACAGAAATACACAGTGAAGCTACTGCAATGCCAGGTAATATTCCAAAACATGCAAAACAAGTTTGAAATTATATGATAGCAGTGAGTGAGTGAGTAAATATTGCTTAACACCGCATCAGCAATGTTGCAGCTATTCGCAACAAAGTGAAGTTGAAACAGGCTGTAAGTGATAGACATCTTGAGCATCAATCCATGTAATGGTGACATCATGACATGCCTCCACCAAGTCAGCTAGACGGACCACCTGGTCTCATCGGTCGCATATCACCATAAGCAAGGGCTGCTGTAGATAAATTGTAGCATTGTTATGAAAGCAAGTTACGTCTAAGGCACTTACTGACTAGTTGACAAGTTGGCATTCAATCTGGACAACTCAGCCCTGAAAGAGAAAACAATGCTGTAAAACAATGTATGTTTGAGAGTAAAAATAGTATTGTATACTTATCTTGAAACTCATACCATTTGCTTCTCTTTACCTAAACCCAAGATACAGTGGAAACATTTTGTGTTACGTTCCTGAGAACAGTAAAATCATCTCACCTGATTGCACCCTACTTAGAAGGGGTACAGTGTGTTGGGGTTGATACTACTCGGCAAAAACATGGCTCGTCAGACACATCACGTCTGTTCAAGTGACATATGAAAGCTTATGAAGGCTTGTCAGCAATACCCCTCCATGCCAGCCATATGGAGGCTTGTCAGGCCAACTGGCAAACCCACTAGGTTAAGTATGTCACTGATAACTGTATTCTAGAATCTCAGATTAAAAGCCATCAAGTGTTAAGGAATATCCAACCTGTGTTTGTGTCTTTCCTCATTCACCAGGGATAGCTGTCGCTTCAGATTGTCCCTCTCCTGCCTAAAACAGTCACACGTGAGTAGTGCATTAGTCCCAGATACACATACCGAGATGCATGCATGCATGCACCTGCACCCATATGCATGAAGAGCATCAGTCACACGCCATTACAAAACTTGGGGGCAACCGAAGAGAGTGTTTGGGGGGCTTTAGACCACTCATTCCACAATGCCTACTAAGTTCGCAACTTTTTTTCAAATCAATCCAACTTGTGAATAAGATGATAACAATCTCATTACATCTCTGTTCTAGCATTCCTAGATTTGAAAACACTTACACAATCCTGCGATGTTCCTCTGGGTCAGACTTGTTTGCCTGTTCGATGAGGTGATTGGTTCGTCCCTTCCACCGCTCCACCTCGTTCTGTATGGCTGTCTTCTCGGCACTGATCGTGTCCCGTTGAGCCTGCACACTGCGGAGGCTGGCCTGGAGGGGCTGGATGTCACTCTCCATCTTCTTGGTCTGCAACACAACCCCAACATAGCAACCAAACCACACAGACCAGTAACAGATCAGCTTCTACTGAGACAGTACCTTATTCATCAAATACGAACAATCAACACAAATATTACTCTGTCGTTTGTTAGTCTTGACCAATGAAGCATGAGGTTAGTAGCCTCTTGAACCAATGACAGTGTGCCTACCTTGGCCTTAATACCTGTTTCACCATTGTGTTCCTGTGTGGGGCCTTGATGCACCTTGTTTAACAACTATGTGCCTACCTTGGCCTTAATACCCGTTTCACGATTGTCTTCCTGTGTGGGGCCTTGAAGCACCTTGTTTAACAAATATGTGCCTACCTTGGCCTTAATACCCGTTTCACGATTGTGTTCCTGAGTGGGGCCTTGATGCACCTTGTTTAACAACTATGTGCCTACCTTGGCCTTAATACCCGTTTCACGATTGTCTTCCTGTGTGGGGCCTTGAAGCACCTTGTTTAACAAATATGTGCCTACCTTGGCCTTAATACCCGTTTCACGATTGTGTTCCTGAGTGGGGTCTTGATGCACCTTGTTTAACAACTATGTGCCTACCTTGGCCTTAATACCCGTTTCACGATTGTATTCCTGTGTGGGGCCTTGATGCACCTTGTTTAACAACTATGTGCCTACCTTGGCCTTAATACCCGTTTCACGATTGTCTTCCTGTGTGGGGCCTTGAAGCACCTTGTTTAACAAATATGTGCCTACCTTGGCCTTAATACCCGTTTCATGATTGTGTTCCTGAGTGGGGCCTTGATGCACCTTGTTTAACAACTATGTGCCTACCTTGGCCTTAATACCCGTTTCACGATTGTGTTCCTGAGTGGGGCCTTGATGCACCTTGTTTAACAACTGTGTGCCTACCTTGGCCTTAATACCCGTTTCACGATTGTGTTCCTGAGTGGGGCCTTGATGCACCTTGTTTAACAACTGTGTGCCTACCTTGGCCTTAATACCCGTTTCACGATTGTATTCCTGAGTGGGGCCTTGATGCACCTTGTTTAACAACTATGTGCCTACCTTGGCCTTAATACCCGTTTCACGATTGTGTTCCTGAGTGGGGCCTTGATGCACCTTGTTTAACAACTATGTGCCTACCTTGGCCTTAATACCCGTTTCACGATTGTGTTCCTGAGTGGGGCCTTGATGCACCTTGTTTAACAACTATGTGCCTACCTTGGCCTTAATACCCGTTTCACGATTGTCTTCCTGTGTGGGGCCTTGAAGCACCTTGTTTAACAAATATGTGCCTACCTTGGCCTTAATACCCGTTTCACGATTGTGTTCCTGAGTGGGGCCTTGAAGCACCTTGTTTAACAAATATGTGCCTACCTTGGCCTTAATACCCGTTTCACGATTGTATTCCTGTGTGGGGCCTTGATGCACCTTGTTTAACAACTGTGTGCCTACCTTGGCCTTAATACCCGTTTCACGATTGTGTTCCTGAGTGGGGCCTTGATGCACCTTGTTTAACAACTATGTGCCTACCTTGGCCTCAAGACTTGTAACCTGCTGATGCAACTTGTCTCTCTCCTGTCTCAGAAGCTTGTTGCTGTCTGTCAACACGTTCATGTTCTCTACCTTCCGCATCAAGTCTGCGTGCTGGACTGCAGTTTGGACAGACACCTACAATGACAATATACTCTGTACACTTGTATATAGACACCTACAATAACATGACCCCTTGTACGATAGTATAAAGACACCTATAATAACACAATATACCCTGTACACTAGAACAACATGCAACATGACACCCTAAGCAGGACACCATGCAGATTGCACAGACACCTATACAACACACCACTAAGTATGTTTGAACAGACACCTACATAGCAGAATATGATGTACATTGTAAAGACACCTACATAGCAGGACACCATGTACAGACACCTACATAGCAGAATATGATGTACATTGTAAAGACACCTACATAGCAGGACACCATGCAGATTGCACAGAAACCTATCCAACACACCACTAAGTATGTTTGAACAGACACTTACATAGCAGAATATGATGTACATTGTAAAGACACCTACATAGCAGGACACCATGTACAGACACCTACATAGCAGAATATGATGCACATTGTAAAGACACCTACATAGCAGGACACCATGTACAGACATCTACACAGGACACCACGTACATTGTACAGACACCTACACAACAGGACACCATGTACAGACACCTACACAACAGGACACCACATACACACACCTACACAACAGGACACCATGTACAGACACCTACACAACAGGACACCATGTACAGACACCTACACAGCAGGACACCATGTACAGACATCTACACAGCTGGACACCATGTACAGACACCTATACAGCAGGACACCATGTACAGACACCAGACATCTACACAACAGGACACCATGTACAGACACCTACACAACAGGACACCATGTACAGACATCTACACAGGACACCATGGACACCATGTACAGACACCTACACAACAAGACACACATGTACAGACACACACAACAGGACAGGACACCATGTACAGACATCTACACAACAGGACACCATGTACAGACACCTACACAACAGGACACCATGTATTGTACAGACATCTACACAGCAGGACACCATGTACAGACATCTATACAGCAGGACACCATGTACAGACATCTACACAACAGGACACCATGTACAGACATCAGACATCTATACAGCAGGACACCATGTACAGACCTACACAACAGGACACTACATGTACAGACATCTACACAACAGGACACCATGTACAGACATCTACACAGCAGGACACCATGGACACCATGTACAGACATCTACACAACACACCATGTACAGACATCTACACAACAGGACACCATGTACAGACATCTACAACAGCATGGACACCATGACACATCTATGTACAGACATCTACACAGCAGGACACCATGTACAGACATCTACACAACAGGACACCATGTACAGACATCTACACAACAGGACACCATGTACAGACATCTACACAACAGGACACCATATTGTACAGACATCTACACAGGACACCATGTACAGACATCTACAGACATCTACACATCTAACAGGACACCATGTACAGACATCTACACAGCAGGACACCATGACACCATGTACAGACACCTGTACAGACATCTACACAACAGGACACCATGTACAGACATCTACACAACAGGACACCATGTACAGACATCTACACAACAGGACACCATGTATTGTACAGACACCTACACAACAGGACACCATGTACAGACATCTATACAGCAGGACACCATGTACAGACATCTACACAACAGGACACCATGTACAGACATCTATACAGCAGGACACCATGTACAGACATCTATACAGCAGGACACCATGTACAGACATCTATACAGCTGGACACCATGTACAGACATCTACACAGCTGGACACCATGTATTGTACAGACACCTACACAACAGGACACCATGTACAGACATCTATACAGCAGGACACCATGTACAGACATCTACACAGCTGGACACCATGTACAGACATCTACACAGCAGGACACCATGTACAGACACCTACACAACAGGACACCATGTACAGACATCTATACAACAGGACACCATGTACAGACATCTATACAGCAGGACACCATGTACAGACATCTACACAGCAGGACACCATGTATTGTACAGACATCTACACAACAGGACACCATGTACAGACATCTATACAGCAGGACACCATGTACAGACATCTATACAGCAGGACACCATGTACAGACATCTACACAGCAGGACACCATGTATTGTACAGACACCTACACAACAGGACACCATGTACAGACATCTATACAGCAGGACACCATGTACAGACATCTATACAGCAGGACACCATGTACAGACATCTACACAGCTGGACACCATGTACAGACATCTATACAGCAGGACACCATGTACAGACATCTATACAGCAGGACACCATGTACAGACATCTATACAGCAGGACACCATGTACAGACATCTATACAACAGGACACCATGTACAGACACCTACACAACAGGACACCATGTACAGACATCTACACAACAGGACACCATGTACATCTACACAAGCAGACACCTACACAACAGGACACCATGTACAGACATCTACACAGCAGGACACCATGTACAGACACCTACACAACAGGACACCATGTACAGACACCTACACAACAGGACACCATGTACAGACATCTACACAACAGGACACCATGTACAGACACCTACACAACAGGACACCATGTACAGACATCTATACAACAGGACACCATGTACAGACATCTACACAGCAGGACACCATGTACAGACATCTATACAGCTGGACACCATGTACAGACATCTACACAGCAGGACACCATGTACAGACATCTACACAGCAGGACACCATGTACAGACATCTATACAGCAGGACACCATGTACAGACATCTATACAGCTGGACACCATGTACAGACATGCACAACAGGACACCATGTACAGACATCTACACAGCTGGACACCATGTACAGACATCTACACAGCAGGACACCATGTACAGACATCTACACAGCAGGACACCATGTACAGACATCTATACAGCAGGACACCATGTACAGACATCTACAGCAGGACACCATGTACAGACATCTACACAGCAGGACACCATGTACAGACATCTATACAGCAGGACACCATGTACAGACATCTATACAGCAGGACACCATGTACAGACATCTACACAACAGGACACCATGTACAGACATCTACACAGCAGGACACCATGTACAGACATCTATACAGCAGGACACCATGTACAGACATCTACACAGCAGGACACCATGTACAGACATCTACACAACAGGACACCATGTACAGACATCTACACAGCAGGACACCATGTACAGACATCTACACAGCAGGACACCATGTACAGACATCTACACAGCAGGACACCATGTACAGACACCATCTACACAGCAGGACACCATGTACAGACATCTACACAGCAGGACACCATGTACAGACATCTACACAGCAGGACACCATGTACAGACATCTATACAGCAGGACACCATGTACAGACATCTATACAGCAGGACACCATGTACAGACATCTATACAGCAGGACACCATGTACAGACATCTACACAGCAGGACACCATGTACAGACATCTATACAGCAGGACACCATGTACAGACATCTATACAGCAGGACACCATGTACAGACATCTACACAGCAGGACACCATGTACAGACATCTACACAGCTGGACACCATGTACAGACATCTATACAGCAGGACACCATGTATTGTACAGACATCTATACAGCAGGACACCATGTACAGACATCTACACAGCTGGACACCATGTACAGACATCTATACAGCAGGACACCATGTACAGACATCTATACAGCAGGACACCATGTACAGACATCTACACAGCTGGACACCATGTACAGACATCTACACAGCTGGACACCATGTACAGACATCTATACAGACACCATGTACAGACATCTATACAGCAGGACACCATGTACAGACATCTATACAGCAGGACACCATGTACAGACATCTATACAGCAGGACACCATGTACAGACATCTACACAACAGGACACCATGTACAGACATCTATACAACAGGACACCATGTACAGACATCTATACAACAGGACACCATGTACAGACATCTATACAGCAGGACACCATGTACAGACATCTATACAGCAGGACACCATGTACAGACATCTATACAGCAGGACACCATGTACAGACACCTACACAACAGGACACCATGTATTGTACAGACATCTATACAGCAGGACACCATGTACAGACATCTATACAGCAGGACACCATGTACAGACATCTACACAGCTGGACACCATGTACAGACATCTACACAGCTGGACACCATGTACAGACATCTATACAGCTGGACACCATGTACAGACATCTATACAGCAGGACACCATGTACAGACATCTATACAGCAGGACACCATGTACAGACATCTATACAGCAGGACACCATGTACAGACATCTACACAACAGGACACCATGTACAGACATCTATACAGCTGGACACCATGTACAGACATCTATACAACAGGACACCATGTACAGACATCTATACAGCAGGACACCATGTACAGACATCTATACAGCAGGACACCATGTACAGACATCTATACAGCAGGACACCATGTACAGACACCTACACAACAGGACACCATGTATTGTACAGACATCTATACAGCAGGACACCATGTACAGACATCTATACAGCAGGACACCATGTACAGACATCTACACAGCTGGACACCATGTACAGACACCTACACAACAGGACACCATGTACAGACATCTATACAGCAGGACACCATGTACAGACATCTATACAGCAGGACACCATGTACAGACATCTATACACAGGGACACCATGTACAGACATCTATACAGCAGGACACCATGTACAGACATCTATACAGCAGGACACCATGTACAGACATCTATACAACAGGACACCATGTACAGACATCTATACAGCAGGACACCATGTACAGACATCTATACAGCAGGACACCATGTACAGACATCTATACAGCAGGACACCATGTACAGACATCTACACAGCTGGACACCATGTACAGACATCTACACAGCTGGACACCATGTACAGACATCTATACAGCTGGACACCATGTACAGACATCTATACAGCAGGACACCATGTACAGACATCTATACAGCAGGACACCATGTACAGACATCTATACAGCAGGACACCATGTACAGACATCTATACAGCTGGACACCATGTACAGACATCTACACAACAGGACACCATGTACAGACATCTATACAGCTGGACACCATGTACAGACATCTACACAACAGGACACCATGTACAGACATCTATACAGCAGGACACCATGTACAGACATCTATACAGCAGGACACCATGTACAGACACCTATACAGCAGGACACCATGTACAGACATCTATACAGCAGGACACCATGTACAGACATCTATACAGCAGGACACCATGTACAGACATCTATACAGCAGGACACCATGTACAGACATCTATACAGCAGGACACCATGTACAGACATCTATACAGCAGGACACCATGTACAGACATCTACACAGCAGGACACCATGTACAGACATCTATACAGCAGGACACCATGTACAGACATCTATACAGCAGGACACCATGTACAGACATCTATACAGCAGGACACCATGTACAGACATCTACACAGCAGGACACCATGTACAGACATCTATACAGCTGGACACCATGTACAGACATCTATACAGCAGGACACCATGTACAGACATCTACACAGCAGGACACCATGTACAGACATCTACACAACAGGACACCATGTACAGACATCTATACAGCAGGACACCATGTACAGACATCTATACAGCAGGACACCATGTACAGACATCTATACAGCAGGACACCATGTACAGACATCTACACAGCTGGACACCATGTACAGACATCTATACAGCAGGACACCATGTACAGACATCTACACAGCTGGACACCATGTACAGACATCTATACAGCAGGACACCATGTACATTTGAATAAACACAACAATAGGACATCATGAAAACAGACATACATGTGTATGCATTAACAACCACTCACATGAAAAAAAAGAGATCTTATTCTGAAAAGGAATCATAAATCTTTCCCACCTGAGATCGACTCCTCTCCTCAGTGAGAGTCTTGTTGGCATAATCCAGCTGTTTCTCCAGGTGGGAAAACCTCTGATTAACCCGAGTTGTTTCAGCCTGTGCCACCTCCAGCTTTGTCTCTGCGATCTCCTTGTCTCTCCGCAAGAATCTGCATGTACAACAACAGTAAAAACTCTTGGTAATATAGCCTGACTGTTAGGCCGATAACAGCCATAGTGTGAGGAGACGTCAGATGGGTGGGTACACTGGTATAATCGAGGGGGAAAGTACCACAACAACTTCACACAAGGTACTAGAGTGTAACTGGTGGTGACTGTCACAGGCACAGGAGACTTCGGGTGGATGGTGGTAGACCGCTAACTGACTGAGAAACAACCTGGTAGCAGAGTGGGTGTCTGATTATTGTTTAAGTCAACTGTTTAATGTACTTGTCTGAAAGTTACCCATTTCATGCAAATCAACTGAAAAAAACACATTTTGATGTGGTACAACTTGGGGATCAAAGATGCTCATACAGTTTGGAGACACACAAAACACTTATCAAACTGCATAAAGTACAATCTACTGAGCATCAATATATAAAACAAGTAACATCCTTAAATCATACTGAACCTGACGACTTCAAGCAACTGATCGGAGGACTTGGCCAAGTCCTCGCCCACAGCCTTGCCTGCCACGCCCCCTGATTTCCCGGCCATGCCCACTGAGGCCTTCTTCTGTATTGTTGTCACCTGGCCGCTCAGCTGAAGCAAGAGACACATGACTGTATAGAGCTTTACATACTCATCATGGCATGGACAAATATTCTAGTTTAAATACAACATATGTGTTTTGTTTACAGCATGATAAACAAACACACTTCAACAGCAAAATCAGTCTTGCAGGTCTCGGCATCCACGCTGTTTGCATAGCTAAATCCTCAAACAGCATTGGAGTAATGTGAAGGAAGAAGTCAGGTGGGTTGATCATCTTTTGGAACATTATTTCAGTTACATCAGTGTCAGATATAAGTGGAAACAGAATGGCCATCATTAGCACAAACCTGGGATCTGAATCAAGAAATATGTGAATCCCTGCACACATAAGGGACATAATTCTGGCACATAAAACTGCTGGGACAGGAAAGTATTGTGTTCAATACCTCTCCAAGCTCTATTCCTGCTATATGTCTGTAAGTAAGTGAATCTGGACCTGACTATTCTGTAATTGCCACCATGAGTAGTGATCCTTGCAATCAACCGAGTAAAGAAGTCAGACAACAACTCAGTCCACAACGTTGCCTCTTCTGACAAGTCATTTCTGGGTTCTTATACTAGCCCTAATCCATATGGATAACAGCTACTGGTCTTTTTGGCCAGTTGAATCTGTGGATGTGTCCTACCTTCTGCATCTGTTCGTGCAGCACAGCATTCTGCTGGGTCAGTTCCTGCACCCTCGTCTCCAGCAGCTTGGCCTCCTCCCTCAAGATTCGCTCCTGCTCCATCCATGACGTCTGCAACAGCACATCATTACATTCAACAAGCACAGCCAGATGGTACAATGTACACGCACAACAACGTAAACTAAGACAAGGCAGCAGTCAAACATTTTTATAAGATTTGGGATTATACTCTGTCTTCAGTCCGCAAAACTCTGTTACCAGGTAGCTTCTTATTAGCTTAGAGTTCTATATAGCTTGGAAGGAAACAATGACGACGACAAAGGTTGTATGTAACTACATCATAGGACAGAAAGACAATCACCTCTAAATCTGATAAATATTTATGTAAACACAGTTATCTAAGTAACATGAACACTTGCAAAACAGGTTGATACAGGCATGAAGGGACTGAATTATGATAAAAGAAGGAACTCTACCTGGGATTCCTTAAGAGTCTGCTCAGCCTTCTTAGCAGCTTCTTGTGAGACTGACAGCGTATTGTTGAAATCCTCCACCTGAATGGGAACAAAGGATTGACATTATAGAGACTGGACTAGTTGTGGCAGTAACACTGGAGTATGGAGCAAGTTGAGTGTGGATGTGTAACATTGTAGTGATAAGACTGGAGTATGGAGCAAGTTGAGTGTGGATGTGTAACATTGTAGTGATAAGACTGGAGTATGGAGCAAGTTGAGTGTGGATGTGTAACATTGTAGTGATAAGACTGTCGTATGGAGCAAGTTGAGTGTTGATGTGTAACATTGTAGTGATAAGACTGGAGTATGGAGCAAGTTGAGTGTGGATGTGTAACATTGTAGTGATAAGACTGGAGTATGGAGCAAGTTGAGTGTTGATGTGTAACACTGTAGTGATAAGACTGGAGTATGGAGCAAGTTGAGTGTGGATGTGTAACATTGTAGTGATAAGACTGGAGTATGGAGCAAGTTGAGTGTGGATGTGTAACATTGCAGTGATAAGACTGGAGTATGGAGCAAGTTGAGTGTGGATGTGTAACATTGTAGTGATAAGACTGGAGTATGGAGCAAGTTGAGTGTGGATGTGTAACATTGCAGTGATAAGACTGGAGTATGGAGCAAGTTGAGTGTGGATGTGTAACATTGTAGTGATAAGACTGGAGTATGGAGCAAGTTGAGTGTGGATGTGTAACATTGTAGTGATAAGACTGTCGTATGGAGCAAGTTGAGTGTTGATGTGTAACATTGTAGTGATAAGACTGTCGTATGGAGCAAGTTCAGTGGGGATGTGTAACATTGTAGTACAGCTGTAGGGTCCTTACCTGTTTCTTGTAGGTTGTCAGGGCCTCTACATCAGCAGCATGGAGGATCAGCTCCCTCTCATACTTGGTCTGTGACTGGAAGACAAGCACAAGATGTCAGCTGACCTACCGAGGTTGACCCTACATGCTACATTTGTTCGATGAAACAATGACTAGAAGGGCGGTCCCCATTACTGTAGTGATATAGGTACAGGAGTCTTACATCCATGGCAATGTCGGCCTGTTGCTTGTAGTCCCGCTTGGCAGCCTCCTCGTTGGAGATGGCGGTTTCACGTCTCTGCACTGCCTCCTCCATCTCATTCTGGAGATTCGCCAACTGTTTCCTCAGGTCAGCATTCTGCAATCATACGACCAGCTCTTAGATGACCACAACAGAATGTGTCCGTCAATCAGAAAGTAATATCAATGTGTGTTATTCATATTCAATGTTGCTTGCAATCGGCATACATTTAATGCTTTGTCACTTCTGACTGTAATGGGCTAATCCTTGGACAGGTCAAGCAAATGGTTTATAGCATGAATGTCTAAGAATGTTACTAGTATCGTATGATAGGAAAGGGAAATCCAATACAACCAATCAAATGACTAGCATCAATTAGTGACAATGATACAGATCCCAATCTGAAAACTTCCCGTAGATCAGTTATCGTTATGTCTAAGATTCATCATCCCATAAAAGATAAAGTCAATATTTGTTTTGAGTTAGTCACATAAGGAGCTGTCAAATTTAGAAGCAACTGAGGTAAGCCGGAATTAGCCCTTTTGATCAAAGTGAGTGAGTGAGTGAGTGAGTTCAGTTTTACGCCGCTTTTAACAATATTCCAGTTATATCACAGCGGGGGACACCAGAAATGGGCTTCACACATTGTACCCATAAGGGGAATCGAACCCGGGTCTTCGGCGTTTTGAGTGAACACTTTAACCACTAGGCTACCTAGGCCACTGCCCCTCTTGATCAAAGATTCCAAGACGCAACTGTGAACATTGAATTGCGATGAGCAAATTCCATATCACCCTTGAAGAAGACACTAAGATACAAGTTCCTATGTCATCAATATTGATGTGACAACCCACATACTACTATTATGTACAACACTTGGTTGGTTGTTCCTTGTGTCACTGTCAACAGTGTTCCGCCTGTATCATGGTGATGGGTAGAATGAATAAGCAGCGAGCTATGCCATCGAATGCAATGACACATAACATGTTACAAAGACAGTCCACCAAAAGGACAAGCAGTTAAGTGCTGTGGACCTATTCTAATCTGGCTCCCCAAGGAAGTACAAGCAGTCGATGGTGGAGGACCTTTTCCAATCTGGCTCCCCATGGATTTACAAGCAGTAGAGTGCAAAGGACCTATTCCAATCTGGCCCCCTATTTTGACCTGGTTCATCTTTGGGGCAGACAAGACCTACTCCAACTAAGCCTAGGCAACTGAGAAAAAGTGTACTGTACCAGAGAATGGCTCTCCTCTGAGATGCGGATGTTCTCATTGAGCAGCTCTTGTCTCTCCTTCTCCATTGCTTCAATTCTCTTCTCCAGCTGTTCCTTGGCTGCAAGCAGAGACAGTAGTCCATGAAATGTAACAGCATGTCACAGATATTTACAGTCAAAGTTACACAGTTACTCGCCATTATGAAGGGGAACAGTGACATTATTCACTGGCTTGAGTCCTTTCTGACACAACACACACAGTTTGTCAGCGTCAACAGCATGCTGTCATCAACCTCGGTTACCAATACTGGAGCTCCCCAAAGGTGTGTTTTATCACCAGTTTTGTTCATGTTGTATACCAACGACTGTGATTGTGACTCCACTGGATCTTATACGGACAAATGACGTCACACCAACGGGACTAATAAGCAGCTCAGGGAACCATTATTGGCTAGAGATAAAGAAATTGACCGACTATATACTTAAAGAAAACCAAACCAAAGAGATGGTAATAGATTTCAGGTCCCAGAAAACTGCAGTACTTATCTGGAATTCAAACACTCAGTGCTAAGGGCCAGCAAAGATTCTTCTTTTCCTGCGGGGCTTTGTTCTTTCAATGCTAACATTTTACCCTTAGTTTTGTGAGTGATTATCACACTACCAGCCAGAGGCCACTGTGAGCACTGTAATCACATTCCAGTCTGTCAAATACATTTCACCATTTTCAAACGCAAAACAAATTCAGTATACACTTGTGTTGAGAAAATCGCTGATACTTACATTGTTTCAAGTCCTGGCTTCTCTGCTCCAGGGCTTGTTGGAACTCCTTGCTTGTCTGAAATCCCCAGAAAACAGTCAAGACAACAGCAATCTTGTATAACAAATGTCAACATATACTGCCTTATACATCTTCTTACGTTTACTAAATATTTCCCTTCAATGTAATCTAATTTCAGCTAGATAGAATATATTAAAATACTTAGTTGTAAATAGATTATATAAATGAAGACAAATGGAACCAGTCAGAATGTGTTTCCCATTTCAAGACTGAACACCAATATTGCAGCTGTTTCTGAAAAACATTGGATGGACAGAAGAGACAGAGACAAACTAATATCTCTCATCCCTTCTTGGCATGGGTAATAACTCAGATCTGTGGAAGGCGTCCCAGTGGGATAAGGTCTCACTTTCTTGTAACCTCCACAAGGACCGATCTACACCTACTACTGAAAGAAATACGTTCTCACCTTGTTCTGTTCCTTCAGAGTCTCCTCCACGCTGTCTGAGATGGCCTTGTACTGCTGTGCGTGCTTCTTTGCTGTCTCCAACTGGTTCTTCAACGCTGCACACGATGAAAGAAGAATACCTTAATTTTATGTGTACCTTGACAGGCAATGTAAAACAGACCTAGAATCATTTAACCATTGGAAGCCATCCTTCGATCATTGGAAGTCATACTTTGATCACTGGAAGCCATCCTTCGATCATTGGAAGCCATTATTAGATCATTTGAAGCCATCCTTAGACGACTGGAAGCCACCTTTAGATGACTGAAAGCCATCCATCCATCCCTGGAAGCCACCCTCAGATCACTGAAGGCCATCCATCGATCACTGAAAGCCGCCCTCAGATCACTGGAAGCCATCCATTGATCAATGGAAGCCACCCTTAGATCACTGTCAGTCATCATTAGATCACTGGAAGCTACCCTTACATCACTGGCAGTCATCCTTAGATCACTGGAAACAATCCATTGATCACTGGAAACCACAAATCAATCACTGGAAGCCACCCTCTGATCACTGAAAGCCACCCTTAGACCACTGGAAGCCTTCCATCGATCAAAGGAAGACACCTTTAGATCACTGGCAGTCATCCTTAGATCACTGGCAGTCATCCTTAGATCACTGGAAACCATCCATCAATCACTGGAAACCACAAATCGATCACTGGAAGCCACCCTTTGATCAGTGAATGCCACCCTAAGACCACTGGAAGCCTTCCATCAATCAATGGAAGCCACCATTAGATCACTGGCAGTCATCCTTAGATCACTGAGAACCATCCATTGATCAATGGAAGCCATCATTAAATCATTGGAAGCCATCCTTAGATCACTGGAACCATCCACTGATCATAGTAAATCATTGGAAGCCATCCATTGACCACTGGAAGCCATCCATTGACCACTGGAAGCCATCAATCGATCACTGGAAGCCATCCATCAATCATTGGAAGCCATTCTTAGATCACTGGAAGCCATCCTTAGATCACTGGCAGTCATCATTAGATCAATGGAAGAAACCCTTAGATCACTGGAAGCCATCCTTAGATCATTGGAAACCATCCATCGATCATTGGAAGCCATTCTTAGATCACTGGGAACCATCCATCGATCACTGGAAGCCATCCTCAGATCACTGGCAGACATCACTAGACCACTGGAAACCATCCAATGACCACTGGAAGCCATCCATCGATCATTGGAAGCCATTCTTAGATCACTGGAAGCCATCCTTAGATCATGTCGAGTTCACTTAAATGAAGACATTTCCTGCTTCTAACAATATATTTTAGTCCTTACTTTTGTATCTGGTGAAGTAAGGACCCATCACTGCTCAAAAAGAAACTTTCAGTGCTTCAGCCAGAATTTTTTTGAGTGTTCCCAATTGGCACCTTAACTACTAAAATGTGTACTAAATGTAGTTGCGACTTTTGCCATTCATGGTAACCATGGTAACGAAGACCTGTGGATTATATTAAATGTTGCGCCAATGGGCTCTCTAGCACTGAAAAAAAAGTGCCATTGCATATTTTTTAGTGTGGATGGTGCAATGGCTCTTGCCTGACTGAAGCACTGAACTTTGCATCAACATTTGTTAAAGTTCATCAATGGTTCTTAAAACAACCTTGGGAATACTCACATTTAACCTGTTGCTGGAGCTGGGTGACCTCTGACCTCAGGTCCTTGACCTGTTCAGAAGACTCTGTCTGCACTACAGGAGCAGACGCTGACGTCTGTGGATGTTCAGTAGCTGCAACATGGACAGTGTCAGAATGTAAGGTAAAGGGGAGTTTCATGTGCATGGCTGCGTGTATCAGGCCAGAGTAATCTCCCAATTGATTTAGCCCCTTAAAGCCAAGCAGCAGGCAGGGTAACAAGGATGAGGATAAACTCTCCTGGCAGACAATCTATGCAATAAAACCATGAAGACAGAGTTAACATACTGCTAGTGGGATACATCAGATATCTCTGGGAAGAAGGTAATGCCTGGCAGGAGGATGGATCAAACTCATCCAGATCAACATCAGTAAATGTGTGGAAACAGATGTGACATGGCAGCTACTTGGATGCTTTGTATGTTAGGTGTTTGTGGAGTGAATTCCAGATCAGAACCCATGAGCAATGGACTCTGCCCTACTGAACTACAGCAACCTAGACCGCTTGTGCTACACATGCTCTCAGTGAATACTAAACATTGCATGAGTGGAGTGAGATTATAGCTTACTTCTGGGTTCTCCCAGTCGGGCCAACTTGTTCTCAGCTGCAACCAGTTTCGATTCTGTGGCAGAGAGCTGAAAGACATTTCCTTAAATGTAAACCTCAGATCAACAGTAAATTATGTAAAGGCAAAATTTCTGTAATAAAACAAACACAACATTTCGGAGTACATTATACATCTTTATAAATTCCAAGACAAAACAATCCCTGATGCCTCACCTCCTGCTTGAGTTCCAGGACATTCTTGTTAGCATCAGACAACTTGGTCTTGTTGTCCTGTCCCATGGTCTTCTCACGCTCTAGTTCCATCTGCACATTCTTCACCAGGCTCTGAAACACACATTTCTCATCACCAAGATGTGAATTGAGCATACTACTCACACCATAATTGTACACGGTAAAACACACGGATGTGCGATAAGCAATCCTTCTAATCGTTGTGTACCTTCTAGGAAGGTATTTTGAGGATTCTGTGATGTCACAATGGTGTATGAACTTAACATCACATCACAAATTAAGGACAAACAGTTTCCAAATGTTGATCTCTATTACTTATATTCTAACTTGTTGAACAAGGACATATTAATCCTTACATTACCATTCACTGACAAATACTTCCGACCCAAACCCGGCCATCCCGGGACCGTTGCCTCACCTCCCAGTTGCGAGTCAGTGACCTATGTTCCTCAGACTGCACGTCAATCCTTCGCTTCAGGGAGTTCACTTCACGCTCATATGCACTGATCTGGTTGTTCAGACGAGTTTTGGTCTCATACTCTGCACGCTCTAGATTATTCTGAAAACCAGCAGGATACTATTTACAGGCTGAATGAAGAAAGACTTATTGACAGCTTCATTGTTTTCCAATGTGCTCCTGTCGTCACTTATTTTGTCATTGTAAACGTTCTCAGGACATGTCTCATAACATCTTAGCATAGCCTCCTTAAGTGACCAGTATGGTCTATTTATCAGTCCTATGAGTGAGTGAGTGAGTGAGTTGAGTTTTACACCGCACTCAGCAATATTCCAGCTATATGGCAGCGGTCTGTAAATATTCAAGTCTGGACCAGACAATCCAGTGATCAACAGCACGAGCATCGATCTGAGCAATTGGGAACCAAGCCAGCGAGCCTCACCACCCGATCCCGTTAGTCGCCTCTTACGACAAACATGGGTTACTGAAGGTACAGTCTAACCCGGACCTTCACGGGTCATCAGTCCTAGTAAGTACAAATATTTCTGTCTGTCCGATTAACTGTATTGTCTGACCTTACAGAATGCCCTTTCCAATGACCTTACAGAACAGCTCCAATGTTTACCAACGTACCTTGCTGTAGTATGTCCAGATATACCCATATGACACACATGTACAATGTACTGATGTACCTGTATGACCTCACTCTAGGAAATATGACGACCTGTATGGTCTGGTCTAAGAGGCTGCAGTGCGTATGTAGTGTGTACGGTCTGGCTGTACGGTTTAGCACTGCTGTGTATGACGTACCTGTATGGCCTGGCTGTACGGTTTAGCACTGTCTGGCTGTACGGTTTAGCACTGCTGTGTATGACGTACCTGTATGGCCTGGCTGTACGGTTTAGCACTGCTGTGTATGATGTGCCTGTATGGCCTAGCTGTACAGTTTAGCACTGCTGTGTATGACGTACCTGTATGGTCTGGCTGTACGGTTTAGCACTGCTGTGTATGATGTGCCTGTATGGCCTGGCTGTACAGTTTAGCACTGCTGTGTATGACGTACCTGTATGGTCTGGCTGTATGGTCTGGCTGTACGGTTTAGCACTGCTGTGTATGACGTACCTGTATGGCCTGGCTGTACGGTTTAGCACTGCTGTGTATGACGTACCTGTATGGTCTGGCTGTACGGTTTAGCACTGCTGTGTATGACGTACCTGTATGGTCTGGCTGTACGGTTTAGCACTGCTGTGTATGTACCTATACGGTTTGGCTGTGCACCTGTATGGTCTGGCTGTACAGTTTAGCACTGCTGTGTATGACGTACCTGTATGGTCTGGCTGTGCGGTTTAGCACTGCTGTGTATGACGTACCTGTATGGCCTGCAGACTAGAGAGCAGCATGTTCTGGGACAGGTGTTCCCGCCTGACACTCTCCAGTTCCTGCATCAGTCTATGCTCCGAGTTTGTCACCAGGTTTAACTCAGCTTTTCGGTTGTCGTTCTGGACTTCTAGTCTTGTTGCATTTTCTTGAGCAGCCATCAGGTCCTGTCAGCAACGAAGGAACACATACAAACTTAGACAAACCTGTAGAGGTTTACAATTCTTTGAAGAAATTCGACTTTGGGGTACATATATGCATTTTCTGTGGCTGAAAATGTCCTGTGACAGTTGTATCAATGTTTTAATAAAAATATTGTACAATAAATAAAATCTTTTTTATCTATTATACGGCCCCCACCACGTGGAGTTACCTCCCTGCTACACATGCGCAGCCAACCAGGTAGGCACCCAGGCACGTATCATCATTCCTTCTGCTGAATAAATCAGTGAACAGAATTGCGGGGAGGTGGGCAGCCCTACCCCAAGGACGATTCTCTTCAAAGAATTGTAAACCTCTACAGGTTTGTCTAATTCTTTTTCATAGAGATCGTCCTTGGGGTACATATATGCATAAACTCAGACTCCCAAAGACCGGAGGCCAGGCAGGAGGGAATTCTGTCAAGTACACATGAATAGCGATCGTTAAAATAATGTAACAGACCCCACAACACTCACCTGTCACGTGTCCCGGAGCTTCCGCGAGAGGCATTATGGGAGGGTAACCGAGAGGGAGGATAGGTACTTAGATCCGACCTCATAGGTTAAGCATAGCAAGTTCGCACATAGTGCGAAAATACACAACCCCACCCACATCATGGTCTATTAGAGAGCACCGTAGGGGGGAAAAACCAGCTCACAACCAACCATAATCTCCGGAGAGAATCGAAAGGCGTTAGATCACACAACAGCGGATATATCAATAAACACAATTGAAAGCAGCGTCAACTAACCAAATAAACAAGACTCACTCGGTCAGGGTGGCAGGACACTGTCCACTGGAGAGAACAGAACGGCCAAAACGCGCACGATCACGTGAATGTGTATCGAGCTGATAGTGCCTGATAAAAGTGCTAGGCCTGCTCCAAATAGCGGCAGAGCATATCTCTTCAATGGGTAGTGCCGATGCAAAAGCTTTTGACGTGGCTACTGCCCTGACCGAGTGAGCCTTCAACCCCTCAGGGGGAGGCTTGCCTTTAGCCTGATGAGCAGCACAAATGACCGAAACAAGCCAGCGAGACAGGGTCTGTTTGCTCGCCGGCACCCCAGCCTTCCCGCCACCGAAACAGCAGAACAGATAGGTACCCGTACGGATCCCTTGTGTTCGTTTGATATAGACCTTAAGAGTCTTTCGGACATCCAACGGGTGAGTGCTTGTTGGAGAGGTCAGCAATATGGAAGGCTGGGTAAGAGTAGGAAGTTCGATAGGAGCTGTCACATGGAAAGCATGATCGACCTTCGGGCGGTACGTATTCGGGAGGCGAATACTGACACGATCTGGATGGAACACAGTCAGCGTCGGGTCTGCCGACATAGCATGTAAGTCGCCGACCCTATGCCCAGATGTTACCGCCACCGCTTTCCAGGTTAACAACTGAATGGAAATAGCCGATAGACGTGAGAACGTAGGCCCAGACAGCCAATCTAGCACAATTGACAAATCCCAAGGTGGGCTGGTTCGCCTGACAGCAGGTCGAAAACCCGATCCACGCCAGCTAAAAAGCGCTGCATGAGAAGGTGCTGCCCCAGAAGAGCACCATCGACAGGGCTGTGAAAAGTGGAAATAGCGGTGGAGTAGCCATGAATGGTCAAAGCCACCAGGCCTTCTTCCAAACGGGCTTGCAAAAACTCCAATACCTTGACTTAAGGTCCCGGCACCCGAGCCCGAGTCAGAATCCGGGTCTCCTCGCGAAGAGGATCCGAACCCCGACCCGGTGGGAGGCCGAGCACCAGACACAGAGGGAAGGGAAGAGCCGAAGGAACTTCCCACTCCGGCAACCGACACCACACTCGAACCCCGGTCCCGAGACACGGGAGGAAGACCAGGCACAACTGGCTCCTACGCTCTTATGGGGCGGGGCGGCGGCGCCCCGCCGCGCAGGGAACAGAACCCCAGGAATCCTCAATGGACCCTGCGGCAACAAAGAGAGGGGGACTTGGAGCAAACCCTCCCCCTCTGGGATAGCCAATGCGTCCGGACCCGAAGCGTGAGGCAACGGATTGACAGACGCCTCCAGGCTAAGGGATCGAGCCGGGCTCGGCAATCCCACCCGCGTGGGCTGAGTGGGCAAGGAACTTCTGACGGAGACCTCCAACCGACTCATGAACAAGGGACTTCACTGAGTCCATATGCTGCTGGAAAAGTTGCGTAATTAAAGACATATCAAAACCACTGTGTGATGGAGGCGCCGCCTTAGGCGACTTAGCTTTCTTAGCCGGCTCCTGGGTCAGTTCCCCTCCCGCCTCTCGCAACTCTTTATAGAAGAGAAAATCCGCGGCCCTCCGTTTCTGGGCCCGGGGGGAGAAGGCTGTGCAGAGTTCACAAATGTCAGGATTGTGGCCGACTTTTTCAAGACAACACAAGCACTTGTCATGCTTATCAGCTCTGGGGATGCTCTGCCCACAGACAGAACACCCAGTAAATGCCTGAAAGCAAACCCGCAAGCATGTAGCTAACAGCGGAGCCAGCAGCATAAATATACACGTACAAAACATTGAAAATTACGTGAATGCGACCACCGGAAGAAATACTTGGTTAATAATGCAATATGACAACCACGTGGCACGCTAAACTTCCCGCCATTGAAAAGCAACACGTGCGTAAACCACGGGAAAGCTAGCGTAAAGGTTTAATACAAAGTCACAGAAATGAGAAATAACAGACTGCAAAATCAATAAAACTGTTCTGTCAAGAACGAATAAAGACCATACATACAGTTGTTGAAGTCTCAGACATTCTTCACAAATAGAAGTAAATCAGCTATGAACTCGGAACACGTGTGAACGCTTGAGTGACAGCAGAAGGAATGATGATACAGGCCTAGGTGCTTACCTTGTTGGCTGTGCATGCGTAGCAGGGAGGTAACTCTGCGTGGTGGGGTCGTATAATAGATAAAAAAGATTTTTATTTATTGTACAATATTTATATTTAAACATTGATACAACTGTCACATGACATTTTCAGCCGCAGAAAATGCATATATGTACCCCAGGGACGATCTCTATGAAACAGAATGGTGTCTGCGTAATATCCCCATGTAGGCTGTCACCAAATTTGAAGACACTGGGAACAACAGTCCATGAGATATCGCGTTAACAGGAGTTAGAAAAGTGGTCACAGTGTCGTGGTGACCTTGAAAATAACGTCAAGGTCACCCAAATCGACTGGTGTCTGCATAATCCCTTAATGTAGGCTGTCACCAAATTTGAAGACACTGGTTACAACAGTCCATGAGATATCGCGTTAACAAGAGTTAGAAAAAGTGGTCAAAGTGTTGTGGAGACCTTGAAAATAAGGTTAAGGTGACCCAAATCAACTGGTGTCTGCGTAAACCCCTAATGTAGGCTGTCACCAAATTTGAAGACATTGGGTACAACAGTTCATGAGATATCGCGCTAACAAGAATCGGGACGTATGTATGTACGGAAGCCGGTGCATACATAGTCCCCCGTTCCGCCGGGGTACAATAACTAAATCAACTGTAATCGGCAATATCTGTCATCTAGTTTTAATCAACTAACTGAATAATGATAATAATTATAATTGTGTTATCCCTCTTCACATGTGATGACAAACATGTCTGTATTACTGGTTGACAAGCCTTACCTCTCGGAGCAGGGTGATGGTCTGTTCGTGTTTGACAACCGAGGCACAGTACTGTTGATTCTTGTCCCTCAGCGCTGCGATCTCCTTCCTGTAGCCATCAATGTTGCCCTGGAGGACCTTGTATCTCTCTGCTGAGAAGTCAAGCTGGGGAAGGCAATCACAACATGTTATAGTCGTTTGACCGAGCTGATTATGGATAGATTATATTTGGGCAAGAACCCTGAATACCCTAGTATTGACAAAACATACATCAAAAGTATCGATAAAGTCATAGAAATAAAAATAAATCCAATCAACTTTTTCTATTTACCCCAGTATTGTTGCATATACATATTTGAATCTGTTTTGATTCTAAAAAATCTGATAAGTCGGTAGAATAAAAAAGGTTGGATGTAACTTAAAATTGATTCATCTTGCCTGATCAGTGACCATCTTACTGACGTTTGCTTTATTGTGTTTCATCAGAAATGATTATACTTCTGAAGTCTTTCAGTAGAGTCATTTAGAATACAGCTCCCTCGGAAGGCGAAAAACACACGTTCGTTAGCGCCAAACATCTGCTCAGAGGACTGGAATCGGCTTATGCAGGTTCCATGCTACCTAATGCAATACGCTTACTGCAGCTCAAACAAGGTGTCTGCAGTGATCCAACTTACATACATTTTTTAAAAACATATTGTCATCAAGTCTTGTTAGTAAAGTGGTAATAAATCACGTAAATCACTGCCTTAGAAGGGCGATGGTTCTGGTCAGTGTTACAGTCATAGGCTTGCCCATGTATGTCTTAGCTGTACAGTGGATACTACTTCAAGATAGATCAGTGGAGGTCCTTTCATATCACATCATCATGTGAAGAAACATAGATATCACATTGTAGGGGACTGTTCATCATTTATGGCTGGCTTGCAGGGGGAGAGAAAGAAGGAGTGTGTGTGATGAAAATGTTTATGGAAAAGCATGTACAAAGTGTATGACACCCCCTTTATGTACAAAGTAAGTGACAACCCCTCCCACCCCCTGCGTCATGAACAAAATCAACGACACCCCCTATAATTTGTCAGCATAATGTTTTTAACATTGTTATGTGCAAAATTGCTGACTCCCGTTGTACTGCTTAAGAACACTTGAAGTCTCACCTGTGAAGCCAGCTTGGCATTCTGCACCTTCATCTCAGAGAGTTCCTGTCTGGCCTTGTCAAGCTGCTTTCGCTGATCATCCTGCAACCCCTGCACACACAACACATGGCGGGTCACTCAGCAGTCTTTAAATACAATATCAATCTCACTTGGTCAGAAGTTGAAAATGAGTAGGAGATTCGATGATGTGCGAGGGTTGCCAGATGATGAAGATTTGTTGTCATGCAACATCAGTGGTAGTGAGTGAGTATGCAGCTTCCTACCAAAATCAGAAAATGGGCTTCAAAGATGTGGGGATCGAACCCAGACTTCCAGTGTAACAAGCAATCCCGCATTAACTAGTTAACCATGAATCCAGCAGGAAGGCGTCGGCAGCCAAGCGCCCTGGGTCGGTATCGAGAGAGCAGAACGGGTGTCTGATCGTCCGCGCCCGAGACATAAACAGATCCACCTCGAGCGACCGTACAACTGGGAGATTGCACCAGCGAATATCTGCCTGTCGAGCACATCCACTCGATGCTCCCACGGCGAGAAGGCGCATCTGCCCTCATCATCTTCACCCCTGGCCATAAGCTATGAATGGCCTAACCATCTGATCCCCACTTGGTTGTACTACTTAAAGAACACTTGAAGTCTCACCTGTGAAGCCAGCTTGGCATTCTGCACCTTCATCTCAGAGAGTTCCTGTCTGGCCTTGTCAAGCTGCTTTCGCTGATCATCCTGCACACACAACACATGACGGTCACTCAGCAGTCTTTAAATACAATATCAATCTCACTTTATTTCAGAAGTTGAAAATGAAATGATGACGAGGGTTGCCAGATGATGAAGATTTGTTGTCATGCAACATCAGTGAGTGAGTGAGTGAGTATGCAGCTTCCTACCAAAATCAGAAATGGGTTTCAAAGATGTGGGGAATCGAACCCAGACTTCCAGTGTAACAAGCAATCACATTAACTAGTTAACCATGACACTCCCACATCCAATTTTTCGGTGAATATGAACATGAAATATGCAGATTTACCTTTCATTTTGTGCCCTTTCCTTCTTATATGTGGTGAACTCGGCTTGCATTTCTTTCATGGCTGTCCTGGATTCGGACAGAGATTTCTCCATCTGCTGAAGAGACCCTGGTCCTCCATGAGGGGGGTGTCCTGGGGAGGGACCTCGCATTCCTGAGGGTGGCTGTCGACCAGGGGTCTGCATGCCCCTCCCCCCAGCAGGGAGGGGAGTGGAGGCCATCATGGGAGGGATAGGCATCTAGGAAAGGCAAGATACTCATGTCAGAAACATTGAAAATAACACCACCATAATTAAGTTGTGTCAAGCAAGACAATGTTACACATATAAATCCCCCAAACCAACTTTTAGTTGCAGTGATACAAACATTAACATTGCAGCTTGCATCACATATCTGTGGCTATATAACTCACCTGGACAGACCCTCCCTGTTGAAGCAGGACTCTGTACATGTCTCTCTGGCGTACAACAGACTCCACCTGTAAAAGTCAATGATAACTTGAGCGACACATCAGCACTATTCCAGCAACATCACAGATACCTATCGAAACTGCGCCAAGAACTTGTCAACAACATCACAGATACCAATCGACAACTGATGTATCTTTTAATTATCTCTTCCAGTGATAGTAATTACTAGTTCAATGGGTATCTTGCAGACCTGATAATTATTATGGACTTACACTGGGACTGTAAGACAAGAGATTATTATATGACGGGTAGATTTCCGCCCTTCCGATTGGCCCACTTGGCCACATGACAGCTTTGACGCTAGGCGATGTCAACCTCGCCACGTCACGAGAGGTTGATATAACAATCCAAGCACCTCCCCGTGGCTAAAATAGATTTGGGATATTCCAGTTGTGAACTCCCGCTTTTGCGCAAAGTCCAGGCTAGATAAGGAAGTGATAGACATCAGCCGTCCCTGTGAATGTGTTGGTTTAGAGTTACGTCCCCATCTGTATCAAAATGGCAGGCGACCCACGACACCACGAAAGATTCATGACTGTGTATTCAAGGTATTCAGTACTTTTTTTCAGTATAACAAAACAATGATTTACTTCAGTTCGGTTGATCCAATGATTTATCGACCTTGGACATGTCATATTCACCTCGCTTTATCACATGTCAAGGTTCGATAAATCATTGGATCAAGCTCACTAGAAGTCAATAATTGTATAATGTCTTATGCCACTTTTAAGAAACATTCAACTTTAACCATGGCAACAGAAAAGGGCATTAAGCATTGCCCACCTTGGAAATCTTGTTTAATACTGAATATAATAGGTGTGGGTGATGACAGGTTTAAACACTGCCTCTCAAAAAGTAAAAGGACCCAGTACAGCCTGAAGTTGCTCCATGCTACACTCACCATCTCAGCCTGGCGTGTCTTGCCAGCTCTCAGTTCTTCCAACTCAGTTTGAGTCATTTCCAGCTGCTCACGAAGCTCCTGAGTCCTGAAAACAAGATCACATCACATGTCAAACGCTGTTTTAAGGAGAGCATAGCTCCTCTGAAGATGTTGTGTGGATAAGCATCTGTAGTGAGTCCCAATCATTCATTAACTCCCTCCAGACAAGCACATCATCCATCCACAGTAAGACAAACAGCTGCACCTTCTCTACATAGTGCCCCCCCAGACAAGCAGCTGCACCTACTGCACCCCCAGACAAGCACCTGCACCATCTACACATCCTGCACCCCTAGACAAGCACCTGCACCTTCTCCAAATCCTGCACCCCTAGACAAGCACCTGCACCACATCCTGCACCCCTAGACAAGCACCTGCACCACATCCTGTACCCCAACACAAGCAGATGTACCTACTCCACATACAGCACCCCTAGACAAGCAGCTGCACCTACTGCACCCCATAAACAAGCAGCTGTACCTTTCTCCACATCCTGTACCCGACAAGCAGCTGCACCCTACTGCACCCCAGACAAGCAGCTGCACCATCTCCACATTCTGCACCCCTAGACAAGCAGCTGCACCTTTCTCCAACTCCTGCACCCCTAGACAAGCACCTGCACCTTCTCCAACTCCTGCACCCCTAGACAAGCACCTGCACCTTTCTCCAAATCCTGCACCCCTAGACAAGCACCTGCTCCCACATCCTGCAACCCCTAGACAAGCACCTGCACATTCTCCAAATCCTGCACCTCCCTGACTAGACAAGCACCTGCTCCACATCCTGCACCCCTAGCCAAGCAACTGCACTTTCTCCACATCTTGCACCCCTAAACAAGCACCTGCACCTTCTCCAAATCCTGCACCCCTAGACAAGCACCTGCACCTGCTCCACATCCTGCACCCCTAGACAAGCAACTGCACTTTCTCCACATCCTGCACCCCTAGACAAGCACCTGCACCTTCTCCAAATCCTGCACCCCTAGACAAGCAGCTGCACCTGCTCCACATCCTGCACCCCTAGACAAGCAACTGCACTTTCTCCACATCCTGCACCCCTAGACAAGCACCTGCACCTTCTCCACATCCTGCACCCCTAGACAAGCAGCTGACCTGCTCCACATCCTGCACCCCTAGACAAGCACCTGCACCTTCTCTACATCCTGCATCCCCAGACAAGCAGCTGCACCTACTGCACCCCCAGACAAGCAGCTGCACCTTCTCCACATCTTGCACCCCTAGACAAGCAGCTGCACCTTCTCCACATCCTGCACCCCTAGACAAGCACCTGCACCTTTCTCTACATCCTGCATCCCAAGACAAGCACCTGCCTTCTCCACATCCTGCATCCCTACAAGCACCTTCCTGCAACCCTAGACAAGCACCTGCACCTGCTCTCCACATCCTGCAACCCTACTCCACATCCTGCACCCCTAGACATGCACCCCTAGACAAGCCCCTGCACCTCTTCTACATACACATCCTGCAACCCCAGACAAACAACTGCACCTTTCTCCACTTCCTGCACCCCTAGACAAGCACCTGCACCTGCATCTGCCTCTTCTCCACATCCTGCACCCCTAGACAAGCAAACCCTAGCACACCTTCTCCTGCAACCCTAGATCCTGCACCCCTAGACAAGCACCTGCACCTTCTACACATCCTGCAACCCCAGACAAGCAACTGCACCTTCTCCACACCCCTGCAAGCACCACCTTCTCCACATCGTGCAACCCTAGACAAGCAACTGCACCTTCTCCACATCCTGCAACCCCAGACAAGCAACTGCCCTTCACCTCACATCCTGCCCCCCTAGACAAGCAGCCCTTCCTTTCCACATCCTGCAGCCCCAAACAAGCAACTGCACCTTCACCACATCCTGCACCCCCAAACAAGCAGCCGCACCTTCTCCACATCCTGCACCCCCACAACAAGCACCTGTCCCTGGGTCATCCACCTACTTGGTATCAGTAGCCAGCTTCTCCTCCTCCTCCGGGCTTGTCACTGAGTTCCCTCACCACTTCAGGAGGCGCTTGGTTCTGATCCTGTAGCTCCTCAATGCTCCTGAGATACACAACTCAGATTTACATGATTTGATATATGTAAAACTCACTTTAAATATTCTTGGGAAATAAAGGGGAAACATGCATTAGGGAACACATGCTTCACACCTTGTACCTAGTAAGAAATAGAACCTTGGTCTTCAGGAGTAAAAGTTTTAACCTATGGGATCTGCGCCTTCTCATGGAAAGATTTGGTTGGAACAGTCCTTTAGTAATAAATCTGTAAAAGAGAAATGAACAAACCGAAATGTGACCAGTTTTCCTGAGATGAGAGAGGATGAACTGGACACCTCCCCTGATGACACCTCTTCTTCACGTACAACTCTTCCTCCCTTCAGCTCCTCCACCTCCTTCACCAAGTACCGCGACTCCTAACAAGCGACGCGGCTCTTCCTTGGTCAGTAAATGACACTCATCAATGTTCAAAATATATGACAGAGGCCTCTACAAAATCAGACCAAACAAATCTGTGGCATCATGATGAAAAGTGACAGACATATGACAGAGGCCTCTACAAAATCAGACCAAACAAATCTGTGGTATCATGATGAAAGTGACAGACATATGACAGAGCCCTTTACAAAATCAGACTAAACAAATCTGTGGCATCATGATGAAAGTGACAGACATATGACAGAGGCCTCTACAAAATCAGACCAAACAAATCTGTGGCATCATGATGAAAGTGACAGACATAGACATACAAAATGACAGAGGCCATGGATGAAAGTACAAATATCAGACCAAACAAATATGACAGACATGACAGAGGCCTCTACAAAATCTGTGGCATCATGATGAAAGTGACAGACATATGACAGAGGCCTCTACAAAATCAGACTAAACAAATCTGTGGCATCATGATGAAAGTGACAGACATATGACAGAGGCCTCTACAAAATCAGACCAAACAAATCTGTGGCATCATGATGAAAGTGACAGACATATGACAGAGGCCTCTACAAAATCAGACTAAACAAATCTGTGTGGTATCATGATGAAAGTGACAGACATATGACAGAGGCCTCTACAAAATCAGACCAAACAAATCTGTGGCATCATGATGAAAGTGACAGACATATGACAGAGCCCCTTTACAAAATCAGACTAAACAAATCTGTGGCATCATGATGAAAGTGACAGACATATGACAGAGGCCTCTACAAAATCAGACCAAACAAATCTGTGGCATCATGATGAAAGTGACAGACATATGACAGAGGACCTCTAAACATCAGAGGCCTCTACAAAATCAGACCAAACAAATCTGTGGCATCAAGATGAAAGTGACAGACATATGACAGAGGCCTCTACAAAATCAGACCAAACAAATCTGTGGCATCATGATGAAAGTGACAGACATATGACAGAGGCCTCTACAAAATCAGACCAAACAAATCTGTGGCATCATGATGAAAGTGACAGACATATGACAGAGCCCTCCTACAAAATCAGACCTCTAAACAAATCTGTGGCATCATGATGAAAGTGATCCTGCTGTCAGGGTACAAAATCCTTTTCAAAGTCTTAGTGGCCAGGAACTGACCAAATTGAAGATCGAAAGACATGCATGAGCATGGGTTCATAAAGGTGAGCCCAGTCACTGCTGATGATGGTTTTACCAAGCAGTCAAAGTCCTTACCTGGTGCCCCAGATCCACAGTCTGTTGTTGATACTTCTGTGCCTCTCTCTGAAGTGACCCAACTTCCGCCGATACTCACGCCACCATCACGCTGCAACTTCTCAGATTCCTACAACACCACGAATTGTAATCATGTTGAAAACGATGACATCTAAATTAGAAATATTATTGAATATTTCTTAAGCACAGTGAATAATGTTGGCAATGACCAGTTACCAGCTACTGAAACTTACCAACATGGCCGTGTCGAGCTGTGACGTCAGCTGACTAATGGTCTGAAGTGACATCTCATAGTCTTCACGCTGTTTCTTCATGCGTGGCGCCCGCTCTTCAATCTCCTGTAAAACAGAAGTATATACTTAAGAACACTTTGAACATTTAATCAAGGTAACTGGAAATGAATTTATAGATTCAGACAACTTCTATGGGATTGTAGCTATTTAAAGTGTGAAGTCGGCTGACCTGTAGGATCTGGTCCAGGTACTGGTTGAGACGTTTGTTTTCTTCTCGCTCTAGTTCCAGATTCTCAGATGATACCACATACTCATTGTAAATCTGCCAGGGAAAGAAAGATTGACATATAAACAACAGGAAAACAAACCTTTGGCCACAACAATAAACAGCTGATGGAGCAGCAACATGACAACAGTCAGAGCAACTGTCAAGTATATACAAGCTTTTCTAGCTTGTACATAATTCACAATGGAAATGTCAATCTGTCAGTCCCACTATCCAAATACAAACCTGGCGATACTGCATCACAGCATGGATAACAGAGATGGCCTAACTGTACTGTATGGATAAGTGAAGCACCTTGAACCAGTGTATGAAATAAGTCCCGTCCGACTGCCCGAGACGGGCTAGATTTTTGATGGACGGTCAGGATTTACAGCTTGCCAACCTGATGATCTGGTAATTTTTTTAGACGTTCCATACATCTGAGTAAATTCACCATATCTTGGTGTCTGGTCTGGTTAAATCAATTTGGGACTGGTAACATTTTCAAGTTACCAGCCCTGATGTCTGGCTGGGTTTTTGGCTTATTTCATACACTACTGGAACTAGCTTAACTGAACGTCTTTATCATGCATGAGACCAGTACAAGACTAACTGTATTGTGTGAATAACTGAAGTATCTTGAACTAACTTCGCTGTACATACATGAGGTCAGTACAAGACAAGCTGTCTTCCACAGATACAACACATATGCATAATGGAGACAGAATTTTCAACAGAAATGCATGTCACACAGAGGTCAATTTCACAGACAAGATTGTTTTTTGCAACGTGTAGAGTTAGTAACTCTCCTGACTGGCGGCCCAACCTGTGTGAGTGTCATGCCTGACTTGAGTATTTTGGACGTTGCTGCTGCGGATGGTGACAGGGCTTCGATGGCCTCATCGCTCAGTTTGGCAGCACCTGCATGGGGTGGAAAACAGTTTATTCAGGTCGGCATACACACACATACAAAGATATCAGCATATCAGTTTGGAACTGCTACCCAAACACTTCAATGTGTATAAATTCTAGATATGAATTCCAAACAATGGAATGACTACATATATCTCTTCCTAATAAAATCCATGCAGCACTTTCGAAACCAGACAAAGACTGAAGTGTTCATCAATAAAAACATTGACAGTTTTTAGAGGCAGGCACATGATGCAGATTTACCCACCCTTGGCTTTCACAGCGACAAGCAGCTCATTGGCATTCTTCAGCTCTTGCTCCAGTTTCCCAATCTTCACATCTGAAACCAGATACAACCGATTCTCTTTCCTTGTGTCAGAATAATGCTAAAAAGCTAGAAATATCAGACATTGACAGTTTTACAACATCTTCTACTACACTGAAAGTATGTACAGACAACACAGTATCCAATTTGTGGGAACCAAGAATAACTGTAAAGTTCCAAGTTTCTGTGGCCCAACTCTGGAATCAGCAGATATAGTTACCATCCTGCTTGATTTAATGGTTGAGCACATGTACCACTTTTCATCATCATGACCACCCCTTGCCCAATGCCCTCTTAGTTATGTGAGAACATGTCACCTTTAGCTTTCAACTGATCCCTGAAGCCATCTGCAATCTGATTCTGCTCTCCCTCCAGCTTGGAATGGGCTGAAAGAAACACAGGCTATTTACCACCAGGTTCACAGTTTGCTATGTTACTCAGTAGTGACTTTCACACCGAGCATCCAGATATGCTGCAGCAGTCACCATTACCAACACTAATGTAACTGCTGTTGATCAAAGTCCTTACTTTCTTTAAAATATCGGACTGTTATAAATGTCAAGGTATTACTGACATATTTTCAAGCCACATGTTTGATTACACAAAGATCTAAATGTAATTCCACACACTGACAGTTGCAAGATTGCAAGAGGTGAACTAAACAAATCCAACTTATGACGCAAGAAGTAAACCGAGGAACAGACAACCTACCATCAGAGGCTTCCTTGAGGAGCTTCTGTAGCTCCTCCACCGCCCGTGTCAACTCTGTCACCTTCATGTCCCCCTCTTCCGACGAAGACTAAACATACAAGAGAAGAGAGAAGTGCTGGGTCAGCATATTCAACAGTGTATGTGACACACCAAGGTCCCAGCAACAGCACAGTTACTCATTCAGATCTGGAAGTTATCACAGCAAAGTCAAACAACATATCCTTGAAACACATTGAGACTCTCACCTTGTACAACTGCACCAGCTTCCCTGTGCAGCAATCTCCTGTCGGAACTGTTCATCTGATTGTGTTTGAGAGTCACGAGTCTGTAATGTGAAGAGTGAGTGACTGATAGGGCAGGGAAAAGTGGTTTTAGGGGATGGTGGCAGAAGTGTAGGAGTAGGGCAGGAGTGCAGGCCTAGGTGTAGGGATGCAACATAGGGCAGGAGAGGGTGGCTAGGTTTAGCTTAGGACATAGGGCAGGACTAGCGACATAAAGGTGGCAGGAGAGGGTGTAGGTTTAGGTTAGGACATAGGGGTAGGATGCGACATAGTGGCAGGAGAGGGTGTAGGTTTAGCTTAGGACATAGGGGTAGGATGCGACATAGTGGCAGGAGAGGGTGTAGGTTTAACTTAGGACATAGGGGTAGGATGCGACATAGTGGTAGGAGAGGGTGTAGGTTTAGCTTAGGACATAGGGGTAGGGATAGAGGAGAGGGTAGTGGCAGGAGAGGTGGTGTAGGTAGGAGAGGTTAGGTTTAGCTTAGGACATAGGGGTAGGGATGCCGACATAATGGCAGGAGAGGGGGTGTAGGTTTAGCTTAGGACATAGGGGTAGGATCTGACGACATAGTGGTAGGAGAGGGGTGTAGGTCAACTTAACATAGACACAGGGTAATGGTAGGAGAGGGTGTTAGTTTAACTTAGGACATAGGGGTAGGTGCAGAGGGTGTAGTTTAGCAGGACAGGGGTAGTGGCAGGGGACAGGGGTAGGGGTGTAGGGGTGTAGGTCTAACTTAGGACATAGGGGGTAGGACATAGGGGTAGGAGAGGGTGTAGGTTTAGACATAGTGGTAGGATGTGGATAGTGGGTGTAGGTTTAGCTTAGGACATAGGGGTAGGATCTGCATAATGGTAGGAGAGGGTGTATAGTGGTAGTTGCAGGAGGGGTGTAGGTTAGGTTAGGACATAGGGGTGGGTTGCGACATAGTGGCAGGAGGTGGCACTCGACATAGTGGCAGGAGAGGGTGTAGCTTAGGACATAGGGTAGGTGGTAGGAGAGAGGTTAGGTTAGGACATAGGGGGTAGGCTGACTGTAGGTTTAGCTTAGTTATAGGGGTAGGTTGCAACATAGTGGCAGTAGTAGGGGTAGGTTGCAACACAGTGGCACTAGTAGGGGGAGGATTAGGATTAGGTTAGGACTAGGTTGAATTTGTTATTCCCAACTTGTCAATCCAAGCATGGTACATTCAACAAGCCCTTGCACTTTTGTGTTGACATAGTATCAGTATTGCAAAACAACCAAAAACACTGCTATTTTGATATATCACAGGACATTACAGACAAAATGGCTGACCATGTTGAAGGGGAACATGCCTACAACTTACATCTTTGAGTTTCTGGATGAGGCCCTCAATTCTCTCAGCCTGTTCCTCCTTGGACTGCTTCAGTGAATCAAAGGACAGCTGCATGTGATTCAGCTGAAATAGCAGGAAAGTGTGGATCATATTGTTGTTTAGTACACAGAGCATCTTTCAAAAATGGGATATTGTTTTTTAAAAGAATTGTTAGAAAAGTTTGGTGAAATGGGATTTAATGTCATCTACAAGAATATTGCACTCAGACTTTTCAATAACTATCAGATCTGTTCTGTTTCTACATCAAACTGATAATTATGTCCTCACCTCCTCCACCTTCTCGTCCAGCTTGGACTGCACATCCAGTAGCTTGCTAGCCTGCAGAAGAAACAGTCAACATGACACACATTCCTTGAAACACCTCAACATGAGAAACACATTCCAACAGGGACACCCATCTGTGGTCTAGGCTCCAATGCAAATATACATGATTATACAGAGCTCAAGAAAGTCCCCTTTCAGATAGTATTCTGATACGAAATAGAAAGTTGGTAGTAATTTTTATCCATACTAGGTAAGCCCCTTCATCTGCAACTGTTCAGGCCATACATAACAGTCAACATGATTGGTTTTTGTTTAACGTTGCACTCAGCAATATTCCAGCTTTATGGCGGTGGTATATAAATAATCGAGTCAGGACCGGACAATCCAGTTATCCGGCAACGCTAAACATCAATCTACGCAATTGGGATACGATGACATGTGTCAACCAAGTCAGTGAGTCTAACCATCCGATCCTGCTAGTCGCCTCTTATGATAAGCATGAGTTGTTGAAAACCTGGATCGTCCTGGGTTAAACATGATCCAAAAACGGAATCACAGTTTTATGTGTGGTCCTCAAGGAGTATAGTGAGTAATGAACTTGATGAAGAGGTTGGTCATACTGTCTGTCCTTGAAGATAATGAACACTGTTTCAAACAGTCAGTAAGCTGTATTCTCATTTATTAAGTCAGCTTGTAAATAATCAAGTATGGGCCAACCAAACTAGTGAAGCTGGGGTACACGGGCCCTACTGGATCATGGTTCTGGTATACTGAGGCCTTGTGGACAAGATCATGAAGTTCAGTACTTTAAACAATGTTGTAGTTACCCTCTCCTTCTTGACATTGATCAAGTCATTTGTCTTGGTCTTCAGCTCCTCATTCAACCAGTCGACCTGCTTTTGCATGTGCTCCTTCTCTTGAACCAGTCGCTTCTCATGGTACTGTAGAATCACCAGTTTGTTGATCAATAATTTATTTGTCATTAACTTTGAACGCAATAATAACAAAGCCATACCCAAAGTATGTTTTTTCAGTGTTTGAACAGTAAGCAGATCCTGCATCATTTTCAGTAGATTTAATCCTACTCATGCTTTGTCTAAGGCTTCAGATAACATTGCAGACTTGAACAAAGACAAATGATTTAGTTTGTGTATTGTGCTTGTGGTCATCATTACAGCAAATAACGGAGTGACACATGCGCATCCAACCAACCTCTCTTGACACTTCCTGTGACTGAAGCCCTCCAAGCTTGGCCTGGATCTCACACTTCTCCTGGCTTAAAGCTGCAACCTTGTCTGTGAAAACCTTCAACTCATCTGAAACAAGATAGCATCAAATGTTTCAGCGAAAACTCGTACAAACCTGTAGAGGTTAATGATTCTTTGAAGAAAGTCCTCCTTTGGGGTACATATTGGCATAAAATATCCATTTAAAAATTCTACAACAGTTGTAACAATATTTTTCAATAAAATATTTACAAAACAAAAAACTCGTTTTCGTCTTGTGAGACCACCCCTACAGGTAACTCTCACCGTCTACCTCACACATCACTTTTCATGCTGAACGTATCAGACATAATGAGGGGAGGCGGGTGGCCGTACCCCAAGGTGGTCTCTACAGGTTTGTATGATTCTTTTTCAGAAGCAGTCCTCCTTGGGGTACATATAAGCATGAGACATAATGAGACGGAGGTGGGGTTCTGCTTGCCAACAACTAAACCCTAGTGGAGTAAACTCTATAACCGATATGGAAATAGAAAAACACTGTTTTGAAGAGGGCTTTGACGGGACCTCGATATAATCCAGAAAAATTATTAGCCCCGCTAAAATCTTTCTGAGGAAATCGAATGAGTACAAACGTCATTGTACGAGTGAAAAGCAGGATAAAACACCCCCACCAAACGCTCTCGGCGCGAGGAGGGTATGTGTAAACCACTATCACCCAAAGGGCTGATTAACACAGTCCCAAATACCAAAGTCTTATGAAGAGGGAAAAACTTAGCATACAAAAATCCCCTGAATAGCGAAAAGCGTAGCCGAACATGTGTTGGCTCACTATTACACTTACCTGGTCACGTGACATGTGGCTCGTAGAGAGGCATTCAAAACAGTGATCCGTGAGGGTTTGTACCCAATTCTGTCGTTAGACGGGTTAATAGCACATGACTGGTTATAGCGTTCAAAACCTGCCCCACCTTCTCTTGCCTTTAGGTGAAGAGGACGTAAGGGACTTATGTACACCCAAACCCGACCCGACCTGAAAGGGTGGTAAGGCTTATCCGATGTAGTGATATGAACCATATCGATATTGAACACAAAACCGATATCAATGACCAGTTACTCACTTGGTCAGGGTGGCAGGACACCAGAGACAACCGAAAGACCGAACCGAACACGATCCTTAGAATGCATGTCAAGTCGGTAATGGCGAATGAAGGCGTTCAGCCAGCTCCAAAGAGCGGCATCTGCCCTTACCAAGTGTGCCTTCAACCCCTCAGGGGAAGGTAAACCTTAGCATTGTATCCGAACAATTACAGAAACAAGCCAACGAGATAAAGTCTGCTTGCTAGCAGATTTTCCAGTCTTCCTGCCACCAAACAGAACACAAGGGTACCCATACGGACCCCTTTCCCTTTGGTCACTCCAATGGGTGAGCAATTGAAAGATCGGTCCCCGATGTGGAAGGCTGGGTAAGCCGTGGAAGTTCGATATGAGCTGTCACGTGGAAAGCTATATCGATCTGAGAGTGGTAGGTATCCAGGAGGCACATACGGACATGAAATACAGTATGAAATACCCGACCCTTCTACCAGAGCTCACCACCACAAGTAAAGCCGTCTTTCTGTCACCAAGTGAAGTGAGAGAGACGATATACTTGAAAAGTCAGGGCCAGACAGCCAATTGAGAATAATTGGCAACTTCAAGGTGAGCTGGGTCGCCGCCGCCGAGGCGGTCGAATCCTGTTCATACCACACTACGAAGCGCTGTACAAGAGGGTGCTGCCTAAGCAGAGCACCATCGAATAGAGTGTGAAACGTGGAAATAGCCATGGAGTACCCGGGAATGTTGGAGGCCAAAAGGTTCTCAACCAAAACGGGGTTATAGTAACTACAAAAACTGAACTAAATCTGCAGAATAGGTATTCTGAAATTCCCCTATCTGCACACCAGCGCACCCCACCTATCAACATACTGAATGCCGCCGCCATATAGCTGGAATATTGCTGATTGTAGCGTAAAACTAAACTCACTCACTCACTGAACGAATGTTGAACCCCGCCTCAAAGCCAGAACTGTGTCTGCAACTGCTGCAGAAATTCCGCTCGTCTGGAGGTTAGACCCGACAGAGGCCAAGCTATCCAGCGAATCCGAGGATTCGGGTGTGGCGCCCCGTTCAGAGTGAGAATGTCTGGCCGTACAGATAATTCGAATCCCGGCATGCGGGGGGTCGAACACCAGCCAGACTGTTGTCAAGAGACCACAGGTCGCCCAGAACATCGCTCAAACCTGGGAGGGATGTATCTGTCTGGACTGAGAGTGATGGCGTCTATAGGGGGAGCCCCTTGGAGAGAGGACCGACGTCTGTCCACCACTACAAATGAGGAATCAACCACTCTGACGTCTCGAGAATGTTCTCGTAGCTCTATGAGTGGGACCCCAGCTGCTAACGCTTGCTGCATGGATCGCATCCTCAAACTCACATTTTCCCCCAAGAAAGACCGGATCCTACTTCGAGACGAGGTCTGACTTTCGTTAGGTTGACAATTCAGCCCAGTTTCGTAAGAGTGACCAACGCTGATTGTGAGGTTTCCAGACTCAACTGTTATTTGAAAACCCTGATGAGCCAGTCACCTAGGTATGGGTGACAACACCGGCACTGCCATCTGGCTATCTGGGCTGTAATAAACCTCAATTTGGTGAACACCCTTGGCACCGTAAGGGGAGCACACGAAACTGGTAGCATGTCCCGTCAAAGAAGAACCTAAGGTAATTCATGAAATCTGGGTGCAAGTGACATTGAGGTCTCGACAGATGAGATCACTGAGCACGGTGTCTCCATCTTGAAGGACAGTACCTCTATTAACCTGTTCAGCTCTCCGAGAGAATGGGTCTGAACATTCCGTTCTTTATAGTCACAAGGAAATAAGTGGAGTCAAACCCCACACATTTTCCTGACCATTTAAAAACAGCTCGATGGTTGCCTTGCCCAGCAGAGACTGGATCTCGGCACGGAATATTTCCGCGTCTTCTGGGAGGCTGACACTGGTGAGTGCCGCACTCCAACCGGAATCTGCAGCAGAATACAGTAAACCCCTGCAGTTTGCAACATAATGTTTGCCGGTGCCGAGGCACCTGAGGGATTAACGAGAAGCTCGACAGACTTCCGTATTCCTCGAACAGTCCCAGGTGCCATAGGCCCATAACCGCACTCGTCATTTGGCTGGCATAGCTACAATGCACTCCCAAGCCAGATGAGAGGGGACCTCCGTCAGCTGCAGGCCAGAGCCGCTGATGAAGAATCACCGGCGCTCTTTCCCCTTTCCACCAGCTCCCTATGTAGAGCAGAGCATACAGCATGGAGCTGTTAAGGGGAAAAGGACGGCAGACAGACGGTAGAATGCGAGGCCTTGTCCCGGATGCCTTACTGGAAGCAGGCTTCCCTCCGGGGAGGCGACCTTCAACAGTTCGGGGCCTCGTCGTGGACAACACCTGAGGCAACACAGCAACACAGCGATTCTATCTCACACTTGCCTCAGGGATGAACCTAATCATTGTTAAGTTCATTTAAAATATTCTCAAATCGACTTGTCCACTGTTCGAGCCTGAACCCCGGTCCCGAGGCACATGGGAGAAGCCTGAAAAATCAAAGTAACCCAAGCACTCAGACAGACCTTGGAGCGTCAAGGTGACACTCGATAGCCTCTTGGTCATGGCGTCGATGAGACATCAGGCCGAAACCTGAGCTACCAGCACCAGGGATCTGCACCCTACCGGTGCCCAAAGCTCAGGTCGGTGCTACTCACTGAGTTCAGAACATCCGCGGAGCCGAAGCTTGGCGGTTCGAGTCCGAATTCCGATCCCGAGACATAGGAGTAGCCTGATAAATCAGGGTTTCCCTGGTACTGTCTCCAAAAGCACACTGAACAGTCATGCATTGCCTATAGCGCTATATAAACAACAATACGTATATATACAGACATATATATATACGTACTTGGGTCGGCGGTTCAAGTTCGAACCCTGGTCCCGAGACACATGGGATTAGCCTGACAAAGCAGGATTCCCCTGCTGTACACGGGTAGACGTCGAAGCGTCGAGATGATCGGTAGCTCCGTCACACTCAACAGTCTCTTGGCCAGGGCGTCAATAGACATCAGGCCGGGACCTGAGGTACCAGCGCCGGGGATCTGCGCCTTACCGGGGGCGCAGCCCAGATCTATGCTACCCGGTCCACAGACACATGGAGGTAGCCTGGCAATGCAGGGTTCCCTGGTGTACACAGGTAGACCTTGAAGCGTTAGGGTGATCGATAGCTCCGTCACACTGAACGCTACTACCCAGGTTCAGAGCGTCCCCGAAGCCGAAGCTCGGGTGCGATCATTCCCCGGAGGTCGGACCCTTCCCGGAGCCAGAGCTCGGGTCGGGACCTCCCCCAAATGATGCACCAGTGCAATCTCTACCCGTAGACCTGGTACCAATCTCCTCTCGGAGACCGGACACCACGTTTGAGATGAGAGTGTTCACCGATGATCTATGCTGCTGCTATAAGTAAGAAATCAATCGTTAATGGTGTAGCAACATTGTTTGTGGGGGAGGTGTAGCTTTTATCAAATATAATCCCCCGCTTGAAGCAGATTAGTGAAAAACATAAAATCTGTGTGCCTGTAAGAACGCGTGTGAGCGCAAAATCCTAGACAAAAAACACAACACAATGAGCCATATTGTGTGTATTCGCATGAAATGTGTACATGTGTAACATAACACAACATAACGTAACAGGAAAAAATTAAGCCAGGGCGCTAATTATAAACACCCCTGATCATCGTGAGCCTCCTTATGACCATCGTGTGGTGGTAGTGTGGCACTGCACGACGCACAAGGCTAAAACTGCAACAAACAGAACCGTGCCAGTGTTACTAACAGGAACTGTGAAGCAGCAAACATATAACCACAAGTAAATAGCAATAAACAAAACGCACAGCCGATATTTAAATGCTAAAGCTACAGCCATTTAAATACTAAACATAAAATGCAAAGCAGGAAAAAGGCGTATACATACTGGTGAGTAAAGTTGTGAGTGATGAACACATTATCAAAGTTACCCAACAACGACTTACCACAAATTCGCTGAAAAAGAGAATTTAGGCAAGCCTGGCATATAATATGCAAACATAATATATGAACTCCCAACTACAAGCTACCAAGAACATGCAGCAAGAAAACCATGACCGCATGGTCCGCCATTTGCCTGCCACATGGCTGGAAAACAGAGAACCCACGGCAAAGTTACAACAAAAGATGAACGAGAATATCAATATATGAAGGCCATCTGATGCCCGTGCGTAAAGAAAGGAACCATACATACAGATTGAAAAAAAAAAAATTTCAGCCATCATAAACGTAGAAGAGTCAGAGCTCAAACGAACACCACGCACACCTTCCTGTGGAACGACAGCATGAAAAGTGAGGTGCAAGGTAGACGGCAAGAGTTGCCTGCTCTTGGCTGAAGGGGGCGCTTCGGCGTCCTGTAGGGTTGGTCTCACAAGAGTTCTTTGTTTTGTAAATATTTAATTGAAAAATATTGTTATAACTGTCGTAGAATTTTAAAAAGGACATTGAAGTCCTCCTTGGGGTACATATAGGCATAATTTTTTTATGCCTATATGTACCCCAAGGAGGACTTCAACTCATCTGGTAACAAGAGAGCATACAAACAGCTCCTGTGACAAATTGTCATGTTCTACTTCTGTTTAAAACATTTTCCAACACCAACAAAAAAGATCAGGTACTGAAGTAGGAAACAGTGATTAGAGTCTGCAAAGAAAAGAATGTATGTATATCTTAAAGAAAAATGATGCCCACAGTAGTCTTTCAGTTATATCAAAGAATGTCAAATGATACAGATCTGGGGCACTCAGACTAACTCTGGTTGAAGGCATACATCAAGATCTCCATCTCCACTAGGAATCTTTGATTCAAACATACAACCAGCATGTCAGGGAAGGAAAGAGGGGCAACACTGTAAAGTGACTTGTCGAACCTCAAAACACTCCGTACAATCAAAAGGGTTGGATGTTTGGGTGTGAAGACTGCAGTTTTAGCAAATAGATTACATATGATTAATGTTAACAGGGCGGTGAGGAAGTTGACATTGAACTCTTCCATTCATCATGATCATAATTATACACTGAATACATCACAAACTGATGTCGCCATGTAAACTGGCATTAGAGCATCTGTGTATGATAGCATCTTGTTGTTTTAGAGGTTACACTGTCAGTTGAATATAAGTCCCCTCGGCAAAACCTGTGACATTAGCCATTACCCTAACTTGGCATGTCTTTTTCCAGCTTGTGAATGCATGTATCACAAACAACTGCTTGAGACTGAGGGCTGAATTCAGCCTCTGAGAGGGCCAGATAAATCCCAACATACTAACCGTTTAGTCTGGTGATCTCCTTGCTTCGTTTCTCCAGCACCAGGTTCAGCTCCCGCTTCTCCGCCTCCATCTGCTTCTGTACATTCTCCAGGTGGGCCTGGCAAACATTGTTCAAAAACATAAAACAGCCAATCAATGGGGTGTTATGATTCACTGCCTCTCTGTATCCAGTGAATGGCAAACATTAATGTTTCAAATATATATACAACATAGGTTTTTTTCTATCAATAACAGGTAGTAAACGAACACAACAGTCCGGGGATTTTAATGGTTTCATCATGTTTACTTGTTTACTGGAAGATAATAATTTGAACTATTAAATGAACTAACTTCTTCGCCATGATCACATAATTATTACAAAAATGAAATTTTTAGAGTAAAATTAATATTTTTATACTTATCCTGACTCATGCTTATTTGCTATTGTCTTCTTCTTCTGGCGAACCTAGTGGAACACTTGTATCTCCCAATTGAAGTTCCCTTCAATAAAAAATCACTCATTAGTACTCACCACGAGTTACCTCCCTTCTGCAAGCTCGGGAACGAGGGCACCACCCAAGCCCATGTGCCTCACTCTCCCCTTTTTTGTTTTGAGCCCAACACTTTATTTTTCCAGAAATCCAAAGTGTTAAGTGGGGAGGGACGGAGGAGACTTATTCATGAGTCAGGATAAGTATAAAATATTAATTTTACTCTAAAAATTTCATATTTTTCTTATCCTGACTCATGCTTATTTGTTTGTAGAATCCTACACGGATTAGAGGTGGGATTATATATACTTTGGATTTTACTAATTAGTGATTTGAACTGAGATGATTGTAAAACCCTATGGGAACTTCATGAAGGCACTGAACTGAATTCCTGCTGTTAATTTAACAGCTGCCTTTAAATAGGTTATTACAATTTACTGAATATAATAAAAGTTTTTAGAACATTAATTAAGCTAAAGCCATTAATGTGATAGTATAAACTGTTGATAGTTTATAATGAATACTTTTATAAGAACCAAAGTAGTAAGCTTACAATATGGATATATATAAGCTATAACATAATTGTGCTTAAGATATAATGATAACTTAAGCTGTATAATAGTAACCAACTACTGAGAGTTTGATACTAATACATGTTATGAAATGAACATATGACCGAAGCTTAAGGATAGAAACTTAAGCTGAACATATATATAATAGTAGAAACTCGTAAGAGTTGTAGGTATATATATATTATGATATAGAATCATAGTACTGAGCTTAAGATAATATTTTAACTTAAGCAAATATATATAGATAGGATGTAGCTATTAGTACTGTTATCAGATAAGTATAAAATCAACAAGATAGACTTATCTTCTCCGTGGAACTGTCAACCGTTGAGCAAGGACCATGGGACCGAAATGGTGGATACCTGAGACGTCCTTGGTGGTGATATCTCTCAGATAGTGGTTGGCAAACACCATATCGGATCTCCAAAAACATCCCTCCATAATGGTATTCAATGAGCAATTTCCATGTAAAGCCAAAGTTGAAGCTAGTGCTCTAATTTCGTGAGGATTAGCAGCACTTGGAGGGTCCAGTCCAGCTGCCTTGTAGGCTCTTAGTATGACAGTTCTGATCCAAATAGAAATGGTAGTGCGCGATACTTCTGTCTGTGAGGCGGTAGATATAGGGATAAACAATCTTTTGAATTTCCCTCTACTTTGCTTGGATCTTTGGAGATATATTTTCAGTGCAGTATGGATGAGAGAGCTGGGACATGGAACAACCTGTCTGGTTGACCTGGTAGTTGATTTTTCGCTATAAAATCCCAGCGGAGTCCCAGATGAGCGTTGTTATGAATATCATCAAATCGTGTTCTCTCGTAATCCAAAGCGTGAATTTCAGACATCCTGGCAGCAGTAGCTAACGCTAGCAGGAATAAGGTTTTGTGGGTCAATGATTGAAATGACGCAGATAACAATGGTTCGTAAGCCTCACTTGTGAGGTGTTGAAGTACAACATTTAGATCCCAGGCTGGCGTTTGAAACTTCCGTTTCTGGTCTTCCAATCGAAAGGCACGTAACAAAGCGAGTAACTCCGGTGTTTTGGTAAATTTGACGCCCGTTCTCATAGTTATGACTGAACTTATGTCTGCAAGATAAGTGGACAGTGTAGATCCTTTTAGATTCTTAGTTTGACGTAGGAAACATAAGAAATCTGCCACTTGAGGATGTGTAGCAAATCTGGCTGAAAATCCTTTCTTAGCAGCATAATTGACAAATCTGAGCCATTTGTCATCGTACAAGTTACAAGTAGAGTTACGTAGTGCAAGCGTGACCGCCTTCGCCGCTCTGGTGGAATAACCTCTCTTATTCAAACATGCCTTGATACAATCCACACGTGAAGTCGGAATGCTTCTGGTGTTTTGTGCACTTGTTTGGTGTGCGGATGTATCAGTAGATTGGAGCGTAGTGGGAGCTGAAGTACTGGTTTTCTGATTCCTAGTATGAGGTCTGGAAACCACATTCTCGCTGGCCAGTAAAGCGAGACCAAAATGAGATCGAGGCTCTTCGTTTGACTGATTTTTAGCAAGACTTGTGGGATTAACACAGGAGGCGGGAAAGCGTACGCGTTTAGTCCCTCCCACGATATGCTTAGTGCGTCCGTTGCCCAGGCTAATGGATCTGGCACTGGCAATACGAAGGTTGTCAGTTGATTGTTGAATCGGGTGGCAAATAGGTCTATCAGAGGAGATCCTATTTCCATGATTATCTGATTGAATATCTCTGTGTGGAGCATCCATTCTGTCGGCGACGGTTGGTGCGGCCGAGAGAGAGCGCCTGCTAATACATTCTTTGCTCCTGGAATGTGGCAGGCTTTGATACGTATGTTTAGACTGTCGACTAATTCGAACAGTTTGAAACATCGAGTGAGTAGATTCAGTGATCTTGTTGACCCTTGTTTGTTCACATAAAACGCCACTGTTGAGTTGTCTGTGTGAATCATTAACTGAGCGTTCTGTAACAGGTTGCTCCAGTGACCTATGGCGTTTATGACTGCTTGCATCTCTAGCAGATTTATGTGACATAAGCTCTCTTGAATGCTCCATAGGCCTGACGCTGTCCTGCCGGTAAGGTGGGCTCCCCAACCTTTTAGTGACGCGTCCACATAGAGATGTGTTTCCCGATTCCGGCTCTACTAAGGAGACGCCTGCGCAAACATTCAATCTCTTGGTCCACCAGAGTAGATGTGGTTTGACGTAATCTGGTAGACTGAACGGTAGAGGGTCCTCGAGATGGGCATTGATGAGGACTTGTAATGGACGCAATTGAAGCTTGCCTCTGAGTGTCAAGTCTTGAGCTGATGTGAGTAGTCCCAGTAGACTCTGCCACTGTCGTAGTGGTAATGGAGAGAGTAGGGCTTGGGGGGATCAGTTGTTGTATCTTGATCCATCTGTCCTCCGGGACTACCATACGATTCTGAGCTGTAAGGAATCATATACCTAGTAACTGCAGATCCTGCGTGGGCTCTAGGTCCGACTTGAGTAGATTTACTAACCAGCCTAACTGCGTTAGTAGCTTGATTGTAAAGTTCAGCTGTAGTCTGAGACGCTGTGGATCTAGATCCACCTGTATACCGTCGTCTAGGTAAAATGCATTCAAGCAGTCCTTGACGATGTAGGTATTAGACAATAGGCTTGGTTACTCTTGTGAATACCCATGGGGCTCGAAGTGATTCGAAGGAAGTACTTTCCATTGGTAGTGTATGCCGCCTAGCATAAACCTCAGATATTTCTTGAACTGGGATGAATCGAATGTGTGTAGGTATGCGTCCTGCAGATCTATACTTTACCATGTAATCTAGTGGACCTAATCAGATGACGGAGTTGAGGTAAATGTATCATGCGAAACGCTGGTGGTTTGCATAGAAATTCTCTGTTGAATGCGCTCATGTTGTAAATGAGACGATACTTCTCTTTGGAATTCTTTTTCGGCACTAGGAAAACTGGGGATTAGAAACCTGGTATGATGTTTCGCTGATCAAGAACTTCTAAGGCCTGTTTGTTTAGTAGAGACTGAACTGTTTCTCTTAACATCGGTAGTTGTGCCAGATGAACGTTGAACCCTGGTGGGTTGACTGTTAACGGTGGCTTGGCCTTGAGTTGTAGACGATATCCGTACTGAAGGATGTTGGATACATACGGATCTTGAAGTATTCCCCAGTTTTCCCAGTGTAGTTGTAGACGTCCACCCACTTGAGAAGGTTGTACTGGGACGACTGGGGGTGGAAGACTCCAGTCGTTCCGAACCTGACTTTCATCGTTTAAATCCATGGGCACCTCTGGATGATCTGCCTCTAGCTGATCCTCCTCTGAACTTGTTGTATGGGCGATGACGAAAGAATCCTTGGGATTATTAGCGTCAGCTAATTTCTTATCCTGCGCTCTCTGTAGCCCTGAAAACTTAGACTTACCCGAGTACCTCTGTGCTGATTGTTTAAAGACAGTCGCTAACGTATCCATCGATCTAATCATGAGTACTTCTCTAGAATCTTTAGATACTTCCTTGGAAACCTTGTTAATGTTGCCACCAAACAGTAAAGGTGAAGACCATGGAGCTGTGTACAGGGGCTCTGTGAATTGTTTATTCCAAGAGCAGGAGGCTAGTAATCCTTGCCGACGTGTCATGGTAGTAGTTTCAGTAAGTGCTGAAAGATGGTCTGTAAGGAATTGTTGATCTTTTCTCTGCATAAGTAGAGCTGAATAGATCATCCTGTCCTCCTCATCCGTAGAGTTCTTGAACTTAGTGAGGAGAGTCTCGTTAATAGTCCTAGATCTATTAAGTCCAAAGAACATCCTTCTGGAAATGGTATCTAACTGGGCCATCTTGTGATCGTCTACCCTATAACTTCTGGACTTGGAATCACTGTGTAAATAGTCTCGTCTCGTCGATCACGAGAGTATGCGTGATCTCGTTGATCACGAGAATATACGAGAGGAGGCCATTTTTGGATGTTTCGGGTCAGTGTGCCGTGGAAGTGTTACCACGTGCGAGAATGGAAAATAAAGAAGAAGAATTTTAGCTATGAGCATTGTGTTATCTATCAATGGTAGCAGAGCGTG